TACATATATTATATATATATATATATATATATATATATATATATATATATATATTTATAAACAAACAAAATGAATAAAATAAACAAGTTTGTCTAGAACGAAAGAAAAAGTGGAGTGATATTTAGAAATAATATCACGGAGAGACACTCTGGCGTCAGACATTTCCGTGGTGTCGGTTAAATAACCGTTATCAGGTCCTGTCCTGTTTGCAAAGTGGAACAGTCGTACATAGAAGCAATTAGAATTACGGTGATTAGATTAAATTTTCTCAATTATCTGGACATAGATTATTCGGACGTGAAACCAGGAGAAAAATTGATTACATCCAAATATTTCCCAATTATCAGAACTAAACCGATTCTAAGGTTTCAATTTAGAAAACCGTTTTCGGAATTTTGAAAACCATACTCAATATTTGACAAAGACTGTTATATACCGTACGTATAAACACTAATGGGTCCTCATAAATACGTTGGACTTCTTTGGAAGCGGGGGTAATGTACTATCAAAGTAGTTCACCACTAGCAGTGGTTTACCTACTTCACTTATTTTGCTGATGTTATAAAGATTACCATTTCATTTCCAACCTCCGTTTTGGATATTCCTCATTCAGTGACCTTTTCTAGGTTACAACAAAGACACTGATAAAATCAGTTCAGTCTATATTTCTAAGATGAGGTATTGTAACTATTTGCACTATTTATATTGTTCGGACTGTTGTCCTCATCTTTGTTGTTTCGTTTCGGCCATTTTACGCTCCGGTCTTCTTCAGGTGATTGGAATTTTGAATTGAACCATTTATTTCGTTCACCGGGGTAGATTCTTCTAGTGCCACGTACAATGCCTCTTCCGGATATCCCGGTTTAGTTATTTCCCTTTAGTAACTCAACTCTTCAAGTTTTTGTTCAACTCTGCTGTGGTCAGGTATTGAACACACAAATCTTTGGATCAAGTCACTGGATTACTTCAACCAACGCTTTTATCCACTGGGCCATGTATCCTTGAAACAAAAGGTTCCATTCGAAATTCTAATCACATGAAGAAGGCCGGAGCGCACAACGGCCGAGACCTCGTGAATATGACAAAGATGAGAACAACAGTCTGGACAATGTAAATAGTGTAAAAAATCAGTTCAGTTAACTTAATTCCCTCGTTGCTTTCATACAAAAAACATAGAATTTGAATAATCACAGCTTGGTCACTTCGGGGATAATGGCTTACACGAATCACAGATGCTACCCTGACAAATACATCTGTTATGTTGGTATATATATTCGTTTGTTTTTTTTTTTGTTGTTTTTTTTTTCTGTTTTGCGAATGATCTTTTCGTAATCTGTCAGTCAGTGGTCCTGGCTCAAGTTTTGATTCAGTTGAAGGCCGCCAAGGTTGCACTACAAGCTTCAGTCTATCTAAAAACATTTGTCTGATTCTCAGAGCGGAGTACAGTGATAAAATACTTCCTTTAGACTAATTTAAAAGCTCCAGCTTGTGGGAACGCCAACGTGTGCCTCATTCTGTTTAATGCTTACATATAAACTTTCAAATAATCTGAAACAGCCACAGAATATGAATTTAAAATATATTTTTATTTACATTTTTACTTTTATAATAATAATAATAATAATTTCCCATATCCTTTATTTTATGTATTTATTTCTTCGCTTACGTAGCTAACCGAATCCACTTCTTAAATTTTTGTTGTGGTAGGATCCACCTAATTTGCATAGTGGTGTACCGACCATATAAATATGGTTGGTACCGGGAAGACGAGGGAGGAATCAGAGATTCAATCCAGAGACTCTGCCCGACTGCGACTCAGTCAACACATTCTCCAGGGACGATCTTCCCAAGAATATACAAATGATTATATGTAAATATTGTGTACACTTTCTTGTTTCAATACATTTTGTTCTAAGTACATTTTGTGTTGTATTATTATTCCATGCATTAATCAAGTTTCAACAATTTTAGAATGTCTTTTCTTAATATATTAGACTATAGGTTTTTTTCTTCTAATGTTCTGCGAATGATATCGAAAAATAATCTTTCGTAGCATTTTTATTAATTCTTAGTAACTCTGGTCATTTTGTCAAATCGTTGTTTGACGTTATTGAAATTTTATTTCAGATTAGACACTCCTTTGAGATGGAATGCCAAGTAGATCAGAATGAGCATGTTCGACATCTTATCTTTGCTTTTAATCAAGGTCACAAAGATGCCAAAGCTGTTCGAGACATTTGTACTGTATAAGGAGATGACTTAATTACCGACAGAATGGCATAGAAATTGTTTACCAGTTCCAAGTAAGCGAAGTTCGGACTCAGAGACTCTCCGCGTTCTGGCCGACCTGTTCAGTTTGATGAAAGAAAAACCGTACCAGACCCCGAGGGAATTGGCTTAGAAGATGACAGGCTCTCGTGTTTCTGTCGCTCGTCATCTTCACCCGATAGGTAAGGTACAGAAACACGGCGCATGGGTGCCACACGCATTGACCGAGAAAAAAAAAAAAAAAACCCCCAACTCTAGCGCTCTTCCATTGCTGCTAGTTTACTCGCGTGCAATATTTTCTCATTAAACTGAACAGGTCGGCCAGAACACAGAGATTCAGAGTTCGCACTTCTTAAAACGAGAAAACCCTTTCCGCGCCGTTTTGTTGTTAATGAAAACATCTACGTACACAGCAGAAATGTCTCAAGCATGTGGAATGTCAACATCTTGATGATGTCATTATCTTCTCTTTAAGTTACATGTAACATCCATTTTGGTTGTTGCTGTTGTTGATCGTTCTCAGTTGATGTGGTTTCTGTTTTTTGGTAAAGTTCTTTGTGATTCTATGGCACCAGTTTACGGGGTTCGAAGGAGGATTGTCCTTTCTAAGATTTACAGGCTTCATTTACCCAAAGACATTTTTAATAACTGATCTGAGAAAGTGGTTGTATACAGTTGGCAGTTTAGATATTGTCGCATCCATCAATATGACTAATAGTGAATTATCTCCCTTGTTTAAAATGTATACATTTCTTGATAATATATTGTCGGATTATTTCCTCTTTATTTTCAGAACTCTCCCTAGGGGACGCTCTCCAACACTATAAATACTCTACGATAATTTTTTTTATCACTCTCTTCTTACTTTTCTGGGCTGGCTTCGCCAATTAGTTGGAGATTCGTCTCCAGGTGTGCTGATCGAACTCTCTGCCTTTGGGCAGAGAGGAAGCCAGACGAAGATATGCTGAAGGGCAGAGTCTCGTCTGGGGTGGTAGACAGCTACCCGACCCTGTGTATACGGGTTCTACGGGGAATTTTTACCCGAGCCTACGGCCTTGTGCTTTGGGGAGGTAAGGTAAATAACCTCTTCTTACTTTTCCGCTTATACGACAACAATGTAAATCTCTTGCGGAAGACTGAGTTTTTTTTTTGAGAAACATTTCACATACACACGCACATACGTACACACATTCACTCACTTCACATGCACATACGTACACACATTCACTCACTTCACATGCACATACGTACACACATTCACTCACTTCACATGCACATACGTACACACATTCACTCACTTCACATGCACATACGTACACACATTCACTCACTTCACATGCACATACGTACACACATTCACTCACTTCACATGCACATACGTACACACATTCACTCACTTAACATACGTATTCACTCATTTCACATACATGAACATACGTACACATTCACTCACTTCACATATACACACTCATACGTACATATATTCACTGACTTCACATACTTTGGACTAAAATGGTTCCACATTCATTTGTTGCACAAACACTGTATTTATCACTTGTAAACCTTTGTTTGTTAAGACATTATTATTTGTTTGTACATGTATATCGTTTCTTATTGTCTCCGTACATTTGTTTACGTGGACTCACATCCCGATTCCATGTTTGTTGTGGACATTCCAGGAGACACACGTGTTTATCTCACATACACCGGCCCGCAATAATATTTCTGAATGAGTTTATTGACATGCATGACATCCATATGAAACTTTTCATTTGACAAAGTTATTTAATAACATATAAGATTTGTTATGTAGCGTATATAAACAAATTTTCTTGATTAATAAACTAAAAATATATTTTTTGTAATTAAATTTGTAGAACATTTCCTAAAAACAGACTTGATATGAACTTAATAACATTCTGAACTACTTTATGAGTGCATCGTCAGTGTTAGTACGTTTGCAGCGAATAGGTCGACCATTCTTTACTTTGGATTAGGATGCAGAATTGTACTAGTCCATAACCAACATCCAATTCATACATATCTCCAAAAAGTCACATGGACACTGCGACGGCCACACCCTGGTCAGCTGCATCCTCCTGCCGGCTAAATTGTGTGAGGTTAGTCGGTAAGGTGATCGGTGAAGAGAAACGCCTCTCGCTAACCCACCTGTGCCAAGCGGCCATCGACAAATTGTTAGCTTAGGCGTATGAACTGCATCTCAGAGGTCAACGGCTTTACTAGTGGGCAGAGGAACTTCTCAACATCCCCGGTGCAAAAGTAACTGGCAAGTCATTGCACTATCTTGCCTTGTATGTCACCATGAATCACAATTACGAGATAGTGGGGAGTGGTAACTGAATAAAATGAATGAGGGAATGAACGATTTTAATCGTGTTACGTATCGCAATCTCTGAAGTGAATGCATGTGAAGAAATTCAGCAGAGGACTACCTTCATTACCTTCAGGCATGAAATAACGTTATTCTATCTATGTTTTATAGATTCCTGGTTAGGAATTTGCAATTTTATGTAGCTGAGACAATAGCGAGCAATCAAATTCTTTTTTCTTTATATATAAAGGAAATTATTAGTTACTTTTTAAAGTTTTCGTCGGAGTTTGGAATAATATACAGATGTATCGATTAACCAGTGTCCCAACTGATCGGAATATTCATTGTGTAAATGTGTTTTTGCGTGCGTATAAGCAGAAATTATTGAAAGACAACATACTGGGTCTCCTCGATCTCCTTTGGGTCCAGGTTGACCGCTGTCTCCAGATTTCCCCTGAAAAAGTGAAAAGAGACAAGATAATTTATGTCTGAATTTCTGGAATGAGGAGAATTCTCATTGTTTAATCTGTTTATATTAGGACTATTGTTCTCATCTTTGTTGTTATCACAACTTATAGTCTTGTTAGGGCCAGAAATAAAGACAGAAGAGAGGAATTGAAATATAATGACAGAAATAGTAATAAAAACATATACAAACGAGAGTGTTACAGCAAGAATGTTCGGTTCGACTGTCAGAGCTGACTGCTGGAAACTTCCCTCTCCAAAAGGCAGTACCTGCTCCTATTTATAGCTGGGAGAGTCCATGCGTGCGCGGGTAAATTACCATAACACAACGTTTCGGACGTTGTGCCGTCGGGCCTTCTTTAGATGCATATCTATCTGGGTGACCTACAGGGAATTCTAAACTGACTCCTTTATTTAATCTACGAGGGTAGACGGTTCTCATTCAACTGTTCATGTCTAGGAATATCTCGTCTAGTTCTTATTTTTATTTAGAACTCTTCTGTTATTTCTCGGCCGTTTACAACGAGTGCAAGTACATACTACCAGGGATTAAACTCACAACTACTATGTCATCAAATTCACAAACTCTTTAATCCACTAATCTATTGTGTCGTGCGGGACAATGGATTAGTGGATTAAAGAAAAATTATAGACATGAGCAGTGGAACGAGAAGAGTTTACCCACTTAGAATAAATAAAGGGTTCGGTTCGGATTTCCCTGTAGGGTTACCCAGATCAATATACACCTGAGGAAGGCCGGAGGGTTCGTCGGCCGAAACGTTGTGATAACAACAACAAAGATGTGGCCAATAGTTAGAATATAAGTAGTGTAGAAACAAAATAGTAATGCAAAATAAACATTGTGTATGTTAAAAATCTATATATTGCCCCCCTCCCGACAAAAAAGAAGAACAACAAAAAACGCAAAAATGTATCTGCTACCATTATCTGTAAAATTAGCACACAGACTATTGTCCTCATTTTTGTCGTTATCATTTAAATAAAAGAGCCAGTTCGAAATTCCCGAAGGTCACCAGAATTGACAAGAAACTGATGAAGGGCTGAGGGTATAATGACCGAAACATTATAACAACAACAAAATGAAAACAGTATGCGTGTATAAATTCACTTTCTTATATTTAAGTTTTCGCCCAATTCTAATCATCGCTTTTTAAAAAAAACATTGTCGAAGAGTAAAGCTAGTTAAAAATAGCGATGTCATGGAAAAACCTTTTAACCGGCCGTTTGATTGAGGGTACATTTGTCCATGTTTACCAAAACATTCGATTCTAAACTTGATTTCTGGATCACCAAATACGTCCAATGCACAGATGGTTAATTGATTCACGCCTCTTCTGGTGAGATCGAAATGTATCAAACTTATGGAAAAATATTGCGTTTCATGTGTGAATAATAATAATAATAATAATAATTCCTAGACATTGTTATTAGAGCCCGCAAACAAAAAAGTGCCTCCTTATTGATATGGCAGTCCCTGCGGACTGCAATGTATCTTTGAAGATCTTCAAAAAGCTATAAAAATGCAAGGACCTTGAAATCGAAATTTCAAAAATATGGCACATGGGAACATCAACAATCCCTGTTGTAGTTGGAGCCCTCGGATTGGCTGGAAAAGATTCCAGTTGACTAATTGAAGGGATTCCTGGAAGCCCATACTTTAAAGAAATACAAAAAAAATTGTTTTCACGAGTACAGCCCACACCTTACATAGGGCTTTATCTATGTAAAATATATTTTTTTTTTCCTCGTCAGTGGAAAATGTCATGATGCCATTTCTAACCATACGTCTCTGGGCGGGACCCGGAAAGAAAAGTGTACACACCAGAAATCAAAGGAAATAAATAAATAAATAATAATAATAATAATAATAATAATTTTGATACGCTTGTATCGGGTGATTATCGTTAATTGACAGGGACCGAAAGAGATCATGCCTCTTGTTGTTAACACTTTATTAACTTCAACTTTCCTTCGTATTCCCCTGGTGAGATGAATGTTCCACCCAAGTAGCTTGTTCCCACAAACCACTACCTTGCGTAACCGACACCAAAGAGAATGCTTCCCCGATTCCTACAATCTCAATCTGTGCCTCTTATTCTGTAACCCTCTACCTCGAGTGGCACTTGGGTCTTGTACAGGGTGAACACCACTGTAAAAAAAAAAAAAACGCTCCCTCCCAACAAAAAAATTGGTCGTCGCCTGATTCGTTTCAGCATATTCTCCAAACCTCCTATTCGTCCAGCCTCGTTTTTTTGGGCGTGGTCACTGACCCTCATATTTACGAGGGTTTTCAGTTCCTTGACAAAATTATTACCGTTATTATTACTTGGTGGAATTGCATGTTCAAGGTAGATGTCTGGTACTTACCACTCGAGACTGAGTGACATCAAGTCTACTAAAATCACCAGCACCTTCCTCAGTATCTTTTATTATTATATTTCATATACCTGCATATTCATAACTAGATGCCTGGTGTGGATCGCTGGAGATCGAGTGACAGCAAGTCCTTTAAATTCTTCACTAACTTTCTAAGTATCCTTCTGTACACCATTGTAGATGTAATGTAAACGAATAGCTGATGAATGGTGTTCACTTGTATCTGAGTATGCCTGTCTACTAGGACGGCTAGCTAATCCCTGTTGCTGACGCCTGCTCTGGCATATTTGTGTTGGTTCAACATCCACAGAGCCTACCTGTAGTTTATACTGTAACTATGTTGAAAAGACCTTAGTTATAGTTTCTGGGTGAAAAGACCTTAGTTATAGTTTCTGGGTGAGAACGGCATGATCAACAATCTAAACGAGGACAATACACTCAAACCCTCGGTCAGGATGACTTGTGACTTCGTTCTAGCACAACCATCGATGGCTTCCAAATAGTTCTGACTATCCAATTTCATTCACAAGGCTTGGGTCAACTCATGGTATGATTTTAGACGCTTTCCAAAGATGCCGTACGCTGGGATCACCAGGCCGATAAAGATCAAGAAATCACCTTTCGACCATGATGAGATTCGAACCCGGGCCTCACGATCGGAAATCAAGCGTTCTAACCACTCGGACATGCATATGAATTTACTAAAGAAAAGCACTGAAAATGAGGAAGAAAGGGATTGTCTGTGGTCAGGAATTACTGCAGGTGTTTCTAACAAAAGAGGATTATGGTATGCCTAATCCTGTTTTTTTCTAGATATTATTTTCTCATAAGAACATTAAATTCAGGAACAACGCGAATTTTCGGTACGGAATGGTATAGAAAAAAAATTCTGTTTTGCAATTCCAAAGCAAAAACTCTTGAGATTCTTTTACTAATTGTTGTCTTGTCCAAATAAGGATGGAAAAAAATTAAATTCTGTTTCAGTAATTGAATTCTAGAATAACATCGAGAAATTTCGTCAACCCAGGAAGTGACGCGACATCCCACCCCCATCTCTTGTCAACGTGATATTATCTATGTTGTTTAGGGCGATTCTGTACCCCTTTTTTCCAACCGATGTCATTCGGTGCAACTCGGTTTGAGTTGATGATATTCCGTTGGCGTCGAAGTAGAAAGAAAAGAGGCGAGACTCCGTATGCATACTGAATCGCCCAGCATGGAGGAATGTTCAACATGGCCATCTATAGCAAGTCATTGTTCGATCCGCACTAAGTGGCTGATTAACAACGTCTTGCTCAAGACTGGAGCCTACCGTTGTATATATTTTAATGTCTGCTGGTTCATACGCTATAAAACAACATTCAGAGTACTAATCTTGCAAGCCATTCTTAGTGAATGCAATTCCTACATATTACTATGAGCTTCACTATTAAAAAATATGCGTTGGTCTCTGATTAGCTTAATAAATATTTAAGGGCACCGATCGTGGCGAGATGGTTAACAAGTCACACAAAACATCGTAGTTAATTCACGCGTGTACTCCTCCTTTAATCTTGTGCCAGACTAAACAGGGCTTAATAAATTACCAATTGGACGCTTACCGTGGACTAATTCGTTAATGCTGTTTTTTGAAGCTACACAATCTTCTACAAAATGGACTGGTATTTCTATATGTCATGACTCTTCTAGACATGGGCGATCATGGCCTTCCACAACCTCTTATGCCATGAGTAACGTTTGTCGCTTTGACAAACCGCCCACGTATGGTCCCGCCATCTATCTACAACAGCTCGTCAGGTAGTTGGCCCGCTGCCTTCCCCTGTCCCTTTTACCTTTGACAGGTCCTGTGAGTGTCAAATTCTATAAGCCTTCCTTCCCCTGGTACTAGAAACCCTAAAAAAGAACTTCCCGGCGTGTCAAAAATAATCAGTTCTCACTAGCCATATACATTTACTCTAAAATCTCAACATAATGGCCTTGTGTCAGATTTCAGTCACTCCACAGGAGTGCATAATGTGAAACATTGTAAAAAGCCAATTAAAAGTCATTTCGGCTCAAATTTTGCCGGTCGATAATTAAAAGGCAAACAGCTATGGTAGCTATTAGTAACTTCCTTTCAAAAACTACCATGACCTTGTGCCAGAGTAAACTTAGCTTAGTAAGTAATCTTTAACAATCTCCTAGAAAAGAGAATTAAGAGGTGGATTCAATACTTATTGGCTACTTGTGCTAGATAAACTTAGTAAATGAAGATTAGATACACTATTTATATTATTCGGACTATTGTCCCCATCTTTGTTGCCATATTTATCACAACGTTTCGGCCATTGTACGCTCCGGCCTTCTTCAGATAGTTGGAATGTCGAACTGAACCCTTTATTTCGCTCGCTGGAGTAAACTGTTCTAGTTCCAGGTGCCATATCTAATGGATGTCAGTTATCAATTATCTCCTGTTAATTCACCTCTCCACTGCCTTAACCAGGTATTGAATTCACAACTCTTTGGGTCCCGTCACTGGATCTAACCAACGCCTTTATCCACTGTGCGATGTGTTCTGAAGAAGGCCGGAGCGTACAACGGCCGAAACGTTGTGATAAATATGGCGACAAAGATGAGGACAATAGTCCGAATAATGTAAATAGTGTACATAATACTTCATCTCAGAAATATAGACAGATACTGGAGATTAGATATTTTCATATCTCGAATCCATATTGGTGTTTAAGACTAAGAAAGTGTGAGAACTTTTGGATGCTGATTTTTAAAATAAGATTTTGTCTCTCTCTCTCTTCCTCTCTTGCCAGAGTTCTCTGCCGTTGTGCGCTCGGGCCTTCTTCAGGTGATTGGAATTTCGAACGGAATCTTTTGTTTCAAGGATACATGGCCCAATGGAGAAAAGCATTGGTTGAGTTAATCCATTGACTTGACCCAAAGAGATGAACAAAAAACTTAGAGAGTTGAGTTACTAAAGGGGAATAACCGGAAGAGGCCAGGCACGTGGAACAAGAAAAATCTACCCCGGTGGGGGAAATAAAGAGTTCGAATCGAAATTCCAATCACCTGAAGAAGGCCACAGCGTAAAACGGCCGAAAGAATCGGGACAACACTTTGAACGATCTAAATATTGTAATTAAAATAATCATCTGGAGCAGGTTTTGTTAAGCTATATGAATTATCTCCCTTGCACCCCTGTCAGTTCACCTCATAGTAGAGATTGACAACACAAAAAACTTCCTTCAAGATAGTCGTTGAAGGAAGTTATTTCGTGCCTAGAAGCCAGTAAAAATAAGCGTAGATGTCTAGTTATTCGGGAACCATCTTCCTGGCAAGACCTCGCACTTTCATTAAAAGTAATATTGCCAGATAAACTACCTGATGTCTACATAAAAACTGATCTAGAAATAAAATATTGGAGCATATTTTTCATGCAAATATTTGTTGGTATACATTATATACAAAAAAATGACCGAGCGTCAATTTTGTTTTTTCGTTCGGAAGCAAAATACATACCCGAGCTCCTCTTTGTCCCGTATTTCCAGGTGGGCCACGTGGACCTTCTCGTCCCTGTAAACAAAATGAATAACAGTTACTAACATAAAAATTGTAATGATACAGATTATATGTGGCGGTTATTGATCTTCTATGTGATGGTGAGAAGTCGGTGGAAAACTCATTATATATCGCCGTTCTATGATTGTAAATCTTCCTTTTTATTCGAATGTAAAGTTTACTTATTTTAGATCATGATTCTTTTACTGTATTGGTTGACCATGCATTGTGTGTGTGTGTGTGTGTTTGTTTATTTCCTTCTTTTTTTCTTCCTTTCTTTGGTTTCTTTTTAACTCAGTCATGAGTCAAATAAGAAAGAAATTACTTACGATCAGTATTGCTGTGACCCGACAGTCATAGACGTACAATATGTACGGTGAGCGTGTCTAGTGCAAAATAACCTGACGGAGCCCATCCATCTTTAGGCTGGTTTTGAATTTTCCTTCTCCTAGATTGGTTGCGCTACCAAGGCTCAAGCGCCCAGTCTGTTCTATTTACGGTAATTTGAATTCACGTCTTTTCCAAGGGCACAGGTGCGAAGTGAATCAGACTTGGTTAAAATTTCAATTTGCTATATCTATTCCAATTTCCGGGCCGATAACAGTTATACTACTCGCATCAGAAGTAAATACATTATAATAAAATGAAGATTTGATAGCGCCAGTGTTCCCTCAGTCGTACTAGCATAGTACAAATATGCAACATAAAGCGCGGTTTTGAACACTCGCTTTATTCGGATGTAGAATGGGTATATAATACATTCGTCTGTCCATTTTCAAGCGATAGAAAGACACGGAAGATGAAACCCCCTGATTTGCCAAATGCCCGCTTTCTTTTGAAAATGTTTACTGGTCAATTTATATGCGCGTCTCATGGCCAAATTCACATTATCACATGACCGCGTACTGGTCACAGGAATTTCGCAACGTTTTTCATCTCTTTAAACCCATTTTTTAACTGAATATGAAAGACCGTTCCTTTGATCACATTAGCCATGACCTTTGGTCAAGCTACGTTGTTCAATATGTTACAGTATTACTAAAGTGCTTTATCCTCGTGACTTAGAAGTGAAGCAGTGTTTTTATCTTCTCACTACTGTTTGCGTTTTTCTATCTTAAAATGTTTTTTTTTTTATATTTTCCAACATTTGAACTGAAAAACAGACAAAGCATTAGAAATATTTTTCTTGTGCTCTTATTGCCATTTGTAGTTATTTTATAGCATTGCATATCGGCTATTCTGTCCGTCTTTTAATTCTGTTTTTTCCGACCTAAAAACATTATAAGCCTATAAATATGAGACAAATTAATAACAGCGTAACTTGGTTGCTATTTCGAAACGTGAAAGACAACGTTTAGAAAATACAGTCATAAAACTATGACATCATTTTGGAGAAAGAGGCTGTTATTATTAAGACACTAACTGAAGATATTTGGAGATCTATTAAACATTATCACCATGTATGTTTAAATGAGTCATACGGACCCTCTTAAGTATACACAGAAACCAACCAAACTCCAACATCCTCGTAAAAAATACAACTATAATAGACTCATGTTAAAAAAATCTAAAAATAGTGGAAGAATTAATAAAAACTCAATAACATCGACTAATAAACACGGCCACAATGTGCTGACCGTGTTTGAAAAAAGATATTCCCAACAGTATAGATACATATATAAAAATCTACATATTTAAATCGTCCCTGATAATAATGGTTAACAGAATAGCCGAAATTATATATATATATATATATATATATATATATATAAAAACAAAGAATCACCTTTCAGGTTTACACAGTCCGACCACTAATATAGGTTTCATGCCTTTAAGCCTGGTGGTCGGCAGCTGTAATGCGAAAATGAGAGACCTTATACTCCCCAGGAAGACTAAGATGGAAAAATCTTCGTGCACCATGCATAAGCCAACCAATCTGACCTGGAGGGGAAAAAGCACCGATCCGGCCAAGATCAAAATAAAGCCGTAAATAGACAATTATGCCCAACCCCTAAAAAAGGGAACATCTCACCGATGCGTCAAAAAATGGTCAGTCCCACAGAGACACCCGCCCCAGAGCTTTCAAATATAGATAGAAATAAGCATCTCTTAAAAAGAGTCTGCCGTGCTTGCACACCAAAATGAAAAGTGCTCAACACCATACAATACAGTATTGAGCACTTTTATTTCTGGCGTGCATACACGTCGGACTCTTTTTTATAAATATATATATATATATATATATATATGCATGTGTGATTCGCAGACAGTACTGTTTCGCTGTATCCCACCTCCTCAGTGCGACTAGACATCCGAATGCCTCAAGCCCGGATCGAAACCCAACCGATTTGGTGTCAGTCAGAGCTTCTACCACTGAGCTATCTTCATTCGGCAGACGAGAAGAAAGATTCCACTTGTACTTATAGTATGTAAAATAGGTTGGTTAATAAAACAAGGGTAAACGAAAGGGTACTATTGTGATCACTGTGAAAAATATTAATTATTAAGCACTAGGTAGAAATGAAGCATGGAAATTAAGGTTTTAAGTCCGGGATTTTCGAGCACGCCTGTGTCCTTCATCAGCGGTGCGAGATAATAAACAGAGAGACAGGGAAGATTCACCAACAGTTATTCTTGGGGCTGGTGCGAATTCTGCTGTAGATGGTATTATTAGTAAAAATCCAATCTCTGATTCCTCGCTGTTTTTTTCCCACTAGATCTATTTTCGCAATAAGTTTCGCACTGCGAGGAATCACACATCATTACATAGCTAAGTGCATCTCAATATGCCTATATGCACATCATTACACAGCTAGGTGTTTCTCAATACGCCTACATGCACATCATTACACAGCTAGTTGCATCTCAATATGCCTATATGCACATCATTACACAGCTAGGTGTTTCTCAATACGCCTACATGCACATCATTACACAGCTAGTTGCATCTCAATATGCCTATATGCACATCATTACACAGCTAGGTGTTTCTCAATACGCCTACATGCACATCATTACACAGCTAGTTGCATCTCAATATGCCTATATGCACATCATTACATAGCTAAGTGCGTCTCAATATGCCTATATGCACATCATTACATAGCTAGGTGCATCTCAATACACTTATATGTAGATCATTTCATAGCTGGCTGCATATCAATATGCCTATATGCACTTTAGAAGCAAAGAAAAAATAGGTGTAATTTCTACGTAAATTTTATACGTAAATTCAAAGAATACTTCTTGTGAAGTATAAAGCTGAGCTTTAGAATGATTTTAACTCTAGAACATTATTAATAATAACTTTTTATTAATTAATTTTAGAACACGATTCACAACTGCTAATGCCAATTAAGTTATCTGTCATCCAACGGCGATAGAAGCATGACACATTAACATGTTGACTGCCAGAGGTCACTTACGAAATCTGGCTACAAACGCCAATTTTACAATAGGCAACATAGGCAATAAAATATTTTTATGAGTTGATTTATAGCTTCATGTGAAGTGTTAACATTGTTTTCACACTAACAGTATCATTGCGAATAAACTCATTGTTGGCACGAATATAAATCGTAGTCGGCGTCATAATAAAAAAATGCCATATATGAGTTAACACGTGGTTGACATGTAAGCTGTTAAATTGTGAATATGCATTAAAATTATGATCAATGCTTCATATATTTATAATTTTATTCTTTTACATATTATTCCGCGGTGAACATGGCCACGTGACACGGTGCCAGAGTGCCCCAGGGTGTTTAATTTGGGAAGCATTGGTTTAAGGAGCAACTGAAGAAAAGATAAGGAAAACAAAAAAAAACAAAAACAAAAAAACAACAAAAAAAAAAAAAAAACATTCCTTACCGATTCGCCCTTCGATCCTCTTTCTCCTTTGGAGCCCTTTTCTCCAATATCTCCCTGTGGAAAAAAAAAAAGAAAAAAAAAAGAAATTTATTATCAGTTTTATCATTTAGGCAATTGCTTCATTGAGGGTGGGATCAGTTGCTGATATCCTGGTTATAACGATAAACTACATCCAGCAGCAAGGCCTCTGATCAGGAGATTTTGAGGGACGTGGAACCACCTCTTAAATTGTTGTTCTTCCTAGATCTACTCTTACCCGACGTGGTAGCACCTGTTAGGGCCCCAGGTATGGGCAAATAGTTACCCCCCCACTGCGAACTGGGGTCAAAACACTATGAAAGTATAAAAATAGATTTTTATAGCAAAAATACCAGCAATGCTTTTTTGTAAAAAAAAAAAAAAATACCAGCAATATATTTGACTCATGACAAAACCCCTCTTTACAGAAATGTCAATGAAACCGGATCTAAAAACTGATTTCTTACAAAAATACATTCTGTTCATATAAAACTATTCTAAAACTCTTGTCGGCATTAAATAACCCATTGAGGTTGATAAGCCGTAAAACATTTTGCCTCCTCTTATTTTCATCGCCCACTAATTATTTCTTTGTCTCATTTGCAAGTTCCAATAAGGTATGCATCGCCTGTAGTCGAGGAGCGAGTGACAGTAAGTCTCTTCTCATCACTAGCACCTTCCTCAGTACCAATACTAAACCAAGGTTCGCCTATCATCAGGCTCACTCCCCACCCTTGTCTTTTGAACAGAAATAGAGGTTTATCCCTTGTTTAGAAGTCGGTTTCTGGTCCCTTCTAAAGCCTTCTTATTCTCTTTCACTGTCCGTTGTTCCCCTCGTCTTAGTGGCATTATCGCCTTGCTTGGGGTGAATTGATTAAAAAAAAAAAAAAAAAAAAAACATACTGTCATAACAGTCTCAAGCCGCTGATAGGGATTTTACAAGCGTGGCTTAGATGTGGCACAAGGCCGAATGTAGGGCACACCCAGTGAGGACCGAACTCACTACTCAGTCGTAATTGTTCTAGCGAGACAAGCGCTAACCATTACACCCCCTTGAAGGGCCTGCTCAAGCCGCTGATATACTGTTCACAGAATTAATAACTATTATTGATATACACTAAACTTTACTTCTGCACAAGACAATAAATTTGGAGCACCCGATGAGGTAAAAAGTCGCGAATAACACGTAACAATTCTAATAAGATATATATGCCCCAATAATAATACCATATAAAAGCCCCTAATAATGATACCAGAAGATAATTTTTATAAATAATACCAGTTGTTTGTTACATAATACTAATGGGACTTTTTGTCCCATCCATAAAAATATTTTGTGTTTTAAATACACATAGGAGTAAGGCTTAATGAAGGTCTCCTGAACTCAGTAATATAGAAACAGATTGGATCTAAATAGTTGGGCTTTGTGTAGATCTCATGAACTCATTAATATAAATACACATTGGATCTAAAAAAAAAAAAAGGGGGCTTATTGACGATCTCATGAAATAAATAAGAACAAATTTGAAGAAATTGTTTGTGCAAATATATGTGCAACTCGTAAAACGAAGGAAAAGGTTTTAATACTACTGAAGAACTTGAACTGAAATAAACGAATTCGTTTATCGTCTGGCGAGTTCACTTCAAGGGAGAGAACTCGTTTTGGAACTGCTATGCATACAGGGGGCGCGATGGGTATATTGTCGCCATTTTATATTTTTAATTTTGCACATGCGCGTTGTTTTTGATTTTGTTGACAGCACAGTATAGTAGGGTTAGTTGAGCCTCGTCTGTGAGAAAAAGAGCACCATGACGCCAGGAATCTGGAAACGACACACTGTACTGCCTGGCATTCGCGACGGAAGCCTCAATACGAACATTTCAGAGTGTTTGGTTGTCAGTCTGAGGATAGTGCAGAAGATACAGAAAAGGTTGGATGATATATCCAGTCAATATCATTGTGTTTGGAGGGATTACTAGTGATGGCAATGTTATGCCTCGATTCATCTTCCCACAGGGCTTCAGATTCAACACGGAGACCTACATCAAGTGCCTTGAGGAGATAGTGGTGCTTTTGTCAAGAGGGTGGCTGTTGGAAGACCCTATTTCTGGTAACAGGACTCAAGCAAGAGAACCGTTTCATAGTTGTCAGACAAGTTCTGCGACCACATCATCCCTTACATCTAGTTACATAACTCCCCAGAATTCAACCCCCTTGATTATTATTCGTGGGGCGCAGTTGAACGAGAGACCAACAAAACTCCTTGTAACATCAAATATGAACTGAAGGCAAGGATTATAGCACCATTCACCAACTTAAACAAGGAGACCGCCCAGAAAAGTTGCAGCACGTTTCGAAATGGTCTGGTATGGCCGTGGTTGAAGCCAATGACGATTTTATTGAATAAATTTACTCTTTTATATTTCAAGATATTTTTGTGTCATTTTGGTAAATATATCTTTTAGAATGAGATGTCAGGATTATTTTCCTTTTTGCGTAATTTAGACGACAATTTATATATCGCACCCTGTAGATATGAATTTCTTTTAGTAGATATAAATAGAATGTTTATTTGATTACCAGCAATTTTGAATTACTTTCATCACATCATAATTATGATAAAATTTCTTTTGTGTGCCGCGTCCCATTAGGACACGGGCGATCATGGTTCTCCACTACTTCTTATCTTTCTTAGTTCTTCGCAATGTATGCCTCATCACCATTCTTTCCGTGTTGTTCTACTATTCATTTACATTAGTTCGTTGGGTAGGCGACTCGCTGTTTCCCTTCCACTCTTTTACCGCCAATATATCCTGTAAGCCCCAAATTCTTCAAGCCCTATGGATCATGAACATTCATGATTTAGTATTATCAAAACACATTGTATAATTATTCTTCTGTGTGTTGTGTTCTTTCAGGACATGGGCGATCATGGCTCTCCACAGCTTTCTATCAATTGCAGCTGTTTGTCTCCGTACTAACCCTTTCAGTACCTGTTCTACCATCTATTTACATAAGCACGTTAGGCATTTCATTGTTTCCATTCGCCTCTTTTGCCTTCAGTAAGTTATGTAAGTTTGAAATTCGCCAAGCCTTCTTTCCTCACGACGTGTTCTAAAAATTTCAGATGTCTTTTTCTGATTTCTATTTTCTTTATAGTTTCTTTGTTGCTCAAATATTTCGTCCATGGTATCCTCAGTATCCTTCTGTAGAATCATATTTCTGTTTCCTTAAGTCTCTTCTTGATTTGTGAGAACATTTCCCAGCTTTGATGATATATGCGGATTGATATTAGAGCACTTTTTCATTGTTTCTTTTGAAATTTGTTTCTTAGTACTTTGTTTAGCTTTTTTAAGGCATCTTTTACTATTCTAGTGCACGGTTGTATTTCGGTGTTACTTTTTTCATCACTTCCCAAATAGACTCAGAAAGAGACATTCTGGGAAACATAGTCAGGAATGAAGGATTGGAGAATTTGACACATAACATACTGAAGGTAAAATAATAAAAGGATATAAAGAAAAGTATTTCTTTTCAATTACAAGGGATTCATTTAAACTGTCCTGGAGCCTGTGGCAGACAATATTACGTTTTCACAAATGGAACATTTACCTTCGAATGTATTTCAAATTAGCTGATATATTATGATAACAAATATACCATTTTTCATACGAGAAAGAGGCTATTTTTCATCGATTAATCATGTGTTTGTGACGATAGGGATTCTTTCCTGTTACTGCCATAATATGACTAACTAAGACGGACAGCGTGATATTTAGAAAGAAGATGGGTTCATCTAAGTAACTCATTCCTTATCCACTAAAACAGGGGGCTCTCAACCTTGCTTGCTCCATGCACCCCTTTCACCATTTGTCAGAATGCCATTTCCCACCCCCTTTTCAAGGTGACAGGCCAAATTCTATAATTGCTCTCCCCCCCCCTAAATTTACTGTTCAAAATTCACCCCTGAAAATCCAAAATTCACCCTCTGGGGATGCTTTCATCCTTGTTGAAAACTCCTGCACTAAAATATTAAGAAAATTTGACAACTAGGTACATCTGAGACCTCTATAGGCTCCGCTGGGTATGGAACTAAAGAATTCAATCAATACGATGCTTTTCGTTGGCTCATAATGAAAGATATGACACTTTTCATTGGCTGATAATAAAAGATTCGACACTTTTAATTGGTTAATTATGAGAGATATGACACTTTTCATTGGTTAATGAGAGATTCTACGCTTCTCATTGGCTAATGATACTATCATACTTTATTTCAAGACATTTATACATTCTTTTTTACAGATAAAAATATTTAAGTAAATGCTCTGTTTACAATAAACAGTATTAAACAACATTTACCGGCTTGAATGTCCGAGAAATTGTCGTAGAAAATATACGTCCTCCGACAGGAATCGAACCTGTATCCTATACGGAATCGTCATATAGATTGACGTACTTTTACCGATTTCGCCACAGAGGAGCGTTCGGTTCGCAAGGTCGATTTTACTGTTTTTAAACTACAATCTTCCATGATTCTCTCACGTACGTTCATATCTGTTCAATGCGTATCCAAATGTAAACAAATGACGTCACACATTATGAAATGGATAAAATCCGACAATGATTTTAAGACATTTTTTTGTTTATACATTCTTTTTTTTTTATAAACACAAATATTTAAGTAAATGCTCCGTTTATAATAATACTTATTTAATACTTAAATATTTGTATCTGTAAAAAAAGAATGTATAACCATAAAAATGTCTTAAAATCATTGTCGGACTTTGTCCATTTCATAATGTGTGATATCATACTTTAGTTAATATTATATTATAGGTAAGTTTTTTATTGGTCAATTAATGATAGTTATTTGAAATGTAGAAGATAATATAAAATCTATTTTCTTACCTGACGCCCTTTATTTCCCTCTTTACCAGTTGGTCCAGTTACTCCACGCTCTCCCTTAAAGTTTGAAGAGAAAATAAGAATATTCAATATTTAAGGTAGATAACATATAAACATATATGTAAACCAGTAAATGCATATACATGTGTGGCATTACGACATATACATATATTCAAGATTTCTCAGGGCCAGTTTTGATAGCAAAATAAAAAAAAATCTGATGTTTAAAAATAAAAGGAAAAATACAAGTGACTAATTTTAATGGAGAAATGGACGTATTAACATTTTTTCCAGATATGCTTAATAAGACCCCAACAGAATATTATTTGTTTTACACAAACATATTTCTCAAAATAATCTCCTTCGTTGTCATTGCACTTAATCCAGTAGCAAATATAAATCATATTGATCAAACATTATACAGTGAAAATTCCAGATCAGAATTCAGCTAATAATTGTGTATTAGTCTACAAATTTATTGATGCGCTCGCCTAAATGTTTCATCACCTCAGCAATTTCTTATGTAAAGGAATGTGGTTACTGGTTTCTTTATATAGTTAGAAGGAATGACCGAGGCTTGACTAGGCGAGTCTGTGCGTATAGAATACCTTAAATATGATTTTATGACATGTATAGTGTAAAGAAACGTTGACGTATTTAAAATTACCGTCGAAAAAAAAAAAGAAAGAAAAAAAGACGGTTTTGATTCTCTGAAGCCGACAGTTTTCGATCAAGCCTTATTACTTTAATAGTCGTATTACTTTGTTTTTAATTATTTCACTCCAATTAAGGCAAAAATAGGATCGTTGATAAATTTAAAATATTAAAGAATAAAATAAAATCATACTTATTATAAAACCCAGGTTGTGTGTGTGTTTGTGTGTGTGTGTCTGTACGTTTATATATTGGATCGGATTTCCTACATTTTTCAACCGATTTCAACAAAACTTCACAGGCCTACGTAAAATTACCTTGCGGTGGTTCTGACAGCGCCAAAAATTGGAAAAATACAATTGTTTTTGCACGAAATCAATTTGAAAACACGATTAAGAGGCATCACGAGAATGAAAGGGGGACAACTCATATCGAGTTATACTTATTATAAAACCCACGTTGTTTTTGTGTGTGTGTGTGTGTGTTAGTTTATATATGGGATCGGATTTCCTACATTTTTCAGCCGATTTCAACAAAACTTCACTTTTTTTGGGCAGGTAGTGTTTCTTATTGTCTTGCACACTTTTCTCTTTATTTTTACATTCAGAATGCTTTAAAAATTCCATTTACAAGACAATTGTTTATAATAAAATTCTATTCAATCGGTAGACTCATAATGATTGAAAACAATGTTTTTGTTTGAGTTTGACCAATTCGTAAAAAAAAAACAACAAAAAAAAAAACTAATTAAGACGTGCGTGTCCGTCAACGTTAAACAATAATCTTTGTCAATTTTATTTTTCAGTCTTTATGATGGTCGATACTTGATCTATCTTACTGTTACATTCCCGAGCAACGCCGGGCTCTACTGCTAGTTACTAATAAAAACAAGCTAAAACGTTCTAAAAGTAATCCTTACTCGCCATCTTACAAAAAGAAATAGATAGCAGTTTAGGTATTTTCACGGAATAAAGAAAATCATTTTGCCTGCAGAAGGGCTTGATGTCAAATGATTATTGACTTCAGTCACTTTCTCACCGACGTGACGTGACTTCCATCTCTTTTTTTCTACAAATATTTTCATCGTAACTGTTCTGATGAGCTTTTTTTCCCTTAGTGCCCCGACTGCATGAATTTAATCATGCTTCAAGATTGGCTATTAGATCTCACCATTTTATTGTTCAACTAGCTAGATGTAACCGCTTCTTCTATTCTAGCAGTTTATTTTCTCTCACTTCTCACATGTGGAACTCCCTTCCGAGTTCTTGCTTCCCTGACAACTACAATCTTCAAAAATCTGAATGCAACGTCATCGCCTACTTCTCTATTCTTGAGCCCCGTTTCTTTACGTCCTGGGTATGACGATCAATTACATCCGCGTCCTGGGTAAGACGATAAACTACATCCGACAGCAAGGCTTCTGATCAGGAGGTTTTGAGGAGCGTGGAACCACCTCTTAATTACTGGTGTCTCCAGGTCCGCCCTAACCCGGGGTGGTAGCACATGTTAGAGTTCCAGCTATGGGGAATTAGTTAACCCCCAAACTAGGATCAAAACATTATGAAAGTGTAAAATAGATTTTTAATACCAATAATATATTTTTGGAAAAAATTATTACCAGAAATAGATTTTGGAAAAAAAAAATACCAGCAATACATTTTTGAAGGAAGAAATTATTACCAATAATACATTTTTGGAAAAAAATATTACCAGCAATACCTTTTTGAAAAGAAAAATATTACCAGCAATATATTTCGAAAAAAAAAAATATTACCAGCAGTAAATATACCGTAATATTTAAGTAAACCAAACTAAACCCAACCCAACCCAAATCTGTTTCTTCATTGTACTTTTCTTCACTTCTCACTAAAGTCTTGTCATTCTTTTTCCTGTACCCCCGCCCTGCGTTCAAGTGGCATTATGAGCTTGCTTAGGGTGATATGACTAAAAAAGCGGAAAAGACGACTATGCAACCATAAATATTGAAACAGTCGTATACAAAGATGTCGGCACTCACTGAGATGTTCACCAATCGCCAGTTGCACTATGGGTGCGTGTCAACGTTGTAGTGTGACGTGCTTGGTCGTTTATGACCCAAAATAAGACATGCCGTTCAAGCCGAAACTCCAATATCTGCGACGTGTCTTCAATCTAACGAGATTCACACTGGCACGTAAACGAATAAAGAAGAGAACTTTTATGGATGAAAGGAAAACTATCTCTGCTAATTGAAGAAAAAGCATTCCTAGTGTTAAACACCAGGTTCATATTCACTTCAGGAAAGCAATGACATTGCCCAACCAAAGTAATATTTACATCACCCGATTCGACAGTAATGTTCAATATATTTTCACTTTTTATGCTAGACTTAAGTTTCTTACCCTGATGACGTGTCTTTGCCAGAACAGTCCAAACATGTTTAATAGGATTCAATTTTAGGAAAATGAATTAGAGTAGCTTATTAACCTTTTTTTTTTTTTATCTACTGTGGAGTATTATACTCTCTACAAAAAAACTAATACAGCTCTGGGCAACTAATGACACAGCGTAACTCGCTCAGCTTTTCACTGACCAGGCAATGAATCCCCAACATTGCGTCTCTATTCTCGCTCGTGTCGGTGAGCGAAGAAGCTGGAAATATCGAAACACTTAAGACTTAGATAAAACTACACACACCCTCTCCCCCTTCTAATGCGGACTTCCTAATCATAGTGTCACAGAAATATCTGAAAAGAAAAAAAAAATGTGTCGTGGTACGAAGACATCCACGGCTTTGACCAGCATGTCAAATACTAATTTTTTTTATGACGAATTGGTTTAAAAAAAAAAAAAAAGTGGCTTTCGTTTGGTTGCTCTGTCATAATAATTCCAATGCTGAACATGTACTATTGTTTCTGGTCTGATATAGACACAATACAGCATTTGGATACATTCAATTGGTATATATTTTTAATATTTCTTGTTTCAGGAGTCGAAGACACATTTTTTTTTATATTTCGAGTCGATTTGAAAGGGATAGTCAAAATTGGAAACGATTAATACATTTTTCAACATAATCTTCTTCATGATTGCATTCAGTGGTGAGTATGAATCACATCGTTCATTGTGATGTAAAGTATATCGGCTGGGAATGTGAAACCGGAGAACTGAGTTCGAAATCCAGTCGGGTTCGTTACATTACGCGCAAATCCTCTTAGGAAAGGTATGAATCCATCTCTCACCCCCCAGCTATGGGTTGAATATCAGGACAGACTGGGTTCTACAGTTGGCAACCAGTCTACCACAAAAAGAAATGGCCACCAACTGTGGGAATATCTCCTGCTATGTCAGTCATGAATCAAAAAAGATGATCACCTAAGCTTGAATCACGTATAGCACTTAATTGAGTTCAAATATTATGTAAATAGAATTTTAAATCGGAATTCAGCTTATAACTACGCGTCATGCCATGGATTATTTTTTTCGTGTGTAAAGAAAGATACGCCTACGTGTGTGCGTTTTTGTCGTTAAAAAGTGATGTGCAACTGTGGATTTTGTTGCCTTGGTGACATGACGTAAGAAGCCTCATTTGCATCAGCAGCAGCAGCAGTAACAACGCCAACACCAGCAATAATAATAAAACCAATTAAATAAATACAGAAAAAAAAAAGTCCAGAAAAAATTATTTACTTATCCATTTTCCTAATTAGGAGTTTTAATAAGCGTAAACCATTTTGATACTTTCCAAATGCCAGTCTGGTCTGATTCATTAACTTTATTTCAAGGAAAAGCCTTTATTCAGAATGCAACGAAGAACGAAAAAAAATCACGCACATTATAAATATAATTTAATGCATCTGGCCAAATAGTAGAAATGGAAAAGGAGAAGGCATTTTCTGTTTGGATTTCTGCGATTAAGAGTTATCGTCATTTACTTTCGGTCTGATGTCCTCATCATTGTTGCTGTTATCACGTTCTGTTGTCCGACCTTCATCAGGTGCTTTTCGATCAGGGATTACCAAATTGAACCCTTTATTTAATCTACTCAGGTAGAGTGTCCCCGTCATGTTGTCCAGGTGAAGAAAAATGTTGTAACCTAAGAAAGGTTACTGAATGAGGAATAACCAAAAGTGGGATTGGAGATGGCATGGTAATCTTTATGATATCAACAAAATACAATACTCGCCAGCGGCGTGAAGAAGGTAAACCACTGCTTGTGGTGGACTACTTAAACAGCATATTAACACCAACTTACAATAGTGCCCAACGTATTTATGAGGATTATAACATTAATGTTCATAGGTACATTATATAGCAGAATATATCATCTTTCTTCAGTTACTTCTCGTCTTTTTTTTCATTGAGTCTAAGAATGCCCTACCCGGCTGAGGAATTGTCACCAAATTTCCGAGCCAACCAGCCTATTGTTAGTAAAATCAATCATTGCCATGCGTTCCTATTATTGTATTATTTCTAATTAATTTTTACTGATATATTATTATTATTATTATTATTATTATAACCAAGCGGGTTGCAGTCTGGGGAGTTATGTGGCCAGATGTAAAGGGTGATGTTATCGCAGAAATTGTCTGACAGTCATAGCTAGGTTCTCCCGCTTGTGTACAGAGTCCTGTTGCCAGACAAAGTGTCTTCCAGCAATCACTCTCTTGACCCAGGGCTGGACTACCTCCTCAAGCACTTGATGTAGGCCTCCGTGTAAAGTTTGAGGCCTTCACCAACAAATTCGGGAGTTCTTTTCTTATCAGAACAATGAGAGTGAGTTTTCCGTAGGCTTGAGAAATTGCCGTAGCTTCGTAATCACCATTAGACTCATCAAACTCTTTCCGAATCCTCTTCACTATCCTCAGATTGATACTCAAACAATTTGAAATGATGGAGCTTCCGGTGAGAATGCCAAGGAGTACAGCATGCCCTTCCTACATTTCTGGCGGAGCAAATTGCATCATGGAGCTCTTTTTCTCACAGACTGTGCCCAGCCGAGTCTACTATACTATGCAGTCGACAAAATTAAAAACAAACAAAGATCATGCGAGAAATTAAAAATATAAAATGGCGCCAATTTAACCATCGTACCCTGTATATTTGATGGTATTTTCTGATGAGTGGACGTAAAGATTGTTTGAGGGTCTATCTACGAAACTCTAGTATCGAGATGTTTCTCAATCAGCTAAGTGAGAAATTTTATATTCGCATTAATCCTATATATATATATATATATATATATATATATATATATATATATATATATATATATATATATATATTATTTAGGCTCAAATTTCTTTTAGACATAATTGATTAAATAAATTATAAACATTGTGTCTGCTTATTTTTAGCAAAGTACGTTCATATTCATGGATTCTAAAAATAATCAATGTTTGTAATTTATTTAATTATATATATATATATATATATTATATATATATATATATATATATATATGTGTGTGTGTGTGTGGTCAATAATTATATTCATAATTAATGAATGACCAGGACCATAGTGACCTATAAATGTCATCGATCTATCTCGCCATCTGACCTGGATTAGTGGTGTTACACGAAATGATGAAGACGGCCAAGAGATAAGTTGATTGAAGTTTATTAATGCCACCTTACTTATTTATAGAACACTTTCTTGACAAGAATTCTGCTCACCTTGAAATACATTAAATTCTTGTATTTTAAAAATTTATTTTGATAGGTGTTATTGATATATCATAATTTTACCGAATATAGGGCGTAATTATTAAAAATGAACTTGAGTATTCTCTAAGAATAGGAGACTTTTTCTTAGAACTTAGGAACAATTGTAGGAAATTTTATTGTCCTAAATCATTTTACGCTGGCAGTGTATTGCACAAGGAACTGAAAACAATCTTAGACAGTGATGAAGTCTATGAAAGAAATGATCATTCTATAGCCGTTGACAAGGTATTTCAGCGATATAACGTCGCATAAAAATATACATTTCCTATGTATGTAAGTCGGCATGGAGCCATTACTTAGGTAGACTATCAATATTTACCTGAAGATTCGCTGAATCTTTTAATCTAAAAGGTTGTCTATATTTCTGAGATGTGGTATTATATACACTATTAAATTATTCGGACTATTGTCCGCATCTTTGTCGCCATATTTATTCAACGTTCCAACCACTTGAAGAAGGCCGGAGCGTACAACGGCCGAAACGTTGTAATAAATATGGCGACAAAGATGAACGACAATAGTCCGAATAATGTAGTGGCTAAAAGATTGTGTTCTCTTTTTTTAGCTTAGATCATATACACCCTTGTGCAAATTAATTGAAACAAAACGATTAATTCCGTTATTATTTACTCCTTTTTCATATTTTCCAATGGAACATGACCCAGTGTACATATTAGTACTTCGTATGTCCATTCCCCGAAGTCGTTCCTTGCAGATTGACCACAGATTCTCGATTGGATTTAAATCAGGAGAGTTTCCGGGCCATTCTATAGTACTTTGATTTGCTCACTGATAAGGCTTGCCAGTATGTTCGTGCAGCGTTGGAGTAACGTCCATCGCAGACAATGGCCGTAAGACAACTAATCGACAGTCGAGACAATAGTGTCTGGGCGTGATAAAAATCTGATGCAATCACGGATGACGCAATATTTTTCAAGACCAAACAAATTTCATCATACACGAAAATAGGTTCATATTACTGCACACCACTGGAAATGCCCTAATCCGAGGAAAAAATAGAAATCGATTACACTCAGTCACTCCAGTGGGTCTAAAGTTGACCGAATGGTGAAAGAAAGGAAACTAAAGAGGTTGTTTCAATTAATTCACACAAGGGTGTATTTTTCTAGTGAACATGATCTGATCAGTTAATTAAAAATCTTACGAATTTTGAGAAAAATATCAACATAATTTGGGGATATACCGGATATACTCGTGCAAATCCAGGGAGGGGGCAAGCCTGATTGGGGGCCCCGGGCAGAGCTATGTGACCCTTGTTATCTGAACATTTGTTTTTTCTACCTGTATTTATATGAATTCATCGGTTAAAATTTGAAATGACAGTCTGTATTATTGAATGTAGCAGACAATGAATGACAGTTAAGTTTTTTAATCAACTTTTTCTTGTTTTCGGACCAAACGCTTTACATTAGATGGAAATCCGTAAATACATGATCCATAGTTGAATTGTTAAAAAGAAAGCTTTCGTCGCTCCATCGATTATCATCAAAGAAGAAACTAAGAAAGCTGAAAGTTACAAAGTGATGTTTAACTCTGTTGAAAATTATTTTACGAATTAACCGGTTACGATTTGAAATGATGTACCTAGTAAAGTCGATTAAAAAGCGTAACTGTCTTTCAATTTCTGTTAAATTCAATAATGCATGTCTATTGACTGTAGTTACAAAAGGTAATATGTAGATATCTCGAGACATTTGAATGCTTTCTTCTTGTTCTGAGATCTTCGCACCAATCATGAAGAAATCAATATATAACCGTCTCATTTACATATCTGTTGTAGAGTAAGCGGAAGTGAACAGTATCAAATCAAAGAAGCAAATGACAAAAATAAACACCACGCAAGAGCTCCGCGCAGCCTTCTGTGTTTCAAACATACTTCAAATTTTCAATTTAATAAAAATAAATAGCCAATGAAATAAACACAGGCTTCTAGAACTTACACGAAACCGTAATGACCTAACATTTATTCATTCAGCTCAGCAGAAGGATTGACAGCAATAATGAGACACAAGTCAACCTTGTTGTCCTGCCTTTCTCACCAAAGCAACAACGGACTCCCTTTGACCTTGTCTCCCAACTCCACTTTCTCTCTTCCTCACTGAAAGGCTATATATATTCATTTCCTTACAAAGAGAAGAACTTTCTAACTTTCATTTCATGATAAGTAATTACAGTTAAATTACAGTGTATCTGACGTTTAAATAAAGGAAACGAAAATACATACCTTAACACCTTTTGTGCCATCTCTTCCCTCTTCGCCTTTTGAACCCTACAAAATAAATTGGTTGAGATATGAGTTATTGAATGTGTACATCTGTTTTAAAAGGAAAGTACAGTTAATTTTAACGTGACAATCTTTTCAGAAAAATATTTCTATAATTAAAGTTTAGATAAAATATTGGCAGCTATTATTTATTGAGTAGAAGCGGTGAAAAACAACTAAGATTTAAATGTAAGAAATACCGGTTAAAATTAATTATGGCTGCTAATACATCATCTAATAAATTATAATAATATCACAGCAATTATCTCCCTTGAACACAGGTGATGACCAGAGGAATTACAATGAAAAGAAACTAAAATTAAGATGAAAGGAATCTTCTTTATGTGCTGTGTCACCCGGGACGTAGACAATCATGGCTCTCCACAATTTCCTGTCCATCGTAGCTCTTAGTAAATTTTATCTTTTTGTTATTTCTTCTAAACCTTGCTCGGTGTTATTTTGGCTTGTTATTTACAAGAAAAAAAAAATCTACACCGTACATTTTTTTAAAAATTATATCTACATGGCAAAACATATATATATATATATATATAACAAGGAAAATGTAATTAAAATATTGAAAATTTTTCTTTCATTATATTCGGCTAAAATTTCTACACCGTACAAATTTTAATTTGGAATGATATGAAAATAGTAAAACATGGTCGTACTTTACTTTGTTATCTACAAGGAAAAGATAACAAGAAATAGTTTTACTATTTAGGTATCATTCCAAAATAAAATTTGTACGGTTTAGATATTTTTCCTTGTAGATAACAAACCAAAGTAGATATTTTTCCTTGTAGATAACATGCCAAAGTAGATATTTTACCTTGTAGATAACATGCCAAGGTAGCACCTCCGTCGTCCAATTTCGCAAGACTACTAATTATGTTATGCATTGTTTTCCTCTGTGCCTCTCGTCTCCAATTTGTCCTGTGAGTATCAGATTTTCCAAGCCATGTTTTCTCATTATGTGCCCTAGAAATTTCAACTGTCTCTTCCTGAGGTGAGGTGTGCTTCTTTTTTCCTTTGAGTATTTTTATATTCAAGAATAATTATATGCAGTTACCAAATATCGATTGTCTCTTATTTTTTGATTGTCTCTCAAATTCTTATTCGAATTTTCTCAGAGTAAAAAAAAAGAAAGAAAGAAAGAAAGAAAAAAATAAAGAAAATGAAACCGAAATAATAAAATAATTATTCCAAGGCTTTTGAAATCATTCTATATGTTGCTTTTGTTTTTATTGCAACATTTCTCCTCTCGAGTATATAACATGAAAAGGGAGAAGTCTCTTTTCACAGAAACCAACTATATACGAAGAGGAGCTGAAAGTTATCAGTCAGACCCAATTCCTAAAATTTTACCAAAATATTAAACACTAGCAATAGAACACGTCTCTGACCGGGTCTTTCATTACTGGAAATTTTTGCTGTTCACTTGAAGCAGTTTAAGTTTTAAGTAAGCCCACCCGAAAAATCAATATTAGCAACAGCATTTGGGTGCAACTGAGGCACACCCCCAAATAAGGGGGGCCCTGAAAAGGGAATACTATAATAAATATTAATGTAATAATTTAAACTATTTTTATTAAAGTTTTTATGAAAGATATATATCCAAGAAGAGATAGTAAATATTAAAACGTAGCTTAGAGTTATAATGGAGAGGAAGTAGTGGAGGGCCATTGTCGACAACAATTTGGACACAAAACCGACACTGAAGCATTATCTATCAAACAAAAAATATTTTATCGAAATCGGATGAAAACTGTTGAAATGCATAAACAACATCCGATCACACACATACATACACACACACATTTTGAGAATTATAGAGATAGATTAGATTTTTTCGAACGGATTCTTAGTCGGGTTGAGAAATTTTCAACACTGTCTTAGGTTATACCGACAACAGTCAATATAAGAATAGCGACTGAACGAATTTGTTATACTAAAGTACACCCCATATTAAACTTGAGAGTCACTCAAGGTAGACTGTTGCTGTTAAAATGGTTATAATGAATAAGGTGTGTGATATGAATGAAAGAGCAGTCGGTTGGAAGTGAAGATTATGATAATAGATAAAAATTGAGGCTTGACTTAACCTTTTGAGCCTTGACCACCGCTTTACCGGTGGTAGAGAAAATGACGTAATGCCCAGCCACCGGTTGAACAGTGGTAGAGAAAATGACGTAATGCCCAGCCACCGGTTGAACAGTGGTAGAGAAAATGACGTAATGCCCAGCCACCGGTTGAACGGTGATAGAGAAAATGACGTAATGCCCAGCCACCGGTTGAACAGTGGTAGAGAAAATGACGTAATGCCCAGCCACCGGTTGAACAGTGGTAGAGAAAATGACGTAATGCCCAGCCACCGGTTGAACGGTGGTAGAGAAAATGACGTAATGCCCAGCCACCAGTTGAATGGTGGATAAGCACGTAACTATTTTTATATCTACCGTGAAACATTGCATACCAATTATTTTCGAAATTGGACTCAGGAGCTCAGGCAGAAAGGGTTAAAATTGTTCAGGAACACAGGGCTCAAAGAGTTAAAGAAGTTAAGATCATTGCGTTCAGGGAATCATTCATACAAAAATCTGTTTCACAGACTACCAGTTCTTGGGGACAAAAGTTGTTTGAGTTGAACTTTTTTCTTATGTTTAAAATACAGGAGAAATGAGGAAGATTTGACTAGATGGAAGCAGTACAGCGAGTCTTAGATAAATTGGCTGAACTAAGAAGTAGAGGACTTAGGGCCATATCACATTGAAACATTGGTTCTCGCACGATCACCGAAGTTAAGCAATGTCGAGTTTTTTCAGTAACTAGATGGGTGACATTTTGGGAATACCAGGTAATGTAAGCATGGATATGCGGTAGGTGTAATGGATAATGGCTCGGAATTGTTAATTGGAGAGATGAGTTCCAATTCCCGTTGAGTTCCTTATATTCACTTACGCGCAAATACACTTGGGAAAGGTATGAATCCACCTCTTCTACCCCAATCTATGGGTTAATTAGTAAAACTTGTACCACTAAACAATTATCAAAAACAAAAATGCCGACAAAAACATTGATTTTAAAAATGGGTGGATAAACCGTAAAAAAGCGAATCAATCTAAAGAGTAGAGAAAAAAAATTATGACCGTATTTTTAATATCTTATTTTTTAATCGGTATCAGCCCAAGCAAGGCAGTATAGCCACAAAACACGCAAGGGACTTCAGGGTGTAGAGGGATTAGGAACAAAAACATTAGTAATGAGTAGAAAGAGAAAAGTGTAATCAGGAGGACAGTAGATAGCGATTGACATTGCATTAAATTTTTTACAGATTAAAATTGGCCGGAAAGCATGGAGTCGGAAGAGAGTTCCACAAGCAAGAAGTTCGAGAAAAGAAACTGTTAGCATAGAGGTTATTGCTACATCTAACTAGCTCAAATGTAAATGGATGAGATCTCGACGTCAAGCTAGTATTGCGCTTAAATTCATACAGTCTAGGTACCACAGCGAAGAGCGATATTTATTTCCGCTTCAAATACAGAAAATGTGGCACAAGGTCAAAAATGGGGAATGGAGGATAAGGACTGTCTTCTGTCTTAAATTTAACCTTAGCTAGCCACAAACACTGACCCAAATATACAACAATATTCCTTACACCACAACAAGGCATTCTTACTTACTTTTCTTACTACATCCACCATAATACCTCATTGTCTCTATGAAAATCCTAACTAGTCCCCATATGTACAATTCATTGTCTGTGGGGGAGGTGAATAAAAGAACAATTTAAAAACTAGCCGTAATAAGCGAAGAGCTAATCCGAACAATTACTATGAATGTATTTATAGAAAAGGCAGAGAAAGACAACCTTATGGCGGTGGCCAAGTGACTGAAGCCGAGCCGCCAGATCAGGACCAATAATATTGCTGATACTTCTATGGATCTTATCAAGGAGCTCTAGGTAAATAGCAGGGACACAATATTCTAAGCATGGACATATGGTAGACTTATAGATATGTAAGATAGATTCCGGAGAGAAAAATTGTCTCGTACGACATTCTTAGTAGCTGACCAAACAATTGATTCAATCAAGTCTTTACACCTAATCTCAGTTGAGAAGATTATCCTGAGAAGGCATAATGAGTTACTTTGAAGGTGAGCATCAGTCATGCTGATGGAAGGCAGAGAGGGTCCCGCAGATGATTAACGGAGAAAAGTGTAGAAGGAAACCATTTACATTGTTACTTTGGGGACGAGGTACAAATAAAAATGCCGGAGATTGAGAACATTGACGGAATCTGTAAACAGAAATATGACGGGAAAATGATGGGCCAGTGTGTATTACAGTGCAATGGAGTTTCTTTTTTGCTCAACAGAGAAAAAATTGTAATGCCTCTCTGCACATAAAAAATACACGTGTGTTATACGGACTGCAGATAACGGAATGGCCCAATGTGGCTCTCACTGCCAGGAATGAACTCAACCATTCACTATGTTAGACAACGTTTCGTTTCTTGCGCAATAGCACAAATTATCTGCAAAATGACACCACTTATTTTTTTTTGTACAGATTAAATAGATGAAGATGAATGTACAATAAAATGGATGGAATGTTGTTCTAACAAAATTATAACATTGGCATCATAATGATTTATTATTTAAATTATAACATTTTTAATAAAAATTAATACGAACAAAATGTTTTCAGTTCGTCAGCTAGAATTATTTGCGGATGAATAAAAAATGACTAAATTTTCATTAAAGCAAAAATTAAAAAGAAAAACTTGCTGATTAACCCTTAAAGGATAAAAAAGTGCAGAAATATTATAATTACTCATTAGGAATAATTTTTGTACGAAGACTTTCACCAAAAATGGGTTCGACGAATTGAAGTATGTTCATATAGGTTCGTTTGAAGATATTGGAGTAATAGACATTAATATTTAATTGTATAGAAATGATGTGAGCAATACCTTAAGTCCAGGTACACCGGGTACACCAGGAAGACCTTGGACACCTTGTAAGCCGGGGGGACCCTGTAACATAAGAAAAATGCATCAATAGGATGACCACTTTGAAAATGAGAAACAGAATCAGCAGAATAACTTTTACGGTCGGATGCACACAACATTATATATATATATATATATATATATATATATAATACTATATATTTTAAATAATATATATATAAAAATACATTATATATTTTTGAAATAATATATAATCTATATAAAAATAATATTTAATAAATATACATGAAAGTAATACGTAAGATATATAAATACATATGTACATAAAATAAATACATAATATATATAAAATACCTAATATATATAACAAATATATAAACTAATGCATGAGATATATATATATATATAAATAATACATGATATATATAAACTAATACATAATATATATAGCACAAATATATAAAATATATAATATATATAAAATATATAATGCATAATATATATAGTATATAAGATAATATATAATATAATACATTATATATATAAAAGATAATACATAATATATATATATTTATGTATATAAAAGATAATACATAATATATAAGATAAAACATTATATATATATATATATATATATATATATATATATATATATATATATACACAAGATAAAACATTTATATGTATATATGTATGTGTGTGTGTGTGTGTGGGGGGGGGAAATGATGTATTCTTTTTGTATACTAAACCAGTGTTAGGAAAATTCATTACAAAGTGGAAAAAAATCTCCTTTGACGCTTTTCGTACTTAAGGATTTGATCGGACTAAAATGGTGTTAATGTTGATAGTGTTACACATGTGCACACACCAGAGGCTACGCTGAAATTTTAAACTTTTAAATTTAATTTTTTTTATAAGTGTTTCGATATAATATCTAGCGAATTGCATTTATAATCGTCAGGTAAGATGCATTGATACGCATTGAAACACGACCGCATTTGTGTAGCGATTTTGACATTTTCGATGTAATATCCTAAAATAAATAATATTGCTCTACTTTGTATTGAACCTTCTTTTACTCGATTCGTTCTCATCTATATATATATATATATATATATATATATATATATATATATATATATAAAACATTTTTATTTAGTTGTTATTTACTTTCTTAAATTCTACAATTTTCATTTTAAGAATTTAAGAAAGTGAACGGTCCGATAAACCAAATAAATAAAATTATTTCGAACAGTCGGCACGCTAAAGCATTCTTTTTGAAAAACGCGAAAAGAACAATAGATCCGGGGAGTTCCAAACTAAAATATATATATATATATATATATATATATATATATATATATATATATATAAAAAATTAAAAAATTTTGTGCGACGCGTTTCGTGTCTTAGGACTTTATCGGACTAGGTGTATTTTGGAAGCAAACCGAGCTGATGAGGTCTTAGGGAACGAAACGCCTCACGCGGAAACATTTTTTCCCCATTGTGATACATATCCACACCCAACACCCCAAAACTGTGTTTGATATATAAAAAATTATATATCCTTATCCGATATATATATATATATATATATATATATATATATATATATATATCAGCTCGTAGCATAATGATGACAAAACAATTATTTCATAAATTTTTTTTTTTTTTTTTTTTTTTACAAATTCCTTGTCAATGCACTTAATTCAGATTCAGTATATATATATATATATATATATATATATATGTGTGTGTGTGTGTGTATGTATATATAGATATTAAAATCTGTGTTTCGCTATTCGGAGATACATAACTGTATTTACTGATTGGCTAGCAACGGTTTTTCTTTGACCAATCTGTACAGAGTTTTACACAGATATGTATACAAACTGAAAAGGTCACACGACGAGTGATATTCTAACTTAAAAATAATCTCTATCTGTTGATATTTTAGAAACAAGCTAATAAAATAATTAATTTCCCTTCCCTTTCCGAATCCTTTTGACTCTATCCGTGTCGATTGATAAATATTTACTCAACAGGAAACCCAACAAAATTTCCGTGGGACGGTAGGAATGTGCTGCGCTTAAGAATTTTTACCGCTATGTTTGTGCGCCATCTGGCCGCGTACAAACACGAGAGTGAATTCCGACGATGTTAGTGCGATGAAATAAGCAAACACGCAAAAAGAGTAAAATAACGAAAAACAAAGACCAAAAGTAGGTCAAATTTTGTCACTTGGTTTTAGTTCCGGACTTAACAAAAAGAAAAAAAAAGAATGAAAGAAAGAAATAAAGAAAGAAACGACAAGAACGGAGACGAGTGTCCGTTTTAGGAAATCATTCGTCGACTAGAGGAAGTGACTGGACGTCAGATTTGCCCTGTTATTTCCTTGTTTGTGAAGACGGCGTATTCTCATTCGAAACAGTATTTTTTTTTAGTTATTTTAGCATTTGATTCTATTTCTTTTGAAGATATTATTTTATCTCCCCTATGACAGAATTTTGCTTTAATTCAAGAGTTCCCAAACATTATTGCGTCATTGCCCATTTTCACTTGGGAAACTTTTCCATCGACCACTTGTGTAATAAATATTCCAAAGCAAATCTACATTTTTTGGTAAAAAGTTTGTTACTGGAATTGGATCCTTAACTGGCTAAATTCTTTGTTACTGGAATTGAAACCTTACTGGTTAAACGGAATTCATGATGTATTAAAAAATATCAAAGTGAGGTAACAAATACCGTTGCTAACGGCTGCTGTTGCTACTGTCATATTAAAGAACAAATGAAAATAAAATTGAACATTCAAAACTATATAATTTACACTATTTACATTATTCGGACTATTGTCCTCATTTTTGTCGCCATATTTATTACAACGTTTCGGCCGTTGTACGCTCTGGACTTCTTCAGGTGGTTGGAATGTCGAACTGAACCTTTTATTTCGGTCACTGGGGTAGACTGTTCTAGTTCTACGTGCCATGCTTAATGGATGTCAGTTATCAGTTATCTCCTGTTAATTTCCCTCTCCAAGTTCTCCACTGCTTTAACCGGGTATTGAACTTTTTGGGTCCTGTCACTGGATCTAACCAACGCCTTTATCCACTGTGTCATGTGTACTTGAGGAGTCGGAGAGGGGTATTATTAACAGGAGATAACTGATAACTGACATTCATTAAATATGACACGTAGAACTAGAACAGCCTACCCCAGTGAGCAAAATAAAAGTTTCAGTTCGACATTCCAACCATCTGAAGAAGGCCGGAGCATACAACGGACGAAACGTTGTAATAAATATCGCGACAAAGATGAAGACAATAGTCCAAATAATGTAAATAGTGTACATAATACTTCATCTCAGAAATATAGACAGATACTGAAGGGCCGAAACGTTATGATAGATATGGCGACAAAGATGAAGACAATAGTCCAAATAATGTAAATAGTGTATATAATACCTCATCTCAGAAATATGGACAGATAATAATTTAGTTTTATGTTTATAGTTAGCGTTGCAAGTGTTGACAAAAATTAAACAATTTTTGTTTATATTTATTAAATTAAAAAGAATATACCCTACTAGCAACTGATAAAATTAAACGAATATTCTTTTATGTCTAATACTTTTACGGCGCTAATTTCGCACCTACAAAAAAATATAATTGTTGAAATCAATCCCTCGATATTAAAAATAGCGCACAACTTTTTCTGGCGTTTTAACGCCGAGAGAGCAAGTGTGTGGTAAGTTAATGAATGAGGAAACAGAAGTTAATATGAGAGACGATCCTGTTTTCAAGCCACAGGTGCAGAAGTCAAATAGCGGCTATTGCTTCTCAGACAAACGAATTCATGTAAATAGCTTCCCTAAAACTAAACTATATCAGTTATGATTCAATTTATTAAATAACACCTTCTTTGTATATCTCTTTTGAGTTTTTTTTTCGAGTAGTCTATGTTGAAATATTTTTTTAATACTGAAAGTCCGATATTGTCCACCTAAATTTCCAATCGCTCATTATTTTCTATTTATTTGCTCATAGCCTACCCAACAGTTGAAATCGTCCACCGGTGGCTGATATCGTTCATATTGGGAAATCCTGCTTTAATTTAAAGATGTTTGTGTCGACGTTAAGTAACATTCTTGAGTCATATAACCTTAAATTCTCGGTCGCTTTATAGGACAAAAAAAATGCGTATTAAGCAAAATTCACTTCACATAGGTCGCAGCATTTATACACATGCCTCACCCCAAACAGAATGTGACACAAGGACGACTTTAAAATGGAGGTAAAATGTGTACATGGTATCAGGGATAACAATTGCTCAAGGTACCTCTGCATCACCCTGTTGTATACGCTAAAGATTAACCGTATTCCCTTTCTCTCTCTCTCGAATGACAGGTATTGTCTTTTTTTTTTTTTTTTTTTTTTAAATCTTTTCACCCCAAGCAAGGCTATAATGCCACTAAGACACAAGGGGGCTACTGGAATAGGAAAAAAATTTGAGAAAACTTTAGAAGGGACCAAAAACCCAATCGTAAATAGGAAAAAAGGAATAAACCTCGACACCTTTCCAAAAGACGGGGAAGAAGTGTGAACTGACTGATAGACGACTGGGGGTATATATTATGTTTAGATTTAACTCCGATGGGGTTTCCGGTATAAAACACCATAATTATCAGCAGGTTGCAGTAAAAGGGATAAGGTCAGGGTTAATCTTTGATGCTTGAAAACTTTCAGAAGAGAAATGGGCAATTTCTGAAAATGTCCATATGACCGCGTTCGGGACGTCCCTATTAAACACGACCATGTTACGTGTTACCATCGTGCCGAGGTGCGTAAATACTATCGAGCCTTACGAAGAGTTGTCCTTTCGTTAAAGTACTTTAAGTCGTAAAACAGCGGGGAATTTATATTTACAATGATATCTGCAGGTGTCACCACATACAAATCAATAATTTGTGTCAAACACAACCTAGCAAAAAAAAAAACAAAAAAAAAAAAATGATCATAGATTTAATTATTTCCTGCAAGTTCTTTAGTCGCCTTGCCAGATACATTTATCTTTTGTTTCAGGAATTTCTACCAAGTATGTAAATTTATTTAAAATACGTTGCTTTGTCTCGATTGAATGATATTTACTTGACTCAACCCTAAAGGAATCTCCAGGGTAAAATGTATCCGCGTGTTGTTGGGATTCAGATGAAGTTATTTTTTAAATTATAAATTGCTTAAATCTGAACAAATTGTTACTGCGCAATGATACTGTAAGCAACTGACTTGTTTGAATAAAGCATTGCAGTAGAAACTATAAACCTTATCCTCTTGTTACAAATGCCATGCAGTAAAAGATGATGTTTTACGGATGTTTTAGCTAATAGAATAATTCCTTTCTTTTCCCTTTCAAAATCCTTTTGACTCTGTGTTCATTCAATAAGAAAATCAACAAAATGTCCATAAGATGGTAGGAATTTGTTGCGCTCTAGAATTTTGGCACCATGTTTTTGCTCATACACATATTAGAACAAATTTCGGTAATGCGAGTACCATGAAACACACACACAAAAATAAGATAAAAACAAAGAAATTAAATAAAATCTTGTTCTTTTCTACCACCATCACGACCAGATTATTTCTTTTTCCGATCTATTCATGGATCTTTGTCTGAACAGCACCTCCAACAAGTTCAGCTTATCAAAAAAAAAAAAAAAAAAAAAAATTTCAAAAAATTTTCAAATCTAAACAGACATCATTCTGGAAAATAATTTGACCACTGAATGTTACGAATTTATATATTTTGTTTTACTCATTCACCCCAAGTAAGATGATAGTGCCACTAAGATGCAAGGGGTTACTCATACTGGAAGCGAATGAAAAACTTTGATGAAGAAAAGGTCAATAAAAGATCAGAATTCAGGATAACAGAACATGGCGACTGTCATTTTATTTAATTTTTTGAAGATCGTATATGTCAGGGAAGCAAGAAACCGAAAGAGAGTTTCACAGGCAAGGAGTGCGAGAAAGAAAAACTATTCAAATAGAACTTAAGGTTACATCTATTTTAACAGTAAAATGATGAGACCTAATTGTCAATCTAGTATTTCACTTAAATTCATGCAGTCGAGGTACAAAGGAGGAAAGTTCATTAAAACGATTGCCATGAAAATATTTATAGAAAAAAACAAAGGTAAGCAACAGTGGGAAAGTGCCTGAGGTAGAGATGCCGGACCAGGAAGGATAACATGACAGACTCTTCCTTGGAATTTGTCGAGATAAATGCTTTTGTCAATAAATGCTGGAAACTTTAACATTAACTTCGTATGAAGGAATACATTTAAATTTCTCTAAAAAAATGTAGGTGGTGTAAACTTATAGGTTCTAGAAAAAGTTTGGCAGAATAAGTTTGGGAAAAGAATTTGATAACTGAAAAATAATACTATGAAAACCTCTGCCTAAATTTCAAGCCTTCAGCATCAATATTTTTCTAATGTGTTTTTTTTAAATTCACTCCGAACAAGGTGACAATACCACTTAGACGTAAGGGTGCCACTGGAAGTGAAAGACTTTAGAAGGAACCGGAAACCTATTCCTGAACAGGAAACAAAGGACAGACCTTTACTCCTGTTCAAAAGACGGGAGATTCATAGATTTATCTTCCAAGAATAGAACTGTAAGAATTCGAAAAGAGATCAAATAACATCACTTGAAAGCAGCTATTAGCCACATTGATGTGCGGAGGATAAAATGAAGATAGAGTTCGAGTTGCCAAAAGGGGGACATTAACGTTGTTTGGTGCGGAACAATGTTAAAAATTTTATTTATTATTTTGATGATGAATTCGTCGTTATGAACACAATGCCAATTATAACAAATAATATTGATAAATTGAATATTGTCATAAATAGAAAACTTACGGGTACGTATTCAATTTTGTTATCGCCGATGATACCAGGAGGACCCTGAAAAATAAAACGTAATGCGATAGGCATGAAAGAATGAAAACAAGAGATTGCAAATAACACAGGAATAAACGATTAACGAAAAACGGCTGAATTAGTCGGACGATAATTTTCTGGTATTCGAGGTATTAATGACTATTTTATCATTGAAGAAGAGAATACATGTGTGTTTGTAAAATCTACGAATCTATATCAATTTATTCAGTGAGGAACAAATAGGTGAGAAAGGAATTGCGAGTTAAGCATTGAAACCTGGTTATCTATCCGCATACCTCTCTATGTACCTATCTGCATAGATATCTACATATCTATTTATCTATCTACATATGTATCTATCTACATATCTATCTATGTCCATTTCAGCTCAAGTTATGTATCTATCTAAAAATGAATGCATATTTACTTACGGGAAGTCCTCTAGCTCCGTCTTTGCCGTCTTTTCCATGTCTTCCGCGTTCACCCTAATAGAATAGAAACGAAAAAGAAATATATTAATGAATAAATATATATTTTTTACTTTACAAAAGTCTATCCTTACTGCTGTTCAGAATTAGCCTATTTGACCAACCAGAATTTAAAAACAGTTTGTTTTTTTAATGAAATAAACTTTGTTTTTCAAATGTCATAAGACCAAATTAGGAAAAATGAAACATTAAAAATAATATCTGAACGATTTTCACGCTTAATCCGATTTTATTTCGAAAAACTTTTCCCTTTGTTGATTTTATTCTGGGAGTGTGCTGTTATTAGTTACTAAGCTTAACTTAGTTTTGATACAAGGCCATGAGTATGGTAAGCTCAGGTAATAATGAACTCACTGCAGTGGAGCTGAAAGAAAGAAGAAAAAGAAACGAAGCCACAAAACGGATCGACATACTTTCTTCTTAGACAATGGAATAAAGGGAACTAAGAGTTCTTTGAATTTTCCTTCTGAAACCGCCATCAACACAGTGTCGTCTGCACATCGTATGGTGTTAAGATTATGTCTGCCGGTAAGAAATCAATGTTCGCTTTTCTTGTGCTTTGGGGATTTGATTGCTATACAGGTGAAATAAATACGTTCAACTAGCTTGTCTCGGTAAATCAATTACGACTGAGTAGTGAGTTCGATCCTCACTGGGTGCCCTATACTTTCGGCCTTGTGCCACATCTACGCTTAGAAAATCCATATGGGCATTTCAACGTGGTGTAATGGTTAGCAAGCATGTCTCGCTAAATCAATTACGACTGAGTAGTGAGTTATATTCTTATTGAGCGCCCCATAATTTCGGCCTTGTGCCAAGTCTAAGCTGCGCTTAGAAAATCATCATATCAAATCCGAAATTCTTTCGGTAAAACTGTTAAATACCAATGTAAAATTTGCCCATAACTAATTGGATTCCTCTGCTTGTGTGTGTGTGTGTGTGTGTGTGTATGTTTGCGTGTCAGAGTGAGAGAGAGAGAAACAGACAAAGAATATGTGTATATAACTGTGAGTCAACAACCTCACCTGTCACATATCACCCATTTATTAGGAAACAGTTTACCGTGTATACTCATGTATAAGTCGACTTCATGCATAGTGGAACACCTAAATTTTTTCGGTTACCGAAAATGCGTATAGTTCGACCCCACCTATATTTTGCATAAAAAGAAACCTATCCCCAAAACTCGCACTATATTCGAGTATACATGGTAATCGGTAATTAAAAAAATGCTGACAGAAAATATAGACAGAGCCAATCAGTTACCTTTTGTCCTCGGAAGCCTCTGGGGCCAGGTGAACCTCGTCTGCCGTCTTCTCCCTGACGAAAAAAAGAAGAAAAGCTAAAACTATTAGAATCTATTAAATCATGGATATTATAACAACAGTATGAAACGGTCAGTTGAGCAAATGTTTTCTTTGTAGAGAAATACACGAGGTTATCTCATGAGGCTACATCTCACATAATAAGTGAATACCAAAAACTCGCTTGAAAGAGTGATTAAATTAGATTAAACATAAATTAAAGAGATATAAATAAAATTAAATCTATGTATAATGAAAGAATCTTTTACTGCAGTCATTTTCAACTTTGGACGAGCAAAAGATATAAACCAGTTGTTCATAACCTTTTTGGCCCACGGACCCCTATAAGAATTAGCCCTTCATAGATAGCCATACATCACAGTACGGGTTTTCACATTTGTAGGTGTATTTCTTCATATTACGCCCACATGCACAATGCACGCACATCACTTTTCAGCCAGCCACGCTTGAAAGAAATGGTGGCCAATTAATCTTCACCAGTATATAAGACGTGATAAACCGTGGAAAGTGAGAATTATCACTTGTTCTTATAAAGTATCAAAAGATGGCACTCGTCCAGAGAATAATGACACACGTCTAAATTGTCAACATGAACCCAACAGCAAGGATATCTACCAACCGCCCCACGCAGACAGATGTAGGACAGGACCGAATTTAATGTGGGGTATCCGAGCCCGTAGGCTCGGCCAAAAATTCCCCGTAGACCCTGTATAAAACAGGGTCGGACAGCTGTTTCTCCCGGGACGAGAGACTGCTCTTCGACATAGCCTCATCTGGTGATCCTCTCTGCCTGGAGGCAGAAAGTTTGACCAGCACAGCTAGAGACGAATCTTCAACTCTAGACTAATTCCCGAAGGAAGGCCTAGCCCAACGGCATGTGCAGAGATGCATAGCGGTCGGCACTAAGTAGTGGCTAGGTTCATTTTCTTTCAAGCAGTGGCAGGATTTCTTTTATTTCTTTCAATGAGAAATCGTGGATTGAGGCAAGGGCTGTATAGCGAATATTTTCATCTGATCCTAATAGACCCGTTAAAGAAGCCCTGCACTAAACCGCCGATGGTTGAAGGCTTCTGGGAAGGTGTGAATTTCTTGTGAAAAATCTATGATCTGCGTTTCCTAACAATAATCTGAGTGACACAAAACCGACGCGGGAAATAGAAACGCCGGGTACGTTTTGCCATTTAAATAATAACCAGAACAAAAAAGCATAATTTACATGATTTATATACGGACTAATGTCCACATCTTTGTTGTTGTTATTTACATTATTCGGACTATTGTCCTCATCTTTGTCGCCATGTTTATTACAACGTTTCGGCTGTTGTACGCTCCGGCCTTCTTCAGGTGATTGGAATGTCGAACTGAATAATTGTTGTTGTTGTTATCACAACTTTTCGGCTGTTGTACCCTCCTGGCTTTATCAGATGCCCGTCGATCTGGGAAACCTTCAGAGGATTTAGGACTTAACTCTTTATTTAATCTACAGGAGTAGATTGTTCTCGTTGACGTGATATACGTAGACATAGCCAGCTGAACAAGAACAATCTCACCCCGTAGATTTAATAAAGTTAGAAATTCTCTGAAGGTTAATCAGACCGACAAGCACTTGATGAAAGCCGAACAGTAGACCGCATGTAAATTATGATAACTCCACATCTCAGAAATTCAGATAGAAATATTTTTTTTATTTATTAATGCGACATTTTTATTACTTAAACCTTATTTTTAGCGTATATTCGTATTTGAGTCGACGCCTCGTTTATTTATTAAACAGTATATTTATTTTTGTCTACTGGCTTGACTATTCGAGAAATCGTATTAGACAAATATGCGCTCTGTTTAAGTGATAAAAATAGAAATAACTAAATACCAGGTGGTAACGAAAATTCTGTCCTATTTTTTGACGGAAGATTTAATGAATAAGTCTTAGTAGGCAAAGATTAATAAATGAAATAAAAAACATTTCTTAAATCCCCTGAAAAATATCACCTACTTATGATCTCCTTAACACCTCATTAACAATAACACTATCATTCTTAAGGACAGGTCAGTCAGCTAATTTCGTTTCTGAAACCAGATACCTGAATAAGCGAAAATAAAAGATAAAAGATCCAGTACCAAAGCGTGGGATAATCCTTCGCGAAATTATCGCACTCCCTGACATCGACCTGAATATAAACCCAGAAAAAGAGAGCTTCAATGTCAGTCCTCTCTACCCTTTCACAACAAAGCGGAACAGCTCATCCACTCCTCTAACCACTAGAGAACCTCTACAAAGGTCTCGTTCTATTTAGCTTTACTTCAACGTACCGCGAGCTACAAACTTTGTCGCGTAAGAAGGGTGCAAGTTTGTATGTGTATACAACAGAAAACGAACCTTCCAAAACAACGTTCGATTAGCGTTAATCCGCTTTGAATGTAAAATCTGACCTCTTACTTGCTTCCCTGATAACGATAATCTTCAAATCTTCAAATGTAATATCAATCGACATCTTCTGATGCCTTAATCTTTTCCCCCGTCCTTCTCTTCATCCTTTCCTAAAACACGCCTTTTTACTCTTGCTCTTACCCTCTGTAACCCCCTGCGTGCTAGTGGCACCCCCGCCTTGCTTGGGGTGAAATCCTTAAAAAAAAAAAAGAAAGTATGTCATGCATTGCTTTCCCTTGTCCCGCTTTCTCTCTATCCTCTCTGTGAGTATCAGATTTTCCAAGCTCTCCTTTCTCATTACATGTCCTAGAAATTTCAGTTGCCTCTTCCTGATGTTGAGTATAAATTTTCTCTTTGTTTGCATCCTCTCCATGACCTCGTCGTTGCTCACCTGCTCGGTCCATAATATTCTCAGCATCCTTCTGCACAACCATACCTCCGTTGCTTCGAGTTTCTTCTTCATCTTTGAGGAGACTGTCCAACATTCGCTGTCGTAAAGGAGGACAAATATCACGTAGCAGCTCAGTAATCTTTTCTTTGTTACCAACGAAACCCTCCTGCCTCGTAATACTCTGTCTAGGTTTCAGAACGCGTCCTTGTCTATCCCAATACGTTTTCGGATCTCAGCGTCGCACTTTCCGTCCTCTGTCAGAACACTTCTCAGATAATTAAATTTCCGCACTTGCTTGATTTTAGTGTCCCCAGCCTGTAAATCACATTTCGGGCCCATCTTTTTGCTGATGACCATGCAATTTTGTCTTCTTGTAGTTTATGCTTAGTCCCTTCTTCTCGCTCTTCATCGCTACACTCTGTAGAATGATTTTTTATTTAATTTCCTTTCCGTGTCTGCTATCAGCACTGTGTTAACTGCGTATCCTATGTTGTTAAGATTGTGGCCGCCAATAATGAATCCTGGTAGCTTTTCCAGTTTTCTCAGAATTGCCTCGCTGTATAGGGTGAATAAGTCCGGTGAAAAGACACATCCTTGCTTTATGCCACTTTCTATTTTTATATATATGCTGAACTTATTACAAGCTGTTAAAAGATAATCCAACAATCAGAACCGGAGTTTATTGACAATAGTTAAGGCGTTTCAAGTCATCCATAGATTAAATATTTAGCAAACAGAAAACAGATCATGATAACACACGGCCACATACGACAGGACTGACTAAAGATTTCCTCGGCTAGGAATAAAATGCTTCATCCGCCATATCATCTGTTTATGAATTTGCAAAGCCATTTGAATGGACCTAAAATAACTTCAAAAGAAGAGTTCGAAAAATAAGCCAGTCTCTTACTTTTTTAAGCATCTCACCCCAAGCAAGGCAGGTATGCCACGAACACTCGGGGTGTTATGGAGAGTGAAAGTGGGCGAAAAATTGAGTGTAGGGGGGATTGAGGAAAGGAAAAAAGGCAACAGAAGATGGCGATTGACGTTGCATTTAAATCTTTGAAGATTGAGGTTATCAGGGAAGCAAGTGAGAGGAAGGAAGTTCCAATATCAGGAAGTACGAGGAAAAAAACTGTTGGAGCAGAAATGGCGGTTACATTTAACTATTTCAACAGTAAAAGGGTGGGACCTAAATGTCAATCTAGTAGCACGCTTAAGTTCATGTAGTTAGGGAAACCTAATAGGATTAGGGTCGTTCCTATAACAATTCGAGTACTCACAACCGCCAGGGGAGAGTCCTGGATATTTGTTGACACTCAATATCCTGCGTCAATAAACATCCACCATTGACATGAACATGTGTGAACGAAAACAATAATAAAACTTAAAAAGTGTGAGTGTAACAAACTTGCTTAAAAAAAATACATGACAGAGTAGGAACAGTAACATATTGGGGATTGTACAAACGAGTTGGGTTGGGTTTGACCATTTAAACCATGATGGCTGCTTTATAAAAGTAAAAAAAATGACATTTTGACTTCCAAAAAGGCTAAAAGATTCCTTTGGATTTGATCGTAAAAATGGCCTGTCGTAATTTTGCCAGTGAAGACGAAAGAGATCGAAAACTGAAAAAAATATCAGAACTTTGCTCGACGACTCAGAAAAGCTTTCATGGTCTGCATTTTCATGGATTCCTAAATCAAACATTTCTAGACCGGTGGATTAGAAAGAATGTCCAATTCCCCTGGCTACCTCGGTCACCAGATATCACTCCCTCGGACTTCATTCTATGGGTTTATGTTAAAGATATCGTGTATCAAACAAAGATAGGGGACATTATTGATCTAAAGCAAAAAAAAAAAAAAAAATCACAGATACCATTGCCACCATAGATTAGTCTATGCTACAGCGAACATGGCAAGAAATCGAGTATCGTCTTGATGTGTTTCGTGCAACTAATGGTGTTCATATAGAAGTTTATTCAATGAGTTAAAATAAGACTTGAATATCTACTGCTTATTTCGTAACAATTTCCACTTGGGAGTTATAATCAAAAGTAGCCAAAATTAAGACGAAAGGAATACTAGTCCAAAATTTATAATAATTGACGACGCTGCATGTAAGAAATTTGTGTGAATTAAGATACAATTATTGCAGCAAATTCAAAAGCGAGAAACATCCTAGAGAGGATGCCTTGAGGCAGAACACCTTATTTAAAAGAACACTGAGATACGAACCATGGTAAACAATTACAGTTAGAATTTCTTGAAGAATTTTGAAGAATGGTTTAAGGATCAAAATTTTTTCATAGAGTTTTGGTTTGTGGTTATTATTCCGGTTCCAATGATAATAGAAACATTGCTAAGGAGAAAACTGTGAGAAATGACCTCACCTTCAATCCTTGGTCACCATCTCTTCCAGGCACACCCGGTTCACCCTGAAAATAAATAAAAAAAAAAGATGATATTATGATTAACTAATTAAAACGTCCTTCAGCACACACACATGCACATAGAGATTTTGTTGAATATTGGCGTTTTATCTACAAATGAATGCTTTAAAGATTGAGGATTAAAAGTTGTACTTTCGCCATATTATGTTTTATGAATTTCGGAAAGGAGTAAGCGTCGCGACTCTGACGAAAAAAAAATCAGACGGTTTATTTAGATCGTGTTCCAGATCTTCGGGTGGTCGGGGAGATTTTATCCTAAACTAGTCAAGGTGAGTCACATGCAGCCCGTTTGGCTTTCTGAATGATACGCCGAGGTTCACGAAGAAAATAGTTTAATAAAATTTTGTTTGTTTCGTACTCACTTGTTCATTCACATTTTCTCATACATAATCACACATATAAACAATCTTATATATAAAGTGCAGTGTATGTGCGTGTGTCCAAGCAACTCCTCCGCTTCCACTGGTCCGATTTCAATGATTCATAGCTCATTCAAAAGCCTTAGAAAAGTTAAGCGCAGGGAACGATTTTTGTTGAGCTCAGATTAAGAGTTGTCAGATTATGCGTGGTTAAAAATATATATTAATATATTATACTAACCATTATCGTTGCTTTCATGGTTCAAGGGGAGTAAATCTTATTTTCCTTTTGTATTCAAAATTGCACTACACGTTTTATTCACAGGAGCTAGCTTAAAAGCCACCCTGTGGAGAACTCTTGGTTTGGTCATTATCACAATAGCTAGGGAGGAGCAGATGCATTAGGCATCAATAAACTACAGAAAAGCTCAAAATTGATCGATGCATTTAAGTATTGAATTAATGTTTAAGCTTAAGTTTTAAAAGTTCAACGATAATTCTTCTGCTGTTACTTAAAGACGATCTGATGTACGCAGATCCTTATTTTCTGTACAAACAATTATTTTTATTGCATGGGTGATAGAACAGGGGACAATTTATAAGATGATAGTAAATATATAGTGTAAAGATGGCAAAATAAAAATTAATTATACATTCAACATTAGAAGAGTGAGAGAAACATAATAGCTAATTAAGTAAAACCTATATTATAGAATCTATATGAGTAAATACAAAATTGGAGCACAATTATCCAACAAATTCTGGTGTTAAAAAGCCCCAACTCTACTTTATAGTAATTTATAGGCTAAAAGCTCAATATCTGTATTATATATTATTTACTTCTAGGTGATATCACTCTTCAGGTTTAACTAATTTGCATATTGATTTAAAAAAAATATTTCATTAATTAACAGTCCATTATTAGAGTTCTTTTATTCAACGATTGTTTTGAGTTTCATATATAAAATAGTTCTGTTTAGGAATATTGTCTTATATAGTGTTGAAAAGTGTTTGAAATTTGTATTTTACTTGGCCTTCAACAGGTTGGCATCTATTTGTAAAACCTTCCTTAACTATAAGAAGCCGATTTATAAATGTTCATTTAAAATTTTTGTTTCAAATATTTCAAGTAGTGAATATATCTAAGCGAAGCCTGCTAGTGATTAATAGAAATGTTTATTGAATTTTGTAACTTTTCATTGACGGTAACAGTTTTATTATATTTAAGCATCGGCGATTTTCACTGAAAAAGATTACCTTGTGTCTTTTTAGTAGTGCGGTTCGCCTTATGATGAGCCATATCTGATGCGGCCCACTGGTCGGATAATGTTGCCCATATGTGGCCTAAACGATCAAGCACGCTCCGGGCGACCTTCCGACGTCTATAAAGACGCTTTGCTTGACATCGTGGAGAATAAACAGATTTCAACGGAATAGATTGCTAAGAATTTGAAAATCGATATCTCAACTGACTCTTACCTTTTGAAGAGACTGGTTAAAAAAATGGTTCATTTTGGCAAATCGAAAGTGGTGTCTTTCCGCCACGACAACGCAAGACCACATGTTGCAAAACAGACGTTGCATAAGCTTAAGGATTTGAAATGGGACAACCGTATTCTCCTGACTTGGCTCCTTCAGATGTTCATTCGTTCCGATTTCTATAGAACAATTTCAATGATAAAAATTTGACTCTATACAGTCATTCGAAAACTACCTGGCAATCTTCTTCCAACAAAGATGTTGATTCTTGCAGCACGATGAATTAAATATTTTTGTGCGTATGTAAAACATTGTTTTTGTTTTTCTAATTGGACATGAACTTCTCAATGATCTTTTATATATATATATATATATATATATATATATATATATATAAGGTAATAAAAAGTTTGGTAATCCGCATGGATAATCCCAAGGAAGATGTAATCCAGAGAGCTCAATGTCAAACCAGAGCAAATATTAATTTAATTAGAAAACATACCTAAGGGTCCATTGATTATATTTTATTTCCTCAGATCACATTCCAAGCATTTTACGTATAATTTATATATTTTTTTGTACAAGAATAATAGGTAAATTTAAAACCATTTCTTATGCTTGGAAATGTGATCTGAGGAACCAGGGAAAAAACACCTTCCTGGGAAAATAAAATATAAGCAATGTACCCTTAAGTTTGTTTTCTAATTATATATATATATATATATATATATATATGCTATAATAACAGACATTACATTTCCGTTAGGTGATGTAAAGGGTAATGGCTCGGAATTGTTAATCGGAGAGTTTTGTTCCAATCCAGTTTAGTTCGTAATATACACATACTCGCAAATACACTTGTGAAAGGTATGGATCCACCTCTTCTTCCCCAACTATGGGTTAATTAGTAGGACTTGTGTCAGTAAATGCCAAAATTCTTGCAATTTAAAAACATTTTATGACTTTAAATAACCCGCAAAAGACAAACCAATCAAGAAATCCTCCGCAACTGTCAGTTTCAAACAATATTTGCAGACAAGCAACAAGAAAGACCAAAAGAAAATCATGCTATTTCATACTAGTATTCAGCAATGGAGCAAGGAGTAATTTTATTGATGAAATCTAATATTATATATATATATATATATATATATATATATATATAGAGAGAGAGAGAGAGAGAGAGGGTGTGAGAGTGAGTGTGTGTATATTTGCACTAAGTGGAAACGGGAGGGCAATAACTGAACAGTGCTAAATAAAAATAAAAAATAGACGATATCCCTCGTCATGAGCAGTGGAAGGAGAACAGTCTACTCCCGTATAAATAAAATTTAGCATTCCCTGTATCTTACCCAGATCGATATACACTTGAGAGAGAGGCCGGAGGGTATAACGGCCGAAAAGTTGTGATAACAAAAGCAAAGATGAGGACAATAGTCCGAATTTATATAGCTGTAAATAATGATAAGTCTTCATCCCAGAAATCCAGATAAAAACCATTTATTAAGTTTTACGCAACCCTCATCTTTCATCGGTGAATTATGTCAAAGTAGAAATTTTCCAAATTGTCTTATATATTTAGTATTACGTTAAATTCTAAATCTAACTTCATTCATATGCACTGGCGGCAGTCAAAAAGTTCCTGGATAGATGGAATTAAAAGCAAAGTTTTTGTTTTTTAAATATAACCTTCGTTTCTCTGCATAAGCAGCATTAACATCAAATAACTTCTATAAGCGATTATACCAGCTGTTGATACAATCCCGAAAAAAACAAAAACAAGGGTACTTAGAATTGAACCATATCAGAGCAGCCTTTTTTTTAAAATTTCATTAATGGTCACAAAATAGGTACTTTTCAAAATATTTTTTTAGGTTAGGAAATAAGAGAAAGCCAGAAGATACTAAATAAGGTCCATAAAGTGAATGTCTGATGATTTCCCATCAGAATTATTATACTGTTCCTCTGATAAAGTTTACACAACACTTTTTTGCTAGTTTTCTCATAGCACTTTCGTACTTATAAGTCAATTCGTAAAATGCACTAACTATTCCAGAAAATTGTGCCATAAACTTTCCTTCTGGCTGGTTTGCTTTCGCGGAAATAAGACTATTTTTACGTTTGGGTAACCATTGTTTTGAGTGGACTCTTTTCACATTTGGTTTGGTTAAAACTTTTCTTTGATTAGACCTTTCAATCTTTAGGCAAACGTTGCTTTGATTGAACTCTTTCAACCTTTTCGTAACCATCGTTTTCCTTGGACCATTTCAGTCTTTGGGTAAGCATTGCTTTGATTGGATCCTTTTGGGTAAGCATTGCTTTGATTGGATCCTTTTGGGTAAGCATTGCTTTGATTGGATCCCTTCAATCTTTGAATCCCATTTGTTCAAAATTTTCATTGAAAACAGTTTTGGAAACAAGCAGGCAGAACTTTTCTTGATTCGTCCAAGAAGCACTTTAAAAATCTGATGTTTGCTCAGATTAGAGAGAGGGTCAAGCCGAAAACTTTTCAATACCTCCTCCTGTATACACAATACATTTTATGTACGCGAATGTATAAGCATGAGGACATATGCAAAGTATAAGAAAATATTTACCCGTAACTCTTTGATTAAATTATAGTCACAAGTATTGAATTGCAAATTTAGGTATTAAAACATGGAACCGTCTTATAGGAAGAAAATGAGTAACTACCTACACATAAGCTCAAGCGTGACACTCTGAATATATATTTTACTGCAGGTGTATAAATAGCGGTGTTAGGCTACTGACTGCAGTGATTATTAAGTGACTATTGAATGGAAAAATCCAGTTGAATTAGTGTGAATTATTGTGCATCGATGATTTGCGTTTCGATTTAGGATTTACTGGACGTTAAGACGAGCCGCGCTAGTAACAAAATATTCACTGAAATGGTTAATTATCTTTAGTTGACTTTTACTTTTTAAGTTTTTATTTGAGGTTGTGATCAAATACTGTTTTATTTTAACATTGAAGTAATAAAGAAGTGAGCATTCGAAATCACAAAGAACAATTACTATCATATAGGAAGAAAATGAGTAACTGCCAACACCAAGGTTCGATCGTGACACTCTGGACTTATGAATATGTTTTCCGCCGGGTGTATAAATAGCGGTGTCATCCTACTGACTGGGGTGATTATTGAATGGAACTATCCAGTCGAATTAGTGTGAATTATTGTGCGTCGATGATTTGGGTTTTGATTTAGAATTTACCGGACGTTAAGCCGAGCCGCGCTACTGACAAGGTATTTACTGAAGTGGTTAATTATCCTTTGTTGACTTTGACGTCGTTGTTCTTGTTAAGTATTTATTTTCAGTTGTAATTAAATACTGTTTTTATTTAACATTGAAGTTATACTTGATTATTAACAGTCACCATGGACGTTGCAAAAGGAACATGCACGACCTTTTTCAACACGTGTTTTTAATTTGGTAAAAATAGTTTAGAAATAAACTGTAAATTTAATGTTTCCAGTTTCTGGAGTTTTATATCAAATGGTGTATTGATGACACATGTTACAGTAATTTTCGAAAAAGATCTATTTTTAAATCACATATAAAAGTTAAATTTCCTCCCTTGAATGGTGGTGTCATCAAAGCCTTGTAGTATCTGTTAACCACATGGGCAAATTACTTTTCGTACAGAAGTCAATCTTCATATAATCGATACTGTATGGAGGAAAGAAAGTTATTTGAACAAGTCTGAAGGACCAAAAGGTTTTTTAAAAGAAATATTACGGACTCTGATAAAAGTATAAAGGATATAAAGTCTGTATGAAGTTGATCCCAAGTAATAGCTATAATTGCTGAAGCATCCACTACAACTCGAATGACTGGAGGAACATAATCTTCCTAATTTAAATTTCTTCAATCTGGTTTTGGACCATGTTAAGCTGATCTTATTACAGGTATTCAGCTCCATAGGGATATTCTTTTTTTTTTTTTTTGTGGATTTTGAGAAAACAGAATTTATTTTTAAATTTCTTTCTTTGAAATTATATATATATATATATATATATATATATATATATATATATATATATATGGATAGAGAGAGAGAGAGAATATATTTCATTTGCCCATCATTGCACTTCAAAAGATTCGAAAATTCATATACTTACGTCATTTCCCGGTTCGCTTTTTTCTCGCCTGGTAATCCCAACAGACCAGGTTCTCCAATACCCTGAAAATAGCATAAAAGACATTATGAAAAATCATATTTGAAAATATATATATATATATATATATATATATATATGTGTGTGTAAGTATGTACATATTTGGGTAGACGACTGTTTTTAAACAGTATACTTTTCTTCTACCGGCTTGTGTTTCTTGCCAGTAGACAAACATTATATTAGAGATGTCTACTGAAACATGTGAATCCACTAAATTTAATGTATATATTAATAAGAATCGATGTCGGATTATAAATAAAAAAACATTAATCCATATATATATATATATATATATATATATATATATATTGTAAAATCTAGCGTCGCATTACTGCACGCTCAAAAAAATTCTTAACTGTTAATAATAGTTGGAATTTTACTCGAAAGTACCTGAAATTGAGAAAAAACATAACATCTATGCCTGAGGATGGTAAATGATTACCGAAAGTACTTGCAATATGGACTAAACGTCTAATCCCTTTTACAATTAATAAAAACAAGGATCACGTCGTTCATGGTGGCGTTAAAATAAACAAGATGCTTAAGCGAATCTCCTAAAACAAGGCCTAATTACTTTCGTTGTGCCCGCTTTCTCTGCATCAGACAGAAACACTGACGCATTTTGTATCAGCCAAACAGGAGAGCTTTCCTTCGACGTTGGAGACAAGAATATTTACAGACGTTTCCTGCAATTTTAAACCCTTGTGCGCTGACGAAGAACGGTAGGTGTACTAATCATTATGCTTTAGTATGGCGAAAAAAAGAGTAAGGAGGATCTATATAGCTAATTGCAAACTCTCGTATTGTTGTTCTTCTATGTGCCTTGTCTCTTCAGCACGTGGGTGATCACGAGTATCCACAATATCTTACTCTTAGAAATGATCGTCCTTTTGCTATCTCTCCTAACCCTTGTTCTGCCAACCATTTATCCAAGCTCCTTCGGTAGGCTATTCAATGTTTTTCTCTGTTCCTATTGCTTTCAATATGTTCTGTGAGTGTTAAATTTTCCAAACCGTCTTTTCTCATTATGTTCCCTAGAAATTTTAACTGTCTCTTTGTCTAAATAAATTTGTCCTTTTTGTTTTCATTTGGCACATACTGACTCCCTGGTATTCTCAGTATCCTTCTGTAGTACCATATTTCAGCATTCACGGCTATACAGGAGGCTCGATATCACATAACCGTTCAGTACTCTTTCATTTGTTTCTAACGAAATTTTCCTGTTTCTTAATACTTTGCTTAGTTTTTGAGAGGCAACTTTCGCCAATGCACCTTCGGACTTCGGTGTCGCATTTCCGTCTTCTACTAGAACACGTGTTCTAGAGATATTTAATTTTTATTGCTTGCTTGATTGTTAGTGAAACTTATACTAGAGAGACATGCTTTTTCTCCATCGACCGCAAGAAGTAGTCTGACGCCGGCGAAGTCTTCGTCCTCTTTTTCAGCTGCTTGATTTGGCGAGTAAAATTGCCTCATAGATCTTGCCCTGTTGACAACATCTATGTCCCACTGACGGGGGTCGAATATACAGATGAGGGCATAGAATAAATTGCATTCTTGGAACTCCGTTTTATGGACTGCGAGCAGCTGCCTCGTCGCATTCTCTTGGATTTCCTCGATGTCTTGAAATCTTGTTCCTTTCGAGGGGGATTTGATTTTAGGAAAGTGGGAAAAGTCGAGATCTAGGGAATATGGGTCTTGTCAGAAAATGGAAAATGTTGCGCTTGGACAAAAACTGCTGCTTCAATGAATCTTGTTTTTCAGCCTGTTGGAAGTCCTAATCTATTGACCCTGTCTTTAAAAACTCTAGAGACCCTTATGACCCTTCTAATTACCGTCCTATCAGTCTCCTACCAATCTTCGGCAAAGTCTTCGAAACTTTAATCAACGCCTAAGTGGTTAACCACCTTACATCCGACAAGTAATACGGTTTCCGCTTTGCCTGTTCTACAGCTGATGTGCTTACGGCCATAACTGAAATTGTTTACCAAGCACTTCATAATAACGGAGAAGCTCGTGCCGTGGCTCTAGACATCTCCAAAGCGTTTCATAGGGTTTGGCATGCCGGCTTTCTTCGCAAGCTTCAGGGTTATGGAATTTCAACGAATTGTTTAACTTAATACAATCATTCCTGTCAAACCGTGTATTGAAGATTGTTCTCAACGGATTCTCATCCAGCTCCTATCCCGCGAACGCAGGTATTCCCCAAGGCTTTGTCCTAGGCCCTACTCTGTTCCGTATCTTCATTAACGATCTTCATCATGTCATAGGTTCCCAAGTAGGCATCTATGCAGACGACACTACTATTTACTCTTGCTTCAAAAACAAATCTAGTGTCACTGACAAAACTAACCTGACCGTTTGTCATGAAAAGGACCTCCAATCGGTTGTGGACTGGAGCACGAATTGGCTGGTTAACTTTAATGCCTAAAAAACAAAACTGCTCTCTATTACTCACCACAGAGAAACATCCCTGCCTCCCATTAAAATGTCTGACGCTCAAATCCACGAGAGCACCTCTTTGCAACTGCTCGGCCTCACATTGTCTGCTGACCTGAGATGGAACAAATACATTGAGTCAATAGCTTCGTCCACCGCAAGGAAAGTTGGCTCTCTATGCCGTGCCAGGAAATTTATCTCTCCGGAGTCAATCCTTCAAATATACAAATCAACCATTCGCCCTTGCATGGAGTATTGCTGCCATATATGGTCTGAAGCCCCTTCTGTTTCTTTCAAGGTCCTTGATAAAATCCAGAGATGGATATGCAATGTAATTGCCCCTGAACTGGCATCTCGTCTGCAGCCGCTTTCTCACAGACGTGCCGTTGCCTCCCTCTGTCTTTTTTACAAATACTTTCACGGTAACTGCTCCGATGAGCTGCTTTCGCTGGTTCCCAGACTTGATGAATTTAAGCGCTCAACTAGGTTGGCATCTCGCTCTCACCCTTTCACTGTCGAAACTGTTAAATGTAGCCGTCTGTTCTACTCCAATAGCTTCATGTCTCGCACTTCTCACCTGTGGAACTCCCTCCTCATTTCTTGTTTCCCTGATAGCTATAATCTCCAACTATTCAAATGTAATGTCAACCGACGTCTCCAGATGCCCTGATCTATGCCCTAACCTTCTCTTCATCCTTTCCTCCATCACTCCTCTTTGCTCTAGCTCCAACTCCCTGTAACCCCTTGCGTGCTAGTGGCTTCCCGTCTTGCTTGGGGTAAAACGCTTAAAAAAAAAGTTGCGCTGAATGGGCAGGTGCATTGTGATTGTGGAGATGACACTCACTGGACACACGCAGTTCTCTCCCTTTCCGACGACCACCTTGCCAACGCCGCAACACGTTACAATAGTACTCCCTGTTTACTGTCTAACCAGTTGGAGCATACCCATGATGAACAATACCCTTGTTGCCGAACAATACTGCCAACTGAGTCTTCATATTGGTTCAACTCATGCGTGTTTTCTTCGGTCTCAGAGAGACTGGGGTTAGGGCTTTCCACTGCAAAGACTGAACTTTGGCTTCGTAGTCATCGACCCACGATTTGTCACTTGTTATGACCATTTGAAAAAGTTTTCTGTGGCGTAGTGAGACCACCACACTCTACACGCTGTGCTTACAAGCATTTCTATAAACGACCGAAGTGAGTAAAAAGCTATAAATTTGTGTACATACGTGGTCAAACTGTGCCAAGCGGTTTCACTCTGCCTACTTTAGTTCTGTTAACATAGTAACAGTACCGATAGGTCAGACCTCGTATAAATAACTGCATGTATGATTTTTCTTTTAAAGATGAAATTTATCGTTAGATTTATTTCCAGGGGGTCCATGTCTGAATGTTATGGAATGAAACTATCTGCGGTGTCCCTTCAAGACGTGGATGATCACGGTTCTCCACAACTTTCTGTCTCTTGTCGCTCTTAGCTTGATTGACTTTTTGTTATCTCTCTCTTAATCCCTGTACTAACAACCAAACACTTTAGGTAGGTTATTCATGGCTTCTCTCTTACATGTCTTGTGAGTGTTAAATTTTCCAATCCCCCTTTCTTGATTATGTGCCTTAGAAATTTCAACTATCTCTTTCTGATGTGACGTGTAAGTGTCCTTTTCGTTTCCCTCATTGTAATTTTTTTTTTATTGAGTACCAATAAATAAATAAGTAATTATAAAGTACCAATAAATAAATAATTTACTTACTGGTTCTCCTTTAAAACCTGGAACTCCTTGAACCCCGGGTTCACCAGTCTCTCCTTGTTCACCCTGCGAAAAGAATGAAAATATTAACTTTTTAAAATATCGCTTTTTTTATCCAATGTCTCAGTTTGATTCATAAATGTTTGTTTTATAAATTACAATCCTAGAAGCCGCTCTCCGTGTGGACTTAAGCTAGCTATTACAGAGGAGCTAATTGGACCTCCAGCCCAAAACTAAAGAGACCTGTGGTCCAGCTTAGAAACAGCAATGATAATTTTAAAGAAATTCCTCAATTCACTCCATGGAGCTTCAAAACCTCATTTTAAGTCTGATTTGGGCGAAAAGACCGATTTAGACCGAAATTCCAATGCAGGCCGAAAATTGAGTTCTTCAAATTAAAAACTCTACGGAACTTCAAACCCTCACGTCATGAAACGTTTCGGCCGTTCAGTATCTGTCTGTGCTTTTCAGATGAGGTATTATATAAACTATTTACATTATTCGGACTATTATCCTCATCTTTATTGCCATATTTATCACAACGTTTCGGCCATTGTACGCTCCGGCCTTCTTCAAGTAGTTGGAATGTCGAACTGAACCCTTTATTTCGTTCGGTGGGGTAGACTGTTCTAGTTCTAATGGATGTCAGTTATCAGTTAATGTGGCCTAGCTTAGAAAACAGCAATGATAATTTGAAAGAAATAACATTCCTCAATTTACTCCACGGAACTTCAAAACCTCATTTTAAGTTTGATTTGGGCTTGTAAGTCTATTCCGGCGAAAAGATCAATTTGGGCCGAAATTCCAATTCAGGCCGAAAATTGAGTTCTTCAAATCAAAAACACCGTGGAACTTCAATTGAACAGAGTTGTTAAAATCACAAACCCTGCTGAACTTCAAAACCTCACGTCACGAATCCTCTCATTTTAATTCTCATTCTTTGGCATTTCGAAGAAATAAAAGTAATTCCCTTATTCACAAAGTTTTGGAGATATTTTAAATTAAATTTAAAACAACATTTTTTTAAATTCAAATTTGTTGTGTTACTTTAAAGTCAATATAAATGAAAATTTTTTAAAACTACTAATTTATTTTAGTTGTTTTAGAATTTGACTTTTTAACTGTTCCCTCCTCATCCGGACACAAATCCCAATACTGGAGGTTCAATCACCAGATGAAGGGCAGATTTTCAATTCTGGGATCATCCTGATTCCATAAAGTTATAATATATCTATGTAGAGCAAGTGTGACCCGCTATAGAGGGATTTCAGACACGCGGACGTACACACAGAGTTGGCCGTTTATTTAAATATTATTCATTTAAAAAATAGAAGAGTATGTAACAACAGAATCAAGTATTTTTTTTTTCTTTTACTCAATTTTTTCAGTATCTGTTTATATTTCTGAGATGAGGCATTATGTACACTATTCACATTATTCGGACTATTGTTCTCATCTTTGTTGTCATATTTATTATAAGGTGGTTGGAATGCCAAACTGAATCCTTTATTTCGCTCACTGTTCTAGTTCCACGTGCTATGTCTAGTGCATGTCAGTTATCAGTTATCTCATGTTAATTCCCCTCTCCAAGTTCTCCACTGCCTTAACCAGGTATTGAACTCACATTCTTTGAGTCCTGTCACTGAATCTAACCAACGCCTTTATCCACTGTGCCATGTATCCTTAAGGGCACCTGTGTATGAATTTCTGGGACTTATAAACTTAATGTCTTCAGCAACCATTTTTACCAGTGCTCATATTGCAATTGTTGCTGTTATCATTGCATCTTTTTCCTATAAAAGACATACAGTTTGTAAGGCAATTTCTAAAGTAGTAATGGATTTTGTATTTATTAATCCGACAGATTTTATCACTTTAAACTTTATTTTTAATGGATACTCGTATTTGAGTAGACGCCCCGTTTATTTGTTAAACAGTATATTTATTTATTTTCCTCTGCGGGCCTGAATATTCGAGAAATCTTATTAAAGAAAATGATACGCAATCCGGCAGGATTCGAACCTGCACCTTCCCATGGGCAGGGAGAACCGTTGTTACATCCGACGTTCTTTAGGACAACTTAGAGTGGATGGCTTTTAAAAAAAAATTGATGAAAAGATGACGTCATGGTCAATACGAGCAAGACAATTTGCCAAATGACTGCGTTGATATATTTCGCCGACGAAATGGGCCGCGATGTGACATTTTAAAAGTTGTACAGTAAATAATTTTTTCAAGTGGGTACAAGTCCACTGTAACTGGAGCATCTAAATACCGAGATTGTTTCATAAATTATCTCCTGCATGATAATTTTGCTGACTGACTCTATAAAGAAGAGGATTATTATTGTGGAGATGAACACACCTCTCCAGAATAAGACTTGGCCTCGTCTAAATTCATACCGGGTGTAACAGCAAAATTGTCCAAATCGTGTAAATCCATAATTGTCCATCCCACAAAATATTTAATATCTAAAAAACACTAAACTAATTGAGTTTCTTTTTTTCCAGGTTTTCAGATAAGAGGTTTAGCCATCTTGACACCATTTGTATTAAGAATCACTGAAGAACGCTTTGAGTTATTCATCTAAAAAGAGAACAGGTTAGAATTGTTTTGTGTCAGTCCACTGTCTTCCCAAATGAGCAACGGGGAGAGGAAAAAGACATTTAGGCCTTCAGTAATGGTACCAACATCCATAGTCTGGCTTCCATTCAAGAACCATCAAGAGAAGGGTGAATAAGTTTAAAAAAGACGAAACAGTAGAGAGGAAAACTGGATCAGGAGGTCACAACAGCAAGAGGGATCATCATTTCAACTTAGAGCTAAAGAGATAAATCATAAACGCCAACTCAATCCATAACACGTTTGGCACGTGAGAGAGGAGTTACAGCTATGAGAGTCCAAAGAGCAGGGGAAAAAAGACTTGAAAATGAAATCGTGCGTGAAACGTGAGAGTCAACTTGTTTCTCCAGGACAGAAGGCTAGAAGCTTAGAGAGGGCGAAGATCATCTTGAATAAGTTGGTAAATGACCCTGGAATATATATATATATATATATATATATATATTTGAACTTTATATCAATCCTTCGCGAGCTTCCGATCTTTATGATTATTTAATGATGGACATGTCCTTTTTGGTTATTATCGATTTCATCACGATTGTTAAGCTTGGAGAGTAATTATACATTCTTATTGCTCATAGTAGAGTCCGATAGTGTTATTAAAACCTCGGAGAATTCTAGTAAGATATCTTTAATCACTCCTAAGGTAAAACGGTTCAAAGCTTAATCTAACAAATGAACAATTTTGCTGTTATACTCAGTATGAAGGCATTTTTTACATTCTTTTTATAGATACAAATATTTAAGTAAATGCTCTGTTTATAATAAACAGTATTAAACAAGATTTACCGGCCTGAATGTCCGAGAAATTTTCATAGAAAATATTTGTCCGCCGACAGGAATCGAACCTGTATCCTATACGGAACCGTCATGTAGCCTGACGTGCCCTTAACCGATTTGGCCACAGAGGAGCGTTTGGTTAGCAAGGTCGATTTTACTGTTTTTAAACTATAATCTTCCATGATGCTCTCACGTACATTCATATATGACGGCCCCGGTAAATGTCTAATACTGTTTATTATAAACAGAGAATTTACTTAAATATTTGTATCTATAAAAAGAGTATATAAACATAAAAATGTCTTAAAATAATTATCGGACTTTGTCCATTTCATTTATATATATATATATATATATATATATATATATATATATATAGATAGAGAGAGATTACTACAAATTTCAGCAAGAACCTGAATGAAAATTTAATTATTTTTCTGTCAGCGGGGAATTTCGTGACTAATATTTGCCTCAAATTTGAATGTTTTATCTTCCTCGCCGCTTTCTTACTTTTGAAGTAGCCATATTGAACATGTCCTACTCAACTTTCGTGCTGTATCCCTTCAGAGCGTTGGCAATCATATTTTTTGTTGTTTTTTTTTACAATTTCTTGTCCCTTATATAGCTCTTAATAGTGTCTTTTTGCCATCTCTCCTACACCCTTCTCCGCCATCCATTTACTCAAGCCCGCCGTTGCTATTCTCTCTCTCACCTTTAAACTGTCCTGTGAGTGTAAAATTTTCCAAGCTCTCCTTCCTCAATATGTATCCCAGAAACCTCAACCGTCTCTTCCTGATGTTAAGTATAAGTGAATATTTTGTTGCCATTGTCTCCGGAACTTCGTTGTTGTCCCACCCACCAAGTGCAAATAGACAGTCAATCAATTTTAAGGCCAGCAGGGTCAGTGCTACGCCCTCTTCTGAGAAGGGAAGAAAACCGCCCCCCCCCACCATCACGTATTCGTCGTCAGCTATCTGACGAGAGAGTATTAAACGTATTTTGCAACAATGTCTCGGTCGCTTTTTTATTTTGTAAGAAATAAATTTGGAAATTCAGATTAGGGAAAGCTTCCCCACGCCGAAATTTGTTGCTTTTTCCCATCTCTGGATGTAATCCGAAATAATTTTAATGCTTCTACCAATGCCCCACCTCTGTAGTCGACGCCTCTCTCATTAGTAATACTGTAAGGACGAGGCTGCTTCTAGCCCGTTGTACCTTGTCCTCAAGTGAGTAAAGGCCCTTTTGTTTGCCTTGAGTTTGAGACTTCCTTTATAAAAGCAGACACTGAATCATTATAGCGATCGGAATATTGTGTTAGATTATTTCTGGTTACCTTTGCACCTTTGGGTCCAGGGATACCATCTCGTCCGGGTTCACCAGATTCACCCTGCAAAAAGAAAATCAGATATACAAATAAACAAATTACGTCGTTCAAATATACGTGGATATATAAATTGTTTGATAATATTCAATTATTTCGTTTTTGGTTTCTAATCATCCATTAGATTAGACTGGTGTCAGGATCAGAGTGTCATTAAAAACTCCACGATCCTATCGTTGGCTTCAGAGCATCTGCTTTGTTTCTCCTAGAATGGCTGCCAATTACAGCTAGAGATCCAAGTCTGCCCTACAATTTAATTCATAGCTAGTAGATATTTAATCCATATATCCCATTTCTCATTCCACGCTGTTGACCATCATCTGCACGTCCGTCAATTCTTGATTTAGAAGAGGAAAATTTTGGTACTGATGTGTCAAACTAAAGATCGTTTAGCGACAAACAACATGGCTAGCATTAGTTTGGTTTTAATTTCAGTTTTTTTTTCTTGCAAGTATTCAGACAGTCATTCTACGACCGTCAGTAATCAGCGCTGATTTGGAATAAAAACTAAGCTTCCGATAAGACTCGAACTCGCAAAACTTTCCTTTTGGAAAGCATGTCTGTTTATGACGGCTGCTTTTCCGTTTGGGCTACAAAAACCAACGTTTGAAGGCGATCTAATCTAACCATACAAAGTTATAGTTTATTTTCCCCAAAACACTATTAAGTTTGAAATTTTTCCTTATAATCTGATTCGGGTCATTAGTATTATTTCAAGATTATTCAGTACTTATATTCTTATCTCTGTCTCGTTGTATCGCTACATTTTGGTCGATACATTCTTCAGCCTTATCATGGCAAATAATGCCCCCCGAAGGCAGAAAATAAAATTATCGTTTTTTCTGTATATATATCTATGTCTATGTGGGTTTCGTTTTGGTATTTTCGGGATGATGAGTAGGTGTAAGAGAAAATTTAGTGATTAAAAATATTTAACCACTTTCAGGAATTCGAACAGAATTACTGTAAATAAAATTTACCTTTTCTCCATCGATACCATCTCGACCGATAAAACCAGGTAATCCGTTTTCTCCCTGAAAATAAATAAACAAAAATGAATAAATAAATAAATAAATAAATAATAATAAACTTTAAAATAGTAGGAAAACTTCTGGAAAATGAAAGATATGCATTGTTTGGTGTACTTGACTTAATGCTATGTTCTTTCAGAATGTAGCCTTTTCATATAGTGTTGTAATATCGGTTCTTGTACGATTAACGAAGTTAAGCAACGTTGAGCCTGGCCAGTACCTAGATGGGTGACCGCTTAGGAATACCAGGTGCTGTAAGCTTGGATGTACGGATGGTATGGCTTACGGCCATATCACGTTGAAAAAAAAGAAAAGAAAAAAAAAGGCTCCTGTACGATCACTGAAGTTAAGCAATGTCAAGCTTGATTAGTACCTAGATGGGTGACCGCTTGGGAATACCAGGTATTGTAAGCTTGGATGTACGGCCATATTACTTTGAAAAAAAAAAAAAACGGTTCCCGTACGATCAACGAAGTTAAGTAACGTCGAACCTGGTCAGTACCGAGATGGGTGACCACTTAAGAATACCAGGTGCTGTAAGCTTGGGCGTGTGGGTGGTGTAAAGAATAATGGCTCGGAATCGTTAATAGAAGAGCCGAGTTCCAATTCTAATCGGGTTCGTTATATTCACTTACGTGTAAACACACTTGGGAAAGGTATTAATCCATCTCTTCTCCAGCTATTGGTTAATTAGTAAGAGTTCTTTGATCGAGTCATTATTATCTAAAAAAATTTACAATCTAAAATATTTTCTGGCTTTAAATAACCTGCAAAGTGTTCATAAACCGTAAAAAACGAATCAATCAAACATTTTTTTTATTAGTTGGGGATTTATTATATATTAAAGTTAATGCAATCTTGGGAAACATAGTGGAGTAGTTTCTTCATTGTTTTGAATTCAGACTATTCATTGTCCTAGACTACAAGCCATGTTTATAGAGCCCAGTCTAACTAATTATTTATCCCATAGCTCGGGCGTGAAGAGATGGATTCATGCCTCTCTAGTCCGAAATTTTAACTCGACTATCTGATTCCATATTCGACGCTGATAACCGTTTCACTAACCACAAATCCCGACGGTAGTATAATTAAAATCAGCAATAATATCGAGGAGAGTGCTAGAGTACGTAGGATATTTGCTGTCACTTATTGAGTAGAAATAGAAAGAGGCTGGAAAAAGAAGATATTTGCAAATATGTATTTACATGGCGGATCAAGGACTGTCCGCTCGGGGGTATAGAGGTTGAAATTATGTATTTAGATAAATCCTATCTTCTTTGGTTTTGATCTAAAGTTGTAGCCAGCGGATTTTGAAACCCCCCTCTCTCTCTCTCTCTATATATATATATATATATATATAATTAATTAAGATTGCGTTTAAGCATGTAACAGACTGTCGCTATTTGGTGTTGAATTTAATGTCCATTTTTATATTTACATACACTCTGTCCCTGATATTGAGCACTTCAACCAGTATAGCATACCTCAAAAGTTTATATTTTAATATATTTTTCTGATTATACGTTATTATTATAGAAACAAATATTAGAAGGAGGCACGGTGGTGTAATGAATAACAGCTTGGAGTGAGGAATCGGAGAGCCGAGTTCGAATTCCAGTCGTGCTAATACCCTTGGGAAAGTTATAAATCCTCTTCTCCCCCCAGCTATGGGTAAATAGCAGGACAGATCGGGTTGCCCTGATGGCAACTGGTCTACCGCTTGGCAGCTTACTGCGGGAAAAATCTGCCTAGTCAGTCATGTATCGAAAGATACATGATCGCCTAAGCGTGAATCACGCATGGTACACATAACTGAGAAATATTTAAGTAAATGCTCTGTTTATAATAAACAGTGTTAACTACATTTACTGGCTTGAATTATTAGTCTGAAGAAATTCATTCTACAAACAAAACGCATAATGTAGGAGTTTTTTTTTTCATTTTGTCATTCACTAAACTTAAAATGTTTGATATATATATTTGTATATCATATGTTTTCTTGATTTTACTACAAAAATACATTAAACATCAGGAAGGGACAGATTGTCAGTGGGTCAGGAATTAAAATAACCATTACTTCTAGAATAGGAATAATATGTGTATAACACGTTAGAAATTATGTGTAAAATAATATCAATGTAATTTAACAATTTTTTTTACTAATTTTCACCCAATACAAGGCCCAAAAGCTACTCAAGGTAGAGGGTTACCGAATGAGGAGTGTGATATAAACGTAAGAGGACGAAGTAAGAAGCGAAGATTATGAGGCTATGTAGGATAGATAACGATTGACCCTAGTGGTTAAGATTGTTATCTACGCGGAAGTCCATTCTACAAGGTCGTTGTTCTTTGGAAAAAGTCCCCCACCCTTCCCATCAATGGAATATGTACGGAATAAGGTGATATAACAGAATAACCTGTCACCGCCATGAGTGACTACACTATAGGTAGTAACTACCTATAAGTATCTCTAAGTCAACGGACTACAGAGTCGAGCCGAAATCTTTTCGGTTACACGAGTCTCGTTCAGGGAGGTTGACTGACCCTGAACGCGTTTATGCGGGGCCGGAAGGGAATATTTTTGGCCGAGCCTACGGGATCGGAGAACCGACGTTAAATCCGGCCTTGTGCCACATGCAACCCTCGTAGGCGAGGGTGGTGGCTGAATATTCCAGCAGAAATCTTTTCAGCTGGCTGGTCGTACTTTGCCTCAAGCAGAGAGGAACCCAGACGAGGCTATGCCGAAGGGCAGAATCTCGTCTGGGGCGATAGACCGACACGACCACATTTTTTACTGGGTCTACGAGGAATTTTTGCCCGAGCCTACGGGCTCGGATACTCCACGTTAAATTCGGCCGTGTGCTATATCCGGCAGCGTGGGGCGGTTGGCAAATATACCAGCTGAAATCTTTTCAACTGTGCAGGTCGAACTCTCTTCCTCCGAGCAGAGAGGGATCTTGACGAGGCTATACCGAAGGGCAGAGTCTCGTTTGGGGAGACAGACCGACCCGATCCCGTTTATGCGGGGTCTACAGGGAATTTTTTTGCTGAGCCTACGGGTTCGGAACCCCCACATTAAATTCAGTCTTGTGCCACATGTGACTGCGTGGGGTGGTTGCTAGATACCGTCTAGCTGGGATGTGTTGAGTACGACTCAGACTTACTCGAGAACTACCGACCTTCCAATAGTAGCACTCACTACTGGATTGACTTGCGACGACCTTGTGCATAACTGTTACCTTTATTCTGGTTTTGTACAATAAACCTTTACGTATTTTATCCACCTTGTTTTTCAAGTATATATTCCTATTAGCAAGGAATATAACATAAGGATGATTCAACCTTGTAGTTGTAGCAAGGTCGTGGTTTAATGTTGCTTTACCGGCAATACCGTAGAAAAATTGTTCAAACCCTCTTGGCATTTTGGGAACGTCTCAGCTCCTCACCCCCGAATGAGAGGTACTGACTGCGGAGATGTAAATCCTGGGGTTTGAACTAATATCAATTTCAACTTTCAAAAGAAAGACAGGGAAGTAGTATCAGGCTTGCGATGTGTACATTAAAATCTTTCTTACCTTTTCACCTGTTGGTCCTGGAAGTCCTTGGGGTCCAGGTTTGCCCGGTGCTCCCTTGCAAAAAGAAAAAAACGAATATCCATTAGAACACTGATATACACATCGTGCCACAAAAGAACAACAAATGTCGGTTGATGGTGCTAAATATAATTTTTAGTTTAAAAGATTTTTGATTCTGTTATTAATTTGATCTCATAAAAAATCGGGTTTACTGTAAAAAAAATTCTTAGTTTTCATTTTAACTACACATTTCTTTTGCTTTTCGCATGTACTGTAATTCCCCTTGTATAATACGCACTTTATTTCTAAAAATGTAAGGAAAATTATGGGTGCGTATTATGCACAGCTACGAAAAATCTTTTAAAAATTGCAGTTTTATAGGTTGATTTCAGTTATGAATTGATTACTCACAAACATACAACAATTTGACACTAACAATACTTACAAATGTAAAATAAAATAAAAATTATCATAAAACTAAATTAGAATAATATTATTAACCATTTTTAAATAAGAGTAGGAAACGCTTGCTGTAATGAAATTGGAGATGTACAATTTATAGGGTTTGATTACCAAACAAAGGGTGGGTATTATGCGTGAGTAGAAGCATTTTCCCATACTTTCAGCAAAATTTTAGGGGTGCGTATTAAGGCCGAAGGCGTATTATACATGGGGGAATTACGGTACTTATTTAAATGTTTTAATAAAATGAAATGAATCAGTAATGAAATAAATAATGATTATTAAAAGTTGGAAGATGACAAGGTTCGGCCACGTTATAAGGAATAACTGCCTCTGCAAGACCATGCAAGGTACCGTTGAAGGCGAACGCAAACGAAGACGGAAACACAAGAGCTAGTCAGAAATCAAAGAGTAGACGGACATGACAATGCCGGAAGTCCTGAGAGTCACCGCCAATAGATACTCCTGTAGGATGTTGCCCGTTTCTTCTAGCCTTCGATAACCGACAATTGAAGCAATCCAATTTTTTTTGTTTTTTTGTTGTTTTTTTTTTTTACAAGGCCCGGGGGCCACTCGAGGTAGGGAGTTACGTTAGGAGTCAATTTGTGTGGATAGGAGGGGAAGATAACGGTTAACCCTAGCCTTGAGCAGGTTAAGATTGTAGTGATCGGGGAAACATCCTCTTGGGTGTCGATTCCACAGAGAAGTGCTTCGCGGGAAGAAGCCGTTCGAGTGGACCTTATTTCTCAACTATTGAATACGAAGGCGATGTGGGTGGTTTGCATGGTGGGCCCTTGCCGTGAAGGTTAGAACTGGTGCAACCAGGGAATGAAGTTCGTCCATGCACCTTGGAAGTCATGATAGAGTAGCGAGAGGCTTTCCACATCCACCTGTGTGTGTGTGTGTGTGTGTGTGTGTGTGAGTGAGAGAGAGAGAGAGAGAGAGATGTATATTGGAGGGCGGAAAATAATTCATCACCCACAAGGGCGCATCATGTACTTATTTTTTGAAATGAGACCGATAGACGTTTTCCGCATATAAAGACTTACATAAAAATTCATGTTTCGTGAAAAAAAAAAAAAAAGCCCCCCCCCAAAAAAAAAAAAACGGTTTGTTTTTAAAATTAACCCTTTAGGCCCTGCGTTCCTGAACAATTTTAACCGTTCTACCTGAGCTCCCGAGTCAAAATTTGCAAATAATTAGTATGTAATGTTTCACGGTAGATATAAAACTCGTTACAAGTGTTTACCCACCGTTCAACCGGTGTCTGAGCATTTGATTATTCATAATATCTTAAGGTAAGTTACTGAATCATTTTTGCATTTCAATGAAAACTCCCAACTGTCATAGCGCCTAAGTGTCGCGTTACAAGACTTCAGCAAGTAGGCAAGTCTATGCAGTGTTGAACGAGGGTTTCTGCGAACAGATAACATTTTTCCTTATAGGTCTCCTTTTAAGAGAATAGGCTAAAGTTTTGAAAAAAAATGATACGTTATCAAAAGAATAAAATTCAAGAACTAAATTCTACACATAAAAATGGTGGACATATCAGAAGACAGGAACATAAATCTAAATTTCACCCAATTATTTAAGAGATTCAAAACTGTTTAAAAAAAAGAATTTAAAGCTTTTTTGTTATTTTTAAGTCATCTTTCTAGGTAGACTGTGGCATAAAGTGTGATTTTTCAAATCCAGAATGTACGCTAAAGAAGAAAAAAACAAAAAACAAAAACAAAAATAAAAACAAAAAACAACTAATATTTAAATATCAAGAAACAGAATCCCTTTTATTTTGTATTAAAAAAATAAAAAACCAACTAAATTATGATATGGCCTCATCCCATAAATTCAATCAGGAAGAAATTTTGTTGAAAATGTCTTTTTATTTACGTCTTATTAATTTTGAATGAAATAAAAATGGAAATAAATAAGTTGAAAGAAAAATAGCTAAAAATTAATAATATATTTATCGAAGAAATTTCAGACAACTTAAGATTATTACTTCTACTATTATTTGGTTTGGAAAAAATATTTTAAGGAAGAATATAGTTAGAGGACTAAATAAGAATATCACCTGTTGATAGGTCTCTAAAATCTGAACATTTTGGACCTTCGTGCCCCCCGCCAAAAAAAAAAAAAAAAAAAAAAAACAACAACAACAAAAAAACGGAATACCAAAAAGACGTGTTTTTCCATGACACCGCTATTATTTTAACTACCTTCACTCCCCGACAATGTTTATTGTTTTAAAAAGTAATTCTTATAATTTTAATAAGCCCTAAACACATGAAAGTGAATTTATACATTTTATTTGTTCTTGAGAATTGATAGCAAAAATAATAAACATTATTTATTTATTTGATTTGCTTATTTACACTATTATATTATTTATTGGAATGGTTGGCAAAACATCGGCGAATTGTCAATTCAAACTTTACAAAATGGTAAATAAAATGATTTCCTTATATTTTAATAAATTAGTTTTGATACAACTGTATTAGTTTTTAGAATATTGCAAATATAAAATTATTCTTGTAAATAAACAAAGCGTTTAATATTTTTTTGTAAGTTATGAAAAACAAAAGCAAAATGTATAAATTAACTTTCATCATGTTTAGGGGTGATTAAAATTCTCATAATCGCTTGAAAAAAAAAAAAATTCCGAGGAGTGAAGATAGTTAATAATGACGGTGTCAAGTGGGAAACCACCCTTTTGACACTATTTTTCGTAGGCACGAAGGTCTAAGTTTGCCGGGATATCTATGTCAAACAGGCTAAGAAATATAAGACATTACCGAGAAAATTTTTTATCTGGATTTCTGGGATGAGGAGTTATGATTATTTGTATTATAAACTCAGACTATTGTCCTCCTATTTGTTGTTGTTTTTATCATATTTCGTTTCGTTGTGCTTACCGGCCTTTATCAAGTATTAATGATTAACTTTTAGACTCAGTTGCAACAGAACGAGCGATAACTGAGCATTAAGTAGAAACAAAACGAAATATCTTTAGACACGGACAGCAAAACGAGAACAATCTATTCGTGTAGATTAAATAAATGGCTCAGTTGGAAATTTCCTGATGAAAGCCGGACTGCATAACAGCCGAAACGTTGTGATAATAACAACAAAGATGAGGACAATAATCACAGTGTAAATAATGGAATATCACTTTTCTTTATTGACTTATTCTTCTGTGGAATACATTTACCGTAGACACCATAATTCTTTAGATTGAAAGTGGTAAAACTTGATACAGTTTGAAACCAATGAGTATTTTAAAGAAGATAAAAAATCATTTTTCTTACATCAGCTCCATCTGCACCCTGAGGCCCAGGTATTCCTCTGCGTCCTTCGGGGCCGATTGGCCCTGGAAGTCCATCCTCGCCGTTTTGACCGGGAGGACCAGGAAGACCCTATAAATAAAAAAAAGGGACATATTTAAAGCATTTGTACAAACGAAACAGGAATTTTTTTTTCAAGTAACATGAGTATGACGGAATGATTTGTTTTGGATGCCGAGTAATACCACAGGTATTGCCGAGTAATACCACAGGTATGATTAATTAAAAGTATAAAAACTTTTATTTACTCAAATGTTTATAGATCCCGACGAGAATTGTGCATTCCTTGAGCAGGTAATTGTGCCTTGATATATCATGACAGATACACCGTGGCTTAATGGTAGAGCACACATCATTAATGATTTCTCGGTTGATATTTCACTTTAAAAATAACAACTCAAACACGCGTACTTACTATAATTAATGTCAAATAATAATAATATATATATATATACGTGTGTGTGTGTGCAGTGTAGCTTTACTTCGACGTAGAGCGTGATCTGACAGATAGCATGTTGTGTGGAATGAACGTGTTATCTTAAAATCTTTTATGTCCCGTCTTTTGGTGATGACGTAGTCGATCAGATGCCAGTCTTTCGAACGAGGATGCATCCACGTGGTCTTACAACAGCTGGGTTGCTGCCAGAAGGTATTAGTGATACTAAGGTCAAATTCTTTGCAGATAGTGAGAAGGCGTAATCCATATATATATATATTAGAGGAAAAAAGTACGACAAAGTGTAAAAAGTTTTCGGGAAAGCTTTATCGGGCGAACTTTTTGAACTTTGTCATACTCCCCCACTCCGAAATTGATCTTGACATATAAAAAATATATAGCGTTTTCTTATATGTGTGTGCGTGTTTGTGTCTTAGGTTCGTTTGTCTTTATACAAAATTCTTTAAAAATGCAATAATCCCAGTTTATGATTAATATATATCCAGTCTTTTTTAAATAAAAACATTTTTTATAGTTTTAGGTCTGTCTGTTTTAATATATATTTTATTAAAATAATATCATTAATTTCTGTTTATTTTAAATATAAAATATAAATCCCGTCTATTTTAAATACTTTTGTTAAAAAATAATAATCCGTAATATATGAACTACGTCAGTATTGCTTTAACCAGATATTTTCAATTAAAATTTGAATTATATAACGATCAGCTCTCTACTCAGCATCTGAAGATTGCGTTGTTCATGAAATCCTGAGTAGTGATAACGGTAAGGAAGAATATGTATATTTATTAATATATACTTAATAGCTCTGTCATATTACATCAAGAACTATTTTATTAACACCAGCATCCAATGTGCAATATATATATATATATATATATATATATATATAATCCGGTGTTCTTATTGATATTTCTATAAAACAGTGCTCAATGTAAATTTATAGAGCATAAATATTATAAATTAACTGATTTAAAATAGGGTTTCTTCGCTACACAGGAATTACCATGTTTCAAAAACTTAAGTTAAAAAACTTCAAATTTAATTATATAATTAAATTAAAAGCGTTAGTTCTGTTTCATCTTCAAGCGAAAATTAAATTTGAAGTTTTTAGTTTTGGTTTTTGAAACATGGTAATTCCTGTGTAGCGGAGAAACCAGGTTTTAAATCAGCTAATTTTAAATTTATATATATATATATATATATATATATATATATATGGTACGGCAAATTCTGCAGATTGGGAATAAACGAAACAAATCTTGTCATATCTATTTAGAATATAGGTGATAATGGCTCTACAAAGCTTCCTCTTTTTTGTCTTCTAAACAACATTTGTCCCTTTATCACCCTTTTCATTCCTCACCTTGTCACCCATTTATACAAACTCGTTAGTTAAGCTACTCGCTGTTTCCATCGATTGCCTCCGAGTTAATTTGAATTTGGTACATAGAGGGAGAATTTAGTCCCTATTGGTATTACTTCCATTCTGGAACCAAACCCATTGGCATTTTCTGTTACTTTCTATAACAAGAGACCAAATAGTAATGGAATATGTAAAAAAAAAAAAAAAAAAAACTAATGATGAACCATTTACTTTTTTACAAATAGTGATGTAAATTTTAATAAAACAAATTTTCTTTATATTATGACGCAATGAAATCAAGAATCATTGGATTGTCAGTGTCCACGAACTAATGCTGGAAATTTCTTACAGATTATATATATATATATATATATATATATATATATATATATATTATATAAAATGAAAGGCATTAAGTCCGACAGTTATTTAATATATTTTCTGTTTATAGATACAATTTATTTAAGTAAATGTTCTGTTTTTAATTAAACAGTATTAATTACATCTACCGGCCTGAATGTTCAAGAAATTTCGTAGAAAATATGCGTTTTCCGATAGGAATCGAACCTGTATTCCTATTTGACTGTACCATTCAGCTACTGAGAAGCGTCTGGTTAGCAAAGTCCGAATTACTGTTTATAAACAATCGACGATTTTTCTCGATCGATCATTTCTGCTCACGAAATGTATTTTAACGTGAACAATGACAACATATAATGAAATGGATTAAGTCCGACAATGATTTGATACATTTTCTGTTTATACGTTATCTTTATAGATACAATAAAAAATCTATAAAAATATATATATATATATATATATATATATATATATATATAATGAAAATGCATTTTTAACGAATTTATAAATCAAACAAGTAGAAAAGTTTAAATATCTGGAAAGAGTTTCAACAGAGGACGGAAGTTGTGATGCCAAACTCCGATGCTGCAAAAGATTCATTCTAAAATCTAAACACTAAGAACTAAAAGAACAGGAGTAGATAGGTTTGCCTTTTATCCTGTTCACACTCCTCCCAAATCTTTTGAACAGGAGTAGGATTTTATCCCTTATTTCTTTTTAGGATTGGGTTTCTAGTTCCTTTCTTTTACTTCCAATTGTCTCTTGCATCTTATTGGCATTGTCACTTCGCTTGGTGTGAATTGATTAAAATCAAGGAAAAGAGTGATAAACTACGTAATATCAATCCTTATACATATCTGTGAATGCTGGCCAATTTCCTCACAGATGAAAAAGATTTGAATCAATCGAGATCATGGTTCTACAGAAGGATGCTCAGAATGCCATGGATGGTGTGTGTAAGCAACGCTGGAGTTTTAAGGAAAATCGAAACAAAACTGGTCACTTATACTTGGAATAAGGAAGAGACAGTTGAAATGTCTCGGACACATAATGAGGAAAGAAGGCTTGGAGAATCTGCCACTGCCAAGGCATACTGAAGTCAAGAAGGATGTAGGATAACAACGTCTAACCCACCTAATGAGTAGATGGCAGATGTAAATAGATGACAGAAAATGTCCTGGGATCGAGAGTAAGGGGAAAACATTGCTCAAAGCTTGGATACAAAAATTGTTGAGAGCCATGATTCTTCGCGCCCTAAAAAAGGGCGACACATAAAAAAAATATTGTACGGGTATCATTTTGAGGCAGACTTGTTAATAAATCTGTCTCTTTTTAATGAAAAGAAAATCTATGTATGTGGTATTTTCGGTTGCAGTTGATATATGATTATTTTAACGTTTATGGTTGTGAGGTATTAGATCATTTTTTGTATAACCACAAGCTAGATATTAATGCTATTTTAGAGGCGAACTCGGTTAAGCAACGTCGAGTCTGGTCAGTATCAAAATCGGTAACCGCTGGTCAATATCAGGGGCTATAAGTTTGGATGTGTGGGTTGATGTAATGGATAACGGCTCGGAATAAGAAATCATAGAGCCGAGTTCGAATTCCGGTCGAGGTAGTTTCATGCACTTGCGCACAATTACCCTTAGGAAAGGTATGAACTCACCTCTTCTCATCTATCTATGGTTTAAATAGTAGTACTTGTATCTGAAAATTATTATGTCCAAAAATTTGTTAATATTCACTCGTAAAAACAAAGAATTATTCTTACGATCGAAAAATGTGTTTCTATTTAAATAACCTACAAAAGGTTATAAGAAATTAAAAAAAAAAAATACCCCCCCCCAATAAATCAATTATTTGAATTATCTGCGAAGCCAAGTACTTCTGTTTTGGATAGGGATTCGTATAAAAGTTTCTGGAAGTAAATCTATGTATCTATCTATTCACACTAATCTCAGTCTTTTCACATCTATTTATTTATCTATTTACACTAATCTCAGTCTTTTCACATCTATTTATCTATCTATTTACACTAATCTCAGTCTTTTCACATCTATTTATCTATCTATTTACACTAATCTCAGTCTTTTCACATCTATTTATTTATCTATTTATCTAATCTCAGTCTTTTCACATCTATTTATCTATCTATTTACATCTATCAGTCTTTTCACATCTATTTTCAAATCTATTCAGTCCATTCAGATCGATCTTTTCATTATCTTATTTACGACATCGGTCTCAAAAATGTAATCCTACAGCCCTTCGACACTGCAAAATGCAATATATATTTTTTAATCATGCTCATTTATTCCCATCTATTCACGACCTTTCCAGGTTTGAACCAATAATTTCAATAATTTATGCACGAACCAACGCATTAATCGACTCTTAGACTATTGTTTATATCTGGATTTTCAAACCTAACCTCTGAGTCCTTCCAGCTTTTATCGCTTGAATACATCGCTCTTTTCGTGTTACGACAGCTGCTCTCAAAATGTGCCGTCCTGTCAGTTCTTTTCCTTAATTAATGCAAAATTTCATTATATGATTTTTTAAATCATGCAATGCAGTTATCACGTAAACCATGGATGACTGACTTCATTATTCCTTAAATTGATTTGTTTTTTTTTCCAACCTTTTGCGGTTTTGAACCAGAAAATATTTTTAGGCTTAAGATTTTTTTGGGAAATAATGATTTACTGATAACAGTTCCACTTATTAAGGGAAAAAAGTATTCTTTAAATAAATCCTTGTGTATAAACCCAACAAAGAATTTTATTATTCATTCTTAACCAATGCAGAAGAGTAACGATTCTCAAAAGTGAAACTTGGAATTAAAAACGAAAGATACTTGTAAGTAGTAATTATCTCCCTTTATGGGGAGATCTCTATAAAAGGAGGAAAGGATAACACATAGGGAAGGCAGGCAGATGGCCGATATAACAATACTTACATTACTGCCGTTGAAGCCTCGTGGTCCTCTTGGACAGGTGACGGTGCACGGAGATTTTTTGGGAAAAAAAAAAAAAAAAATATCTATGAAAACTTTGCATTATTGAGATGGAGAAAAAAACGACGAAAAACAAATAAAGGAAAAAAAATTATGCGAATTACAAATTGGAGACAACAAAATTAGACAAGAGGAAAAATTTAAATATCTGAGATTGGTTTTAACAGAGGATGGAACCCGAAGGTGCATTGGGCTAATGAAACATGCGTCTCAAAAATTAAGCAAAGTATTAAGAAACAGGAAAATTTAATTAGAAACAAAGAAAAGAGTACTGGAGAGAAGTCCTTATTTATGGCAGAGAATGCTGGAAAATCTCCTCACAGATGAAGAAGAAGAGACTTGAGGTAACAGAAATATGGTTCTACAGAAGGATGCTGAATATATCATTGACCGAACATGTGAGCAATGACGAAGTTTTAGGGAAAATAGAAACAAAAAGGAAACATATTTAACATCAGCAAGAGACAGTTGAAATTTCTAGGGAATTTCTGAGGAAAGATGGCTTGGAAAATTTGACACTCACAGGACATATTGAAGGCAAGAGGGAACAGATGGAAGCAGCGCAAAACCTACGTAACGAGCCTGTGTAAATGAGATGGACAGAAGGTTGTGGAGAGCCATGATGGCCCTACGCACCAAAGGAACACCGCACATAGAAGTTATTAAGAGATTTTTTTTCTGAGATCACGAAACTGCATAACTGAAAATCACTGAAGCAGACAACAACATTGCGTAGGAATTAGACTTTTCAATAAAGAAGCTATAAAATGGATGAAATGAAAATTTACTTTTTGAAAGTGCTTTAGATTAAGCCCTGTCGCTATTATTATTATTATTATTATTATTATTATTAGATTAAACCTTTTCGCTATTAATCATTATTAAATAAAACCTTTCCGCTTTTATCATTATTATTATCAGATTAAACCTTTTTCTATTATCACTATTATTGTTAGATTAAGCTTTGCCGCTGTTGTTATTATATTAAGTCTTGTCGCTATTGTCAATATTATTATTACCAGATTAAACCTTTTCACGTTTATTATTATCATCATCATCAGATTAAACATTTTTTATTATTATTATCATCATCAGATTAAACATTGTATATTATTATTATTAATAATATTACATTAATCCTTGCCGATATTATTATTATTATTATTAATATTAGATAAAGCCTTGACGTTATTATCATTATTAATATTATTATCAGATTAAGCCTTGTCGTTGTTATTATTATTAATATTATTATCTAATTCGGTGTCTAAACTCATTTTTTGATTAATGTGTTTTTTTACGGCTTAACTTTTTCATGTTATTTAAGGCCTCAAACTCATAATATTTCGTAGCTGACACATTAGATAAAGTCCAGCATTCTGTTTTCAATAACTCCGCGCGCGTTTCAGTATTATAACGGTTTAAACAATGTCACAATCTGGATGGTTACAACTCTTCTCTTAACTTCCAATCCTTCCAGTGCTTTCTCCTTAGATCCTTGGGGATCATTCATAGTGCACTGATAATGACTGGCATGACCGTCACCCTCTTATTTCATAACATCAGTTTTGATGATAAATTTCCGGGAAACAAGATCTGTGGACGATGCCAAACTTCATGGAAGACGAGCAAAACTATCGGAGGAGAAACTGTTGGATAATTCTGACAGTGTGCAGCAGAGTCCAAGAAAACCATTCTGAAAGTTAAGCGTAGCAGCAAAATATTGGTCTTAGAACTGTTCATAAGGGTTTCAGAAAGACATTAAAATTCTTCCCATACAAAACTGATAGTGGTGTTCAGAAACAAAATATGAAGGATTCAAGTCTGTATTGATGCTAACCGGCGTCACTTTCAACAGCTATATAATAAATGCGAATGTCAGTGTGTCACTCTTTTTTCAATTAAAGGGACATAACTCTCTAACTTTCAATAGCTCATGCTGCAGAAATTTTGGATTCCCAAGTTTTCATTACTGCGACTGTTTTCGGCGATTTTTTAAGTCACTTTTTACGACGAAATTTTTTGTATGATAACAGTTTTTATAACTTGGAAATAAATTTGGGAATAATCGAAATTAATTGTGAAATCCAGTGAAAGTCACGCATGTACGGAAAGTAAGAACCTACGCGCATCAGACTGTTTTTAAGTGGTGGCAGGAGAATTATTGTTGAACTTTTAAAAGGTAAGCTTAAATATTAATGCAATACTTAAATGCAGCGATCAATTTTGAGTTCTGTTGTTTATTGTTGCCTATCGCACACGGCAGCAGTATGCTTCGCAAAAAGAAACCTCCCCTAACAGAGGAGCAGATTGCAATCAAAAGAGCCAAGGCTGCAGCGAGGAAAAGAAAGTCCCGTGAGAACCCAGATCAAACTCCAGCTGAGAATATGCAAAGACTTAGGGACCTGTATGTCTGTTAATAAAAATATAACTGCATAGTGACTTTCCGAACACCGTGTCATTCCAAGTGCTAAGTATGATGTTAACTTTAGTCGTCTGATGTTTTTTTAAGTATATATTTAGATTTATATACATGTCAACTAGTGTCAGCGTTTTTGTTGCTATCATACCACTGTTTAGGCATCCCGAGGCGGTGTAATGGTTAACAAGCTTGTTTGGCTAGAACAATTACGACCGAGTAGTGAGTTCGATCCTCACTCGGCGCCCCATTCTTTCGGCCTTGTGCCACATCTAAGCTACGTTTGGAAAATCACTATTATCCCACCGTTTCAGCTCTTGTTGATTCGTTTGACTTTAGTGAATTTGGAATTGAACAATTTAGAGTTCCGCTGATCATGTCTAAGGAGAGCTTGTCTAGTTCTTACTTAATCCTGCTCAGTCATTCTCGTCGCACACTGAATTCAAGTACACACTGACCGGTCCAGGGTTTGAACCAATAATTTCAATTACCACATGCACGAACCAACTCATTAATCGACTCTTAGACTATTGTCCCGGGGAGAACTTGGATTCTTAAACCTAACCTGCTGATGCGTGCTCCTGCTTTTCACGATTGAATACACTCGCTCTTTTCGTGTAGTTACAGCTGCTGCTGTTGAAGCCTTGCTGTCAGTTCTCTTCCTTGATTAATGCTTCTTGTTATTTACATTATCAAATTGAGAAACAATTAAATGCGAAAAGCAATGCAATTTTACAGTTGGTTACGCGGCTGTCACGTAAGCCATAGATGGCTGACTTCATTATTCCTTAAATTGATTTTTTACGGCTTATCAAACGTTTTGTGTAGTTACAGCTGCTGCAGTTGAAGCCTTATTGTCAGTTTTCTTCCTTGATTAATGGTTCCTATTATTTACATGCGGGCTATTTTCCTCATCTTTGTTGTTGTTATTGCAACGTTTCAGTCGTTGTGTCCCGGATTTTATCAAGTGCTTGTCAATTCAGTTAATGTTCAAGGAATTTTGATCTGAATCCTTTATTCATTGTGACAACAACAACAAAGACGAGGACTATAGTTCGCATGAAAATAATGTAAATAATGAAGATAACTCCTCATCCCAGAAATTAATGGCTCTAATATCGGAATTTATTTTCATGCTATGACTACTAAGACAAAGTATTTAAATTTACTTCCTTGGAGGTGGGGGTATCTTTCTAAGTATTATGATAAATTAAAGAAAAAAAAAGAAGCTTTTTTCCTAGTGTTGTCCCAAACCGAATATTATATAACGGAAATCAACATTCCAGGTTTTCAAAACCCTTCTCTCGATAAAACACATTATAAATATGAAAATTTAAACAGAATTCGCATATTACGCTAGTTTTTATTTGGATATATTTTTGAGGTATGTCATTTAATATCGTCAAGATCATAAAACGGAAAGATTTCTGGCGAGATTTTCAGCTTCACAATAGTGTTGTGATCCAAATAAATTTTTTTATTATAAACATAAAATCCTTCATTTAAGTAAAATAACTGACAGACGTAGAATAATGTTGACAATCTACAATTTAATAACAATATTAAAAACATATAAAAAATGAACTGCAATAAAATGTAAATTAAATAATAGCAAATTAGAAGATAAAATTAATTTACATAAAACCAAAAAATACACAAATAAAAAAAAATGTTATGATGAAGTCAAATTTGGTAGCTGTTAGAAGTAAAGCGACGGGCTTTATAAAATGTCGTCTGCAAGCATCACAATTTGTCAGTATATTAGAGTGAAAGACAAACACGCAAACAGAGCACAAACATTCTAACACACGTGATGATTTTATGGAGAAAATTAATGTTAATGAATGAAGACAATGTTTTTAAAGTCAAATGATAAAAGCAAAGGAATAAATTGCACAAAAAGAATGCAACAGTTTAGAAGTCATTTTTTGTTTAGTAAGATTCAGAAAAAATAATTAAAATAATCTCTTTAAAAAAGACGAGTAGATTTGTGTTTTCATATTTAAAAAAAAAAATAAGGGATTAGATTGTATTTAGTTTTATGGGAATGTTTTGTTTTTGTATGCCATATTTAATCCGACGCCATGTTTAATCTCTCCGATCATTTTATGTTGTTTCAACATTTTAATTATTGACATCATCTATTATCTAAAAGCACGATGAATACAATGTTAGATTACGAAAAGAAATCTGAGAGAGCTTGCCAGTGTTTACGAAAATAAACCTGGCCATAGAATGAAAAAAAAAAAAAAAAAAAAAAAAAAAAAAGAAAGAAAATAAAACGATAGCTTTGTTTCCGCCATTCGTGTTTTCTTGTAGCAGGGACTGAAGAAAGATTATGAAGAATGTTTTATTAAATTAAATTATTAAATCAAATTATTAAATTAGAATGACAACATTTTCTGTCTAGTCTCTTATTTTTTGGTGCAACGAAGATTTTGACAGAAATTCCTATCTCATTTTTTTTAGAATTACCATTATTATATTATAATTTATTTGAACATTATGACACGCTATTTGGAGGCATGGTGAAGTAATGGACAGCGGCTAAAATTGAAGAATCAGAGAGCCGATTTCGAATTCTAGTCGAATTCATTACATTCGCTTACGTGTTAATATCATTGGGAAAAATATTAATTCACCTTTTTTCCCTCTAGCTATAGGCAAATAGCAGGACATACTCGGTCCTATAGCCTTGGTTGGCGACTAGTCTGCTGCCTTGTAGGTCTTGCTTTAGTCAAAGGCCCTCGCCTTTAGGGGGTAGAAGGTAACTTCAAAAGCAAATCTACCTAGCATGTCATCTCGGAGAATCGAACTTCGAGTCACGACAGAAAATAATGGACCACTCGGGCTTAGTACAATTGTTCGAATAAACACATGGGTCTGTCCGATTTTAGTCCATTCGCTCTGAAGTGTATCACACACGACAGTTTTAGACGATGCCCAAACTGGTGGTTTTATCTTTGTTATTATTGTCACATCGGGAGTTCTGCAACCCACTGGGGTCGATCCTATAAAACCGGTGGGTCATTCTAGGGCAATTTACCATAACAGAGCCCATCCTTCTTTTATTAATCCAAGGGTATTTGCCCAAAAGCAGACAAAAGGGCCTCGACTGAAATTTGAACTCAGGACGCTAATTCCTCTTTCCGCATTCTGTTATTATTAGTGGTGTTATAAAAAAAAAAGTTTCGACGTGTACTCTTCGGTCTTCTTCAGGTGTCTCTTGTTTTCATATATATAAAAATACAAGGGGTTATATCTTGTCTTGGTAGAATGTTTCTATTGTTTCATCCTTGTGGTGGTGTTTTCTTTTGCCTGTTCCTGTTCAACCAGAATATATGACTTTCACCGTTTTATGTGGCACAAGGTCGGTTTAACGTGGGATCTCCGAGCCCGTAGGTTTGGCCAAAAATATGCCCACTGAACCCGAATAAACGGGTTCAGGGTCGGTTTACCTCCCCGAAAGAGAATCCGCCCTTCGGCGTAGCCTCCTTCGGGTTCCTCCCCGCCCGAAGGCAGAGAGTTCAACCGATCAGCCGGTCGACTGACTGACCAACTTTACGCACGACCAACAGATAATAGTAAAATTAAACCAATTCTTATAACGACTAAGTCATCTTCTCACGATGTGCCAGCTATTTTGGAGCCTTTAAAATCTAATGGCAAATGCTTTGAAAATGTCTGTCTGAATTTCTGGAATGAGGAGCTATTATTATTTACAATATTTACACGCGGAATATTGTCCCCATCTTTGTTGTTGTTATCACAATATTTCGGTCATTGTGCCTCTGGGCCTTCATCAGGTGTATGTCGAACCGTTTAGCCTATAGGGAATTCCAAACAAAAACTTATTTAATCTATGGAGATAAACTGTTCTCGTTTCACTGCGCATGTTTAGAGTTACCTCGTCTAGTTCTTATTTTTAGTACTGTTCAGCTATTGTTCGCCCTGTTTTCAGAGTTAAAGTATACACCGCCCGACTCAGGGACTGAACACACAATTACTATGTCACCAATTTCATGATTCAACGCTTTATTCCATTACGCTATGCTGAAGTCTTTTTCTAATTTGTTCTTTCTTTTCAGCTCCTATATCGTATTTATTTATTTCTATGCTAGGCTTAATAAGAAGGTCCTCATAACCTATCATGTGCACTTATTTTTTTCAAACGTCTAAATTTCCAATCTTCTTTCTTGTCCAACATTTAACCGTAGACTTGAACAGGTTAAGATTGTGGCGATCGTGGAAAGTCAGTTTTACAGATCAGTGATTCGGGGGAAGAAGCTGCTCGAGTGGAACTTACTTCTCACCGAGGGAATAGGGGGGTGTGTGTGTGTGGATCGTTTGCTACAATGTGAGTGGCGGGTCCTAGTCATGGAGGTTAGGACTGGCTGAACCAAGGAATGTAGTTCGTCCGAGCACTTACCATGGAAGTAGTTACAGAGCAATGATAGGCTCGCTACATCCCGTCTATGTGAGAGGGGTTGCAGTGTGGAAAATAATTTGTTACCCACAAGGACGCGGAGACGTTTTTTGACCAATCAATGGAAACCCTGAGATAATGAAGGATCAGTATTCTACACAATTCCTGGATTAGTATCTTTATTTATTTATTTTATTATTTATTTATTTAATTGATTTAATTTATTTATTTAATTTAAATAAATAAAATAAATAAATTATTTTTTTGCTTTTTACGATAATGCCCTGAGTTGGATGATCGTCTGAGATGAAAAGGTTTCGTAATTCCACCTATGTTTGAAACTATCATATTTTTTTAGCTTTTTATGACAATGCTTTATACTGGCTAACAATGAGAGCTTTTTTTATTATTCTATAGATTTTAAAAATATTTTTATTTTTTATTTTTATACCTTCAAAATATCTTATGGAAATCTGGAATAGCATTCCTCTAGTATCTCACCGCTCTTACCTGATGGCGCACACAACTTGAGAGAAATGCATGCTAAAGTTTGAATTGATGAAATTTGAACCAAAGAAGAATTTCCGAATTGTAGACAAAAATGGCGGATGAATAATATTTAAGGACATGGCAAGAAAAAGAAAAAAAAGATTCGTTAAATCGCATGGTTCGATGTCCACATATACAGTGATTTAAGCATGCGCAGTATTAACATCGCGACGGTATTGTAGCGGACAGAAGAGTAGAATGTGAGAAAAGGGCAAAGCGAGAAACACTAGGAGTTACAAACGCGGTGTTAATGACGATGGCTGCAGTGAGAATAGAACTCTTTTTTTGAAGCGTAGAAAATGGAAGAATTAATGTCGCATAAAATGAGAAAGAAATAGAAAGAAAGTGAAGAAAAAAAGTGCAAGAAATAAAAGCAAAACCAGTGTATAATGGGGTGCGCCTTGGTTGTCACATATGCCTCTACCTGTAGGGTGTTCGGTTCAGGTTTATTTCCGGGTGGGGGCTGAAGAATAAGAAGAGTGAACAGCTTGTGAAGCGTATTACTTACGGCAGACCCATTACAGTAGCAAATAGAAAAGTAGTGCAAGCAAGTGCGGAAGAATATTATTTCATAATGTGTAATAATTAACCGTGGAACAGATATAAGTTAGGTGGTGACGCGCATTAAGATTTGTTTCTTGTTCATCTGTTTAGCAATTTTGTGAAAGAGTTTATGATATTTAAACCCCGCTAAAAAATATGCAGCAAGGAAAATGATTTGAAATTGGTAAAGATAGATATTGAATGGAGGGAAATATAATGTGTATGAAAAAAATCTACTAAAAGAAAAATATTTTCATAAGAAAATCAATTATTTTAAGTAAGGCAGAATTAAAAGAAAAACAGTGAAAATGAATTTTAAAGATTAAATATTAATTTTGCATGAACGCATTCATAAATATATTTTCACTTATCTTAGATTTTGTTTGAATTTTAATAGATTTAAATTTTCGAATTTTTTTTTCGAAATTGTTTGAAAAATAAATATACCAAAAATTTTTTGTAAAATAGTAAAATATGGAAGTAAAACATCGAAAAGTCTCGAATTTAGATAGGACCAATAAGTCTGTAGCCTATCTAAATTCGAGACTTTTCCTCGCTGTATAGATAGGTTTTGATCCGAATGCTTCACGGTATGTCTGATCCAGGTGGTTAATATTTAGCATTGAATTAAGAAAAGGTTTTGCTGAATTAAGTATTTGTTGCATTAAATAATAGAATTTTTCATAATTCGACTACAGACTTATTGATGAAACTGTATCTAAAAAGGTGCTGGAAAGTTCTCAGCCCGTCGTAATTCGACATATTTGAAAATATATTAGATTTTATTTTAAAAGAATCCCTTCTTGGATGGCTTGAGAACTTTTCAGCACCCCCCTCGTATATAATTTGTGCCCGTCATTTAGATTGTCCAATCGAGAATTTGATATGAAACCGACTAAATTCTGTCGAGGATTTTATTTATAAAAACAACTGAAGATAAAACCACCAGAAATAAAAAATTTTTTTCGTGAATTTAGAAAAATAAAAACAGATTACGTCAATCACCGAAAGAAATAATTTTACCAAAAAAAAAAAAAAAGAAAAATAAAATAAATAAGAAAAATAAATAAAAAAAGATAATAAAAAATAAAACAAATAAAATTTATAAAATAAAGTTTATCTTTGGTAAATGATATTATACGCATTTGAAATAATAAAACAATACACAACAGCAGCAAAAAAATTAAATAAAAGCAACAAGAAACGAAAACAAAAACAAGATACACAAAAAACAGTACAAGAATTAGAAAAAGAGAAAGAATAAAAATTTAAAAACCATTTTAAAATGGCAGACGGTTCTAATTATCGCCTAGAGTCACCTGACAACAGCCTGTGTCGTTTATAGCGGCTCAAAATGAATAAACAAAGCTTTCTAACAATTCCAGAAGAGATCAGTATTTGGTAAGATTATCGAAAATGTAGACTAACAATTAAAATAAAAAGGGTGTCTTTTGGTAATTAGGAACACTTGTTTCTACAACCCACTTTCAAAATTCTATTAAAAAATATGGTCAGGATGAGAACTTTTCAATAACTTCTTAGAGTTCATTTCTGATTAATACCACCGTCGAATAATTCTGAATTCGATTAAAAATACAATTTATAATGTATTCTCACTAAATATTATATTTCTTGCAATTCCATTTAATAGTAATTATTTCAGTTACAATTAATAAGTTTCTATATTGAGTAATTTACAATGAATTTTAATGTATTTTAATTTAATTTTAATGCATTTTTATAGTAATTAATTTGAAATGCATTTTTTAGTAGTAAATCAATTGCAATTCAAATGCAATTGATTTACAATGCATTTTTTAATAATAAAATCATTTATAATGTATTTCTATACTAAATAATTTCCGATAAATTTCTAGTGAAAATATTTGCAATAAATTTTTTATAGTAAATAATTTTCTATGCATTTTGGTAGTAAATAATTTACAATGCATAATAATAATAATAATAATAATAATAATAATATAACTCATTTTAACCCGTGAAAATTTCGTGGTTTTTCTATTTTAATATTCTGATGAATCGTAATTCATAATTTAATGATTGAATAAACTCATGGCGAGTTCTACAACAATAAAATATCCATAGAAATTCCTCTATCGAATAGTGAAATATTTGAGCTTAAAAACTTCAACAAAATATTGCAATAACAATCATAAATATGAATGCTGGTCGTTATTTTTTGAAGTAAGGGGGTACAAATGCAAAGATTTGATATTGACAATTTTTTCCTTTTCAATGAAACAGCCGTTAAATATTTCTATCTCACTTGCCTTGCCTTCTTTCATTTTCTCACTGAAACTATGTAGTGACTTTTCCCCCTTTTCCATGTGATTAAAACGGAATAGTCCTTTAATAATGAATAATAATTCATTAATAATAGTCTATTAATAATAAACATACATTTTACCTCATATTAATTAAAATTAATGAGGTAAACTATGTTGATTATGATTATATATAGGATAACATGGTAATTACATAAAGCATTTTGGAAAAAATCTACTTTCAGCGAGGAACCGACGTCATCAGAAAAAAAGAATTGTATTCCACAAGTTCATCGGTGGAACTTGTCAAAGCTCAAATTCTCTAACCTCTTTTATATATTTACTATTCCGTTCGAGTCTCATTCAAATTTACTCATATAATATAATATAGAAGAGATGAAAAACATTTATAGGAAGTAAACAGGCAACGAAATTTCCATGGTAAACTTAGCATGTGAGCAGATACAATCAACACATACACCATTACAATGTTTCCTGCTCTTTCTTATGCATAATATACACCCTTGTGCAAATTAATTGAAACAACAGCTTTAGTTTCTTTTCTTTCACTATACGGTCAGTTTTAGACCCACTAGAATGACAGGGTGTAATCGATTTCTATTTTTACCTCAGATTAGGTCATTTGCAGTGGTGTGCAATAATATGATTCTATTTTCGGGGTGTATCATGAAATTTGTTTGGCCATGAAAAATATCGCGTAATCAGATTTTTATCACGCCCAGACACTATTGTCTCGACTGTCGATTAGTTGTCCTACGGCCATTTTCTGCGATGGCCGTTACACCAAGGAAACGTACAAAAATTGTAACGCTGCACGAATACACTGACACGTCATACAGAGAGATCGTGGACTGTACGACAAAAGAGAAACTTATAACGACCATTATAGATGTGTGATACCGTGACACCCAAATCAATGAGGACGGCTCCAAATTAGTAAATTCCATGCCAGATCGCTATCAAAGAGCTTCTAAAAAATAAAGGCGGACATATGAACTACAGACATATGCACTGGGTCAAGTTTCATTGGAAAAAAATTTAAAAAAAAGTAAATAATAACGTAATTATTCATTTTGTTTCAACTAATTTGCACAAAGGTGTAGAATAGAGTGTTTATTGCTTTCTCTTTAACTTATGCCAAACTAATGCACGATGATATATAAAATTAACATGTGAAAGTTGCTTTAATTCAAACATCTAACCCTTAGCTAAGCAGACAAACGACATATGTTCCAGTGTTCTTCAGCTTGAACAGTATCCAAATCGAGGGATTTCTCACTCCTGTTGGAGGAACACATGCTTGATTGACTATATCTTCATGGGTATTGCTGTACTCACCACCATTGCCCAATTAGTGAGACTATTTAACCCATAGTTGGGGTGAATGGTTTTGAAGTCTGAGTTGTCCTTATTTACCCCACCACACACACGTATATATATATATATATATATATATATATATATATATATATATATATATGGTGGACTCTCCCGTCGTATTCGACGTATTAGGATCAAAGAGCTCAGTTTCTAAGAACCGACAGCCAGACACGAGCACATCGGATTTGATTATAGTGGTGGAGGCGTTGTGCAGAACCAAACACACTTTTTGAAACGCCGAATACATAGACGTGCCACAAGGTCCGCAAACGTCCCTCCACAGGTTTTGAATTCAGTGTTGTCCTTCTCCTTGTCCAGCTGCCATTGAAGGCTACAGAACGCAGTCTGTCCTGCTATTTACCCATAGCTGGAGGGGGAAGAAGAGAAATAATACCTTTCCCAAGTAAATGTAATAGATTCGACTAGAATTCGAACTCAGCTCTTCGATTCCTCAATCCCAGCTGCTATCCACTACTCTACAATGCCCATATATATATATATATATATATATATATATATATATATATATATATATATATATATATATATATATATTGCTCTGTATGGCAAATGGAGCACTATTATGTTTACACCTCATGTATGAATTTGACGTTTATTTATTTGCTTGCCCGTGTATGTACATTAGCACACGCGTATATTCTTGATTATATCGAGCCCTTTGATTTATATATATATATATATATATATATATATATATATATATATATATATATATATATGTATTTTGAGATGAGGTGTTATGTACATTATTTACATTATTCGGACTATTGTCCTCATCTTTGTCGCCATATTTATCACAACGTATTGAACTCACACTCTTTGGATCTTGTCACTGGATCTAACTAACGCCGATTAAGGCAGTGGAGAACTTTCAGAGGGAAAATTTACAGGCGATAACTTATAGCTGACATCCATCAAACATGGCACGTGGAACTAGAACAGTTTACCCCAGTGAGCGAAATAAAGGGTTCAGTTCGACATTTCAACCCCCTGAAGAAGGCCGGAGCGTACAACGGCCGAAACTTTGTAATAAATAAGGCGACAAAGATGAGGATAATAGTTCGAATAATATATATATATATATATATAGCAAATTCGGCGTAGAAGTTGAGTTTTCAAGCCGAAAAACATCTTTCCAACACAAGGTGTCGACTTATATGGCGGATATAAAATGCAAACTTTTACCATCAAATTATAAACAAATGGGACAGTATTTCTAACAACGACTGTATACCACTAACCGTACTCCCAGTAGGCGGCCACAGATACAATCCCACTAAAGGTCGACTTGTACGCCGCAAGTTACGCTAGATAGCGATTTTCCAAGTGTAGCTTAGATGTGGCACAAGGTCGAAAGTATGGGGCACCCAGAGAAGATCGAACTCACTACTAAGTCATAATTGTTCTAGAAAGACTAGCTTGCTAACCATTACCCCGCCTCGAGGTGCCCAAGCAATTTACGGAATATATCACGTGTGTTTAGGCAGCAAGAATTCTTTCAAACAAATTGTATTAAACAATAACGAGATCTGCCCAAATGTTTATCTCGCTTTTCAAACTAAGTTATTTTATGCCAGAATTAAAATTGGTAAACTTACCAACGTTCATTTTTTGGCATTCGAGTACTTTTGACCCTCACTTATCAAGAACTACGAATTATTAGTCTCTTTATCAAAATGAGTTTGGCAAATTGCGGCGTTTTTTTTTTTTTTTTTTTTTGTCTGCTGGGGTTAAGCCGCCTAAAAATGGCGCCATTCACAACAGTCAAACTGAATTTATCCTATTCTTCTTCTTATTATTATTATTCTTATCCTCATCATTATTTCAATATACGATCTCCCATGGAGAAAAATACGCTATTTAATGTTGACGACTTCCCTTGTGTTAAAACGACTTCTAGAAAAATATGTATGTATGCGTTTGTGCTTGTGTGTATATATGTATTCCTCTATATATGAACCAGTATTACTTTTTGTTGTCAAACGGTATTTACAGCTTGTAAATAATTTATTTACAGTCCGAGTCCAACGCCCAACTAAATCGCTTCTAGCAATCCAGTTGATTGATAGCCAATCGACAAAAGATTAAGGCAGCTTTTCAGGTACCAAGAATTTATATCCCAAAAATGTATGACTAAAAAGAAAGAAAGAAAAAAAAGGATACATACAAATCTAAAGTAAACGCACATAAAATATGAAGTGTTTAATGGTAATCGATAGGAATTTGGGCATACTTAAAAAAAAAAAAAAAAAAAAAGAAAAGAAAAAAAAAGCGTCCCGGGTAACACTACATCCGCCAGCAAGGCCAGGTTTTGTCTGATTTCTGTATGCTACTAACACACAAACATACATATATATTATCTATCCTGCGTAAATATATTCATGTAGTCGAATTTCACTTAATTCAAACCTCTTTTACTGCTATTTTATAAATATATCCTGTATACACAAGCTGAAGCCTTGCGTAGAGACTGGAGGGTGTTCTCCACTTGATGTATGCTCATACCATAATTAATACTGGCTAACCACTCCAGAATATACAAAACTTTAGAACCAATATCAGAAAACGGATCTCGATTCAACAAATCTTTGCTGTAACCAAACAACAACCTGTCTTTCTACGCGACAGCCCGTTCCACCTACAATATTGAAAGAGGCTGATTACCCACCGGACGCTGCTTCGTCGTGTGCTGGTGAATACGCGTTCGATTATAAACGGCGTCCGAAATGAACATAGAAATTTAGAACGCTGATGACAATCGGTGTAGACACATATTTTTGTCGTTTGCATGTTTGTTTGGATTATACACGATGGGAATTTGGGAACAAAAAAAAAAAAAAAAAGAAGCTTCCTGGGTAACACTACATCTGACAGCAAGGCCAGATATCGCTCCTTGTGCATTTTTCCTCTCCAAAAATCAAATCCCGCTTGAAAGGAAAAAAGAATCTAAGAGAATGCTGCTCGCTATCCCCAAAAATGGAGTTCCAGGAAAGCTTCCATCAATGAAAACAATGCTGGATAAAGTGTGTGGCTTCAGAAGGTAGACTACTTTGAAGGAGATTAAATGCCGAATTGATACGTGTTGTAGTTTTCTTTTTATAGCACCAGTCCCGATACTTTTTGATTAGATTTCGTATATACTTTAATCTATCGTCCTCAATCTCTATGTTCAGGCAATATGCAAATTACAGCCAGGGATAATAATATCCCCGGGCAGAGAAATGTAAATATCTGGGAAGTGTTCTATCATAGGACGGAAAGTGCGACACTGAGATCCGAAGACGTATAGGAATGACCAAAGATGCATTCCAAAAGCTAAGCAGAGTATTAAGCAACAGAAAAATTTCGTTGAAAAGAAAGAAAAGAGTAATGAAATGTTACGTGATATCTGTCCTCCTGTATGGAATGTTGGAAATCTACTCTAAGATGAAGAGGAGACTCGAAGCTACAGAGGTGTGGTTCTACAGAAGGATGCTAAGAATACCATGGACCGAACATGTAAGCAACAACGAAGTTTTGGATAGAATGGAAACAAAAAGGAAACTTATACTTAACGCCAAGAAGAAGAAGCTGAAATTTCTGGGTCAGGTGATGAAGGAAGGCTTGGAAAGTCTGATACTCACAGGATTGATTAAGAGAAAGGAGGACAGGAGAAAGCAACATGTGACATACTTAATGGGTTTGAGCAAATGGATGACAGCACAGGGTCTGGGAGAAATAGCAGTAAAACAAAACTTATTAAGAGATACAAGGAATAGGAAAATGTGGAGGGCCATAATCGCCTACGTCGTGAAGGGACACGGCACATAGATGATGATGACTGATTATGTTTATACAGATTCTAAAAATGATTAAGCAAACATCTTTGCACCATGTCACTAAACAACCACCAAACGGAGAATCAAATACAAGTCAAATAAATAAATACAGCTGATCTCCTGCCCCCAAACGAACCACGCCTGATTTTCAAGCTGTAAACAAATCTCCCATGATGAACTGACCGATGATGACGGAACTAAAAAAGAAGTTATATTTTTTTTACGCGTCAAAAGAGCTGAAGATAAGGTTTTCTCGTTCCCGTACGTATGTCGTCATTACCAGTTCCCTGACCGGCTGTGGTCGTAGGGTCTTTGCGCAGCTGAACAGTTCCTCCCATAAATAAAACTGGGTTGAAAGTAGCGTAGACTTGGTGGAGTCCATTTCTCTCCATATCAAACCACAACCATGAAGTCTCGCTTTGGTCATGGACACGTGGTCGTTGGTTCTATCGCGAGGAAACCTCCAAGTTGACTGTTGACTTTAGTCTAAGAAGTCCTCCACCCAGCGATGCCGCATCAACACCGCACTGGTTGTATACATAGGTACGGCGCTTAGTCTACACAATTGTGCGAGATAACCGTTATCATAGAAGACGGTTTATTTACCCTTTGGCAGGTTTTGCTTTTAATCTATACGCGTGTCTAGCTATCCTTATCAGAAAAAAAAGCCTGGTTCGTGAACCGGTTTAGTCTCTGATGACCCGACCATACGGCAAGAGTATTGGATTACATCGTTACTACAATAACTCGTAGACTGACCTGATATATACTTAGGTATGTGGTGTTATTAACATTACTAGTAATGTTGCAAAGCATGTACATATCACTAGTTACAAATTTGATTTGAAATAAGAAAAACTAGTTCGACATCGACGATTTAAAATAAGGAATAGTTTCTCTTTATTCGAGCTGCTCATAAACCCCCAAAACGTTTTAAGGATGTAGTTAAATGTAACCTAAAGACGATTGGCGTTAATGTTGAAAACTGGGAAACTTGCTGGAGAAGGCTGATTTGGGAACGCTGCAACAATTTTTAGCAGAAGAGAAATGAGCGTTCCAGCGTAAAGCACGTCATTAGGAAAAGAGAAATAGAATCTGTCCCAGAACGACTGGGACACCAACACACTTGCAGTATTTGACGGCTGGTTTAGCGAGTCACGTGAGATCACACTAGAGACGTCAGGTACAAACTCCTGTGAATGCAAGCCTACCAGAAAAAAAAAAAAAACCCTGCAGGTTACTTGTTCGAGTTTTGTGACAAAGTTCGTAAGTCTGTTGTGGGACTCAAACATGACTGTACACAAGGACAGACAAGTTTCCAACATAGGTAAGATAGACAAACCCTGTTTGCCACGTGTGTAAGAGAGGTTGTAAAAGTGAAGCTGGCCTTAAGAATCATTTACGGCCCCATAGTAGAGCGTAAGTTTGGGTATAAATGATGAAAATAATGAAATTCTGAATGAAAAAAAAAAACACACACACACACACACACAAAAAAAAAAAAACCCACAAAGACACATGGCACAGTGGATAAAGGCGTTGGTTAGATCCAGTGACAGGACCCAAAGAGTGTGAGTTCTATACCCGGTTAAGGTAGTGGAGAACTTTCAGAGGGAAATTAACAGGAGACAACTGACATCCATTAAAACATGGCACGTAGGACTAGAACAGTCTACCCCAGTCGAATTTCACTTAATTCGAACCTCTTTTACTGCTATTTTATAAATATTTCCTGTGTACACAAGCTGAAGCCTTGCATGGACACTGGAGGGTGTTCTCCACTTGATGTATGCTCGTACCATAATTAATACTGACTAACCACTCCAGAATATACAAAACTTTAGAACCGATATCAGAAAACGGATCTCGATTCAACAAATCTTTCCTGTAACCAAACAACAACCTGTCTTTCTACGCGGTAGCCCGTTCCACCTACAATATTGAAAGAGGCTGATTACCCACTGGACGCTACTTCGTCGTGTGTGGGTGAATACGCGTTCAATTGAAAACGGTGTCCGAAATGAACATAGAAAATTAAAATGCTGATGACAATTGGTGTAGACACATATTTTTGTCGTTTATATGTTTGTCTGGATTATACAAATTGCCTACCTTTGGTATTTCGTCGCACGTTTCACGTTCCGGTTTTTGGTAATCACAATGAAGCACCATCCACTGGAGTTCAAACTGGAATTGAAAAAAAGAAATAATGGAAGCATAAATACAAACCCAAATTAAATTCTTAAATATTAGAACAATTTATCTTGTACTACAAAGGATGAAAAACTTTTTGAAAATAAGAAAATGTATAGGAAATTTAAGGAAAATATCCTTATTATTTTTCACAGTAGTTGGGAAAACGTTTGAAGTGGCTGGGAGGGAAAGCTGTAAAAGCGGCTTCCATGGAGTGTTGAAGGCAGCTGGTATGGCAAGCTTTAAAAGCGGCCATTATTAATAGTATTGCAAGTGGTTGGGACGGAATTCATTGGAAGAGGCTGGGGTTGACAGCATTAAAAGTACATGGGATGGAATACGTTGAAAGCGGTTGAGAGGGAAGTGTTGAAAGCGGTTCGGGCGGGAAGCGGCTGGGACTGAAAGTGTTGAAAGCGGCTGGGACTGAAAGGTATGAATGTTACTTACAGGTACAGTAAAGGTATGAATGTTACTTACAGGTACAGTAAAGGTATGAATATTACTTACAGGTACAGTATTACCGTCTGGTTCTCGCGTGCCCAATATGATTTCACCATCGGTATCAATTTTGGCCCGGGGCTGTTTAACTGCTATTGATTCCACAGGTTTACAGTCAAGGTATATCTCGATGTACTCTCGGCCGACGGAGAAGTGAATCTTATGCCAGCCTTTGGAGAAAAGCTGAAAATATAAAATAAAGATAAATGGAGAACGAGACAGACATTCGAACACTACACATGAATCGTGTTGCGTAACGGCTATCGGCTCAGAAAAATAGTACCGGGGAAATACGGGCCTAGGCTATTGGGTTCATTTAGTGTTTGAAGGGGCAAAAAACTATATCCAATCAGCTATGGGTTAAATAGAAGATTAGACTAGGCTATCTAGCCTTGGCTAGGAGCCAGTCTAGGAGAAAGATGACACTGAATTAAAAATTTGAAAAAATAACTAAGGAACTACTTCAGTATCTTTCGTAAGAAGCCATGGCAATTCATCATTCATTCGTTTTATTCAGTTAACACATTTTGCGCCGCCACTGTGGTCACCACCTCCCTCCATCTCAAAACCGTAGTTCATAGTGTCATTCAAAACAGAATAGTGCAAGGTTGAAGTTACCTCGGCCATCTTCTTAGCAGTGGATTTGTTTTTGAAGTTAACTCCATCAAGCTTTTGCCTAAAGAGGCAGGACCTATAAGGCAGCAGGTGGTTTGAATTCAGATTTTCCTTCTCCTAGACTGGTTGACACCCAATGGTATATGACCCATTCTTTTCTGCTATTTTACCCAGGGAAGAATTGGATTCATACCTTTCCCAAGGGTATTAGCACGTAAGTACATGTAATGAACTCGACTGGAATTCGAACTCATCTCTCCGATTCTATGCCTCCGCGAGCAGTTCATAGAGATTAAAAAAAAAAAACCACTGTACAAAATCCTGATCATCTATGACCTGAAAACATATAGTATTTTAAAAATCTTTCAATGTTACCAAATAAAGATAGGAATTATTCCTTTGGTAGACAATGTTTAGGCAAAGATATTGGCATATGTTTCGAATTTCCCCATAATTTACTGTAATTTTTTGTTTACGTAAAAAGTTAATTCTTCATCATCAGCGACTCTGAAGACAAGTATTTAAATGTTGACCGATATAATTTCGCGCGGAAACCATTTTTTTATGATTACGACTATATCACGTGGAAACACCGGTTCCCTTGCGATCACCGAAGTTAAGAAACATTGAGCCTGGTCAATATCTACGTAAGTGACCGCTTGAGAATATAAGGTGCTATCTGATATGGCGGACCGGCATTGTTTTTCTCAATGTGCCACGTACCTGTAATATTTCGTGGTGATATTAATTTATACAGGAAACGATATATATATAATAAATATAATAAAAGTTAACTATTTTTTTTTATCTTCCATTTATTTTACAAAAAATAATTCAATAGGAAAACATAAAAAGTGATAAAAAAAAATAAGCTTCAAATGATTCCTTAGCAAGGCCTGGACACTGGCCGCGTACCGGTAGCTGATAGATCGCGTACCGGCACCTGTCTACGGACCACCACTTTGAGTAGCACTGCTGTAAGATAATAATGATTTACTGATATAAGTCCTACTAATTAACCCATACTGAGGAGGAGAAAAAGTGGATTCATATCTTTCCGAAGGGTATTTGTTCGTAAGTGAATATAACCAACCTGGCTGTAATTGGAGCCTGAGTTTCCAATTTCCAATTGTACCACCTGCAAATCCAAGCTTACAGCACATGGTATTCCCAAGCAGACACCCATCTAAGCACTGACCAGGCTTGACGTTGCTTAAGTTGGGTGGTTGTACGAGAAACGTGCCATAGACTTATGCCGATTACTGGCGAACATGCTATCTGTCTGACAGTGAAATATAAAGTCTTAGATGAGTTTTCTTCAAACGAATTGTTCCATGGAATTGGATGATTGGTCCCACGCTCGACCACTCCGAATAAGTATTGCTTTTCTGTCGAGGTTTCCTTCCCTAACACGACCACGCGTTCCCACGCTAACAAGTTTGATCGATTCGGGTTTGGGAATTCTAAGTCTTCCATCTCTCAGACTGGTTGTCAACAAAGCTAGACTCTAGTCTACCCTACTATTTAACCCATAGTTCGAGGCGGTGAGAAGAGTTACATTGATACTTCTCCCAAAGGTATTTGCACGAAAATGAATGTTATGATCTCGACTTGAATCCGAACTAGTCTCGATGATTTCTTGCACTACCAGTGGCGAACATAAGATTGGTTATGTTAGTCGTTTTGAAGTGTAGCTTCCACATAAGCGAAAATACCAAGTTCTCCACATTTCTGAGAAGCGAGAAAAAAGTGATTACTTTATGTTATATACCGTACCTATGAACACTAATGGGTATGTCCCAATCTTCATAAATACGTTGGACACTATTGTAAGTTGGGGTAATATGCTAAGTAGTCAATCAGTAGCAGTGGTTTACCTACTTCACGCCGCTGGCGAGTGTTGTATTTTGTTGATGTTATAAAGATTACCATTTCATTTTCAACGTCCGTTTTTCTCATTCAGTAACCTTTCTTAGGTTACAACACTTTATAACAGAGAACGAAAGATATCGTGCAGAAAGCAGATTGAACACTAATCATACCAATAATGGTTTTTATGCTGTGAATATGGTAGGAGAGGTGCAGAGTCCTCAACTATGAGCTCTTTCCAGAGAACCAAATGATTGATTCGAACAAGTATTGTTCGCAATTAAACTCACTGAATAAGCGTCCGAAGAGCGTAATATTTATCAGGATAAAGTTAGTCCGCATGCTTATTTGGTGACCAGGTAAAACTGTTAGACGTTGTCCAGGAATTTCTCATATATATATTTGCATATTGCATATTCGGATTTTAATCTATCCCAGTTTTTGTAGAAATACTACAAAAAGCAGTATTTTCTTCTGAGAATGTTAAAAATCTATGAGAAGGTGAAATTAAGAGACGTTGGAGAGTTAGACGTCTGAAGGAATCAGCGCTTTTGCTAGGCTATGAGGACTTCCTCAGTAGGCCTAGCGTAGAAATAAATACGATATAAAAATTTCTAAGAAAGACAGACAAATGTCAGCAGGAGCAGCTGTAACAAAAAGAGAAGCCTCAGTGCGTGTCGTCACAGAATTGTTCCACGGGATAATAGCCTCGTGTATTAAAGCGATGGTACGTGAATTTGGTGACATAGTAATTGTGGGTTCAATCCCTGGGTCGGGCAGTGTACTTGGACACAGTGGAAACGGGGCAAGCAAGAACTGAACAGTACCCAAATAAGAACTAGACGAGCAATCCCTAGATAACGACCCTAGAACGGAAACAATCTATCCCCATAAATAAAGAATTCATTTCGGAATTTCCTTTGGGTTGCCAGGAAGGGAACAACGGCCGGAACGTTGTCGTAGTAACAACAAAGATGAGGATAATAGTTCACGTGTAAATAATGGAATTAAGATGTTGGTATGAAAATGGCAGGACCCTACTGAGGTAGGGAATAATTGGAGAAATTCGCACGGAGTACACTATTTAGATTTTTCGAACTGCTGTTCTCATATTCATTGTTACATTCACGACGTTTCGGCCGTTGTACGCTCCGGCCTTCTTCAGGTGATATATGTTGGAATTTCGAACCGAACTCTTTATTTCATCCACTGGGGTAGGTTGTTCTAGTTCCACGTGTCATGCCTTTTCAACGTATATCACCTGAATAAGGATGGAGCGTACAACAGCCGAAACTTCGTGAATATGACAAAGATGAGGACAACAGTCCGAACAATCTAAACAGTGTAAATAGTTACAAAACCTCATCTCAGAAATATAGACAGATATCACTTCGAAGAATTGTGAAAATTTGGGGGGAGGAATACTTTTTTTTATTATATAAATTAGCATTCATTAGACCTTCCTTTAAGGATGACTTTTGTCAAAATTGAAACATTTTTTTTAAAATCGTTTTAGAAGGGGGACCCTGTTCATGATATAAATGCAGATTCAAATCGATCCCTGATTTTTTAAAGATTTATCTGTATTTTGTTTTATTTAGAAAAATGTGAAGTTTTCAAATTACGCCTATGTCATTGATAGCTACGTGCTACTGATGACTTTTTCTTAATTCGGGATTTGGTTCGTTTTTTTTTTTAAACAGATTATCAAAACAAACTTTATTTTTTACATTTTTTTTACAAAGATTTATTTTAAACAAGGAACAAACGGCTACAAGCGGAAGGAGACGCCTCCTTATAAAATGAAAAAAAATCAATATTTTTCGATGCTAACAAATGTCGTACTTAGAGCAAGCTCAAATGAATCCTCATCAAAAAAAAAAAAAAAATATTTCAAAAGAAATCATTTTTCCTTATTTTTTTTACAAGTGCACTAATTAACCTCAATAGTACCAATGGCAGCAAATAGTAGAGCAAAGCACTTATTGAATGTTGTTAATGTCAAAATTTTAAAAGAAAAAAAAATTAATTAAATGAACAAATTTTTGTCCGCCTTTTAGTTAATTTGAAACACGAATATTTATTTGTTTTCATTTTAGTATTCAGATCTTAATATCCGGTAATTTGTGAACATAGGGGGAGGGTTAATTTTTAGATTTTAAATAAAATTGAATGTCAGATGCGGATATAAGGTGCAGGTCAACTACTATATAAATGTACATGTGTTAAGTCCACCATATTGGCTCTTGTCAAAGTTGACAATGAGGGCAAAAGTTTTTTTGCTTTTAATGTCTGGGAAGTTAATGTAATTATGTGAATCTAATTCTAAGCGTTAACTCAAACATTTGCTTCTTTGACAGCCATTGTGACATGACAGTAACGAAACATGTTATCAAGATTTCTGGTGCTGTACCAGAGAGCAGTGAGAAATGAATTCACTCTTCCATTTGAGCGAAGTCACTTCCGTTTCCTGTAATAGTAAATATTACGCCCTCATCCATTATATATACCAAGACAAAAACTGCAACGCCTATCTTTTTTTTTTAAGCTTGTCGCCTGTCTGTTTATTTCACTCAGTTCATATCTATGAATTTATCTATTTCGAATTATATTTCAACTTTCAGTCACAAATAACAGCTCTTAACCGGAAGTTGGAACAGTGACGACTTTTAACACTGTGGCGTATCAGTAAACGGAGGGGGAATATTCTCCAGCTCATATTCTCTCTTTTTATAGCTATCTATGCAGCTTTATTCATACCTAATTTAATATCTATATTCCCATCTATGTTAATCGATATCAGTTTCTACATCAATATCGATTTACAGTCATATCTGTCTATCTATATCTATTTATCTGTGCTGTCATATCTATCTATCTTTCTTCATATCTATCTATCTATGGATAATAAAGGTGCTCCATTTTGTTGTGAAATGCATTGACTCAAACGCTTCTGAAGAATAAACTCTTTATGCAAATAGACTGATTGAAATATTCATGGGGTACACCGTTGTTTAACGGTTTTTAGCACAGAAAGCAACATATTCTGAGTTCGAATTCCTACTGAGGTTGTTTTATGTTAGCTTTACATTAATGTCATTTGTAAAGGCATGAACTCAATTATATCCATTTAGACATCGTGACAAATTGTTACCGGTATTGATTTCTAATTGTGACCGTGTGCAAAAAGGAATTCGCCCATCTCTGTTCCCAGCACTTTATCTTAATATCAGATATGATGAGCGGAGAAAGCAGAAACTTGGTTCAAAATGATACAAGAGAAAGTATGTACCTCTTCTGCATAACGGTCAGTGTGGTAGAATGTGTATATTCGGGTAATGCAAGAACCAGTTTTTATTTTCGAGTAAAGTTAGAAGCAGTTTCCCCTAATGATTAGGCTTCTATCTGAAGCATCTAAAAGCGTCCTTTGAACAAACTCATACAATTTCGAATACTCACGAATGACAACCTTGATTTAAATGCCCCATTTACGTAATGGTCAGTGTTTGTTTTTAAATCAAAATCTGTCATGGTTGGCGTAACAATTATCAAAAACAGTATTCGATAAAATTATAATTTCGCTTAAATATGTTTTTCCTTTGCATTAATGCACTTTGGTTTGATGGATTGTTTTTTTTTTACAGCTTATCAACCTTTTGCAGGTTATTTAAAGGCAGGAAGTATTTTTGGATTTAAGAATTCTTTTTGGAGATAACGATTTACTGAAACAGGTCCTTCTATTTAATCCATAGCTGGGGGAGAAGAGGTGAGTTCATACGTTTCCCAAGAGCATTTGTACGTAAATGAATATAACGAACCCGACTGGAATTGGAACTCGTCTTTCCGAATTCCAATTCCGAGCCATTATCCATTACACCACCGACATCCAACCTTACAGCACCTGATATTCCCAGGCGATCACCCATCTGGGTAGTGATCAGGCTCGACGTTGCTTAACTTCGGTGATCGGACATGTTTCAACGTGGTATGGCCGTAAGCCGTTATCGACGTGAAAAACGGAATCGGTAAACAGAGTCCAAATTTCGGCAGAGTTTTTTTAAAAAATTTTTTAACGTTTCCTCCGCACTAATACCCTCGGTAAAAGGATGAATCTATTACTTTTTTTTTTCTTTTTAACAGTAAAGTTCACCCTGCACAAGGCCCGGGGTCACTCAAAGAAAAAGGCTTACGTTAAGCGGTAGTTTATATCGATAAGGGGGTGGAGATAACTTTTGAGTAGACTTGAACAGGTTAAGATTGTAGTGATCTGGGCCTGTGTTCCAACTTCCGGTTATAGGTAAAATAGTAGAGCGGACTGGATTCTTTAGCATTGTTAGGACAAGTAGTCTAGGAGGAGGACAACTTTGCGTTGAAAACAATGGAGAAAGCAGCAGGAAATCACTCTCACCACCTTTTCCAAGAACAGTCGCGGTAATTTGCCACGACTGCCTACGCACTGAAGGGCCGTGGCATGAAAGAAGAAGGAATAAGAAAAGAACACAGCCATAATCTACCACTCTCAATTTAGCCTTTATGTGCATATCTCAGCCACCACATATATAACATGACTTCCGTTATAGCAACAATCCTGGCGTTCAGACAACTAGTGGGTGTAGAACGCAGACTATTTTTTATATGGCTGGCTGCCCGTATAGTCGAGTATGCCTGTTTGTTAGGGTGGTTAGCTAATTAGACACATTTGTGTGTCTTTAACACCCACAGAGCCAAGTAAAAGAGGACCTTTAGTTACAGTTTCTAGTGCATAATCTGGTGTAATCACCAGATTGAACAAAGCTAGTACGCTCACATCCTCAGTCACGTTGACTTGCGACTTTATGCTAGCACAACCGTCGACGGCTTCTAGACAGTTTCAGTCGATATTATCAAAGTATTTTTTTTTTAATTAAGACACAAAAAATCCCCCCCACTCAAAAAATACAACCACTCAAAAGTACCCCACCTCAAAAAATATAAATGTAAATTTAGAATTTTTAAAACTTAGAAACTTTGTCCTACATATTCAATGCCCCCACCTTGGGGTATAATTATAGTCAAGGTTTACATCTTTCCTCTACCACCCACGCATATACAATTTCATCAATGAGATCTTTACTTCAGTCCGATGATGTCCTTTTAGCGTAAAAACGCGTTACACAGAATTGTTCCACTTATTTCGACATATTTTAATACCTATTTAAGTTTGTTTATTTTTTTTTCTTTCTTTTTTCTTCCCAGCTGGTTAATACCTATATATCTACATATCTATTTTCATATTTGGAAAACATGGCGTCGATAAATCATATCTATCTACCTAAATTTGTTTATTTATCTTTCTTTTTTTCTCAGCCGGTTAATTCTTAAGTGTTTTCATATCTATCTATCTATATATGTATCTACCTAAGTTTTTTTTCTTTTTTCTCAGTTGGTTCATACTTATATGCCTTCATATCTACATATCTATCTTCGTATCAATCTATCTATCTTCGCATCAATCTATCTATCTTCGTATCTATCTATCTATCTTCGTATCTATCTATCTATCTATCTATCTATCTATCTATCTTCGTATCTATCTCAGTTTGTTTATCGTATTTTCTTTCTTTTTTTCTCGGACAGTTCATACCTATTATCTTCATATCTATCTAAGTTTGTTTAACTTTCTTTTTCTTTTTTCTCACTCGGTACATAGTTATGTATTTTCATATCTATCTATCTATCTTCAGTTTGTTCATCCTTTTTCTTTCTTTTTCAGTCGGTTCATATCTATCTATCTATCTATCTGTATACCTATCTATTTCGGACTATGCATTCGTTAAAGTAAAAGCAAAACACAGTATAAGATCGAGTTAGAGAAAGGGGAGACTAAAGATCCCAGAAATGACATACATGATTTTTTTTTCTTTTTTTTTCGATTATTTGTTCTCTCTTTTGTTTGTTTCATCATAATGTTTCAGCTGACATATACTTCGGCCTCAACTATCTCAGAATCAGAGGAAAATGAAGGGAGTTGGTTGCCAAGTCATCTGTGGCGCCTTCACGATCGGCCAGACTATGAGACTACGACGATGATTCGGCAGAAAATGGAAGGAGCTGGTCTGCTGATAATGGCAGGGGATATTCTGCACAAGATGTGGGGTGATAATTTGCAGAAAGGCCACATTTTTGAAACATTCTTTATGCAGCAGCATGTGTGCTTGTATTTCATTTTTCTCTTTATTTCTTTTTTGTTCTTTCCCGCTTCCATCTTTTTATTCTTTTTCCTTTTCTCCTTACCCGCTATTTATTCCTTTTCCTTCATCTTTTCTTTGCTTTCAGCGCTTGCATTCCTCCTTTTCTTCCCCATTTTTAATTCTTTTTTCTTTCTGATTTACTCCTTTTATTTCTTTTATTCATTGTTTACGCCTTTTCTTTCTCTTTTTTATTTCCCCTTCTTTATTCCTTTTTCATTCCTCTCTCGTATTTGTTTCTTCTTTTCTTTCAACTCACGCATTCCTTCTTTTCTATTCCGTATCCTTTTTTTTCTTTCTGATTTACTCTTTATATTTCTTTCATTCGTTGTTTACGTCTCTCATTTCTTTTTTTTTTCTTTTATTTCCCCTTCTTTACTCTTTTTTTCATTTCTTTCTTTTTCTTTATGTCTTTTTATTCTTTTTCGTTCTTCTTTACACCTTTTAACGTTCCATCTTTTCTTTCTTTTTCATTTCTTTCTTTCTTTCTTTTTCATTTCTTTCTTTCTTTCTTTTTCATTTCTTCCTTCCTTCCTTCCTTCCTTCCTTCCTTCCTTCATTCATTCATTCTATCCTTCATTCTTTTGTATTTTCCTCATCTTTCTTGTTTCGTCAGTGTTTTTCAATTCATTTCCTTCTTTTACTTTGACTTCTTTCCTGCTTTTCGACTTGATTGAAACAAAACTCTGGCCATTTCTGATCACCCTCCTCTCGCATTTCACTTGACACAAGGCCCCGCCCGCCCGTTAGCTTTTGAGCTGCGACATTGCAAGCGTTAACCTATTTATTATATCTCTGCTAATCTCGAGGGTGTGGCACAGCCTGGGGCAGCCTTTTTCTCCTCATTCACGCATACCGCATACTGCCGGGAAAGTATACAAAAACAGGCGCAACTGACAAATACTATAAACAAATATTTTGGGCCGCCCATAAGGACTAAACCCGATGTGGCGATTCGAAAATCGCTAATCTTCACTTATCTTCCATTATCACACTCCATTTCTGGAATTAAACAAATGAAACGATCGGTTTGGAATTATAGCTCAGTGGTAGAGCTTACGTTAGAGTTAAACAAATTTTTAATCATCGAATTCATCCAAAGTAAGGTAGTAAAGCCACTAAGACACAAAGGATTACTATGTGTGAATGAATTAGGAAACAGAAAACATTATTAGGAAGACAGGAGATAACGATTAACGTTGCACTTAAATCTTTCAAGATTAACGTTGGCTGGAAAGCATGCAACTGGAAGAGTGTTCCACAAGCGAGAAGTGTGATAGATGAAAATGTCAGCATAGAACTTACGGTAACATCAAGCCAATTTAACTGGGAATTAATGAGACCATGTTACCAATCTAGTATTGAGCTTAAATTCATAAAGTTTAGCTACCATAGTGAAAAGATCATCCAAACAATTACCATGAAAATATTTATAGAAAAGACACAGGGAAGCAACTTGACGGCAATGGGAAAATGACTGAAGCCGAAACGCCAAGTCAGGACTAATAATATTGCTGATTCTTCTTTGGATTTTATCTCTAAATATATAGCAGGAGTACCGGACTGTATGTGGCAGCAATATTTGAAGCATGGATGAATGGCAGACTTATAGATATGCAAGATAGATTCTGGAGATAAAAATTGTGGACCAACTTTCTTAGCAGCAGATTTGGCAATGGGTTCAATGTAGTCTTTCTATTTCATGTCAGCCGAGAATGTTAGACCGAGAAGGCACAATGAATTATTTTCCTGGAGGTTAGCATCAGCCATGCTAGTGGGAGGCAGAAAGGAGTCTATCAGATGATTTAATAGAGAGCAGTTTTGTTTTGTTAAAATTAACAAGCCGTTCTTTGCCCTAGTAAACAACAGATTGCAGTTCATTTTTTTTAGATCAGCTGCCAATTTGATCTTAACGGATAGATCGAACAGTAAAACCTTTGTTTAGAGCAGGAATTCCCAAACCTGTAATCCTTGACACTACATCGACCCCAGGCATGTACAAAATATCAATAATAATTATTCATTTTTATTTAAGGTTAAAAATTCCATAAGGCTTTTCCTTCATTATTGTTTCTTGATAAGATTTATTTTAGCTTTACTTTTTGGTATTCCTTTTTCAATTTCTATTTCCCATCCTATACCAGATGTATTTGTTAAAAGAAGCCGGCGGCCATTTTGGAGACCCCTGTTCTTTTTTATTTAAAAGGTAGAAATTACATGAGGCTTTTCCTTCATTATTGTTTCTCGATAAGATTTAACATTAAGTTTGGCTTTTGATTTGTCCATTTCTATTTCTCTTCTCATACAAGATATGTTCATTGAAATAATAATTCCTGAGGCCAAAAAAAAACAAAAAAACAAAAAAAATAAAAAAGACAACACCGTCGTTGACAAAGAAGCAAGAAAATGCCTCCTCATTGATGTGGCTGTTTCTGGTGAGCATAATATCAAAGCCAAAGAAATTTAGTAGCTTCGGGTTGAAGCTGCCAGAATGTGGGACGTCCAGTTCATTATTTTCCCAGTTATCATTGCGGCGCTGAGATCTACGCCATTGAACTTAAAGATTGCATTGAGAAAATCATAATAAGGCCTAGCATCCCAATTTGCGCTATTTTGCACTGCAAATATTCTGTCAAAGGTGCTCTCTGTCTGAGGCTATACGAATCGGTGGAGAACAACTGTAATGCAAATTCTCCGGTTGAACGGAAAACCGTACGAATAATAAGAATAAGAACAAGAAGAAAAATTGTAAATAATATCGATAATAAAAATTCTAAAAATAAACCAATACACTTTTTTTTATTGAATTCCTTCACATTAACTGAACGGATGTGTTTTGATGAACAGAAGCAAGGATATTGGTATTTGGTATTTTTCGACCTCCCCCTTTATTGATCCCTCTGGCATTTGTCGACACTCGGATACTCTCATCTACTCGATGGAGTCAATATCAACTTCGATATCAAGCAGTAGATATCAACTTCGGCGAACCCGTTGTCTAGGGTGTTAATTTTCCTACTCATAAAATCAAACTAAGTGTTCTTTTCCATATTGTAACTTCTCATTTTGTTTCAAAAGTTCTGTGATCCACAATGCATTATATATGATGAGGTAAGGTAGGGGCTGTGCTGATGACATAGGGATAAGAACTTTCCAAAACAGAAACTATGATCTGAAATTGGAATGAAAGCAGTGATGACAATTATCCTAGATCAATCATAAAAATTTAGAATATGGAACTAATAAATACTAAAATCTTCAAATACCTCGATGTATGGATCAAATTTAGTACAGGAGATAAGGAAATTGAATATAGAGTATGCTGCGCCTAGGTTTCTTCACTCAACATCGCCCAACAATACGAAAACATTAACCTAAAAACTCTAGTCTTGTTCTTAAATAGTTTCCTTAGATAGAGTGTAACCCGGATATAAGAGAAACCCGGATATAAGAGAGATTTTCTCTGGTCCCAAATTAGAGCCTGTGTTAATGTATATAAAATAGACCAAACCCAGATATAAGAGAAACCCGGATATAAGAGACTTCTTCTCCGGTCCCGACAACTCTCTTATATCCGGGTTAAACTGTATATACTCTCGTATATGTTTCCTGCATCATGTCCATTTCGCTGATAAATGCCTAAACTGCCCGTTGTTCTTAGTCGTTTTCTGAAATCGATGATTAAAAAGAAGGTCATAGAAAGACCATCTTTCAGAGAATATTGGGGACTGAATTACAGAATCATAAAGAACTTTATCAAATCACAGAAACCGAATCACTTGAAGACATCCAACAGCATCAGCAGCTAGCCTCTTCTGTTTATCCCAAGGTCTTTGATAAAATCCAAAGACGGATATGCAATGTAATTGGCCCTGATCTGGCATCTCACCTGCAGCCGCTCTCTCACAGACGTGCCGTTGCCTCCCGCTGTCTTTTTCACAAATACTTTCACGGTAACTGCTCCGATGAGCTGCTTTCGCTGGTTCCCAGACTTCATGAATTTAAGCGTTCAACTAGGTTGGCATCTCGCTCTCACCCTTTCACTGTCGAAACTGTTAAATGTAGCCGTCTCCTCTACTCCAATAGCTTCATGTCTCGCACTTCTCGCCTGTGGAACTTCCTCCCCTCTTCCTGTTTTCCTGATAACTATAATCTCCAACTATTCAAATGTAATGTCAATCGATGTCTCCTGATGCCTTGATCTATCCCCTATCCTTATCTTCATCCTTTCCTCTATCAATCCTATTTGATCTCGCTCCAACTCTCTGTAACCCCTTGCGTGTTAGTGGCTTCTCGCCTTGCTTGGGATTGAATGCTTAGAAAAAAAATAAGATGGATAGAACTTTGATTTGGAAATAATGGTACAATAAACATGCTGATATTCCATACCTCTGTAGACGAAAGGTTAAGAGGGAAACCCCCGTCAATACTAGAAAGGACGATAACAGTGAACTGGAGAAACCTATTTTCCTGGAGAAAAGATATTTTAAGATATTATCAATTTCCGTGGAGAGTAATGCTAACGGTGCCGCCAATGAATACCGAATGCTACCGCTAAGGAAAAGGCTATTCTCAACATTGCCATAAGCTACAATTATACTTTATGTATATATGGTAATATATATATAGTATTGAAGCGTATAATGTTAGACTTTCGAAATCTTTACTGAACTTTAAAAGCACTTCTGATTCGTCACCGAAGTGTTTCTGCTGGGGAAAAGAACTTACAGTATACATACGGGACTATCCAACAGGGAGATGGTGATTTGCTTAGCTTATCTTAGGTGTGGTAAAACGCCGAAAGTATGGGGCTCCCAGTGAGAATCGAAATCTCTATTCAGTCGTAATAGATATAGCAAGACAAGCTTTCTAACCATTACACCACATCTGAGTGTCCTCCATGTAACAGGGAGATGATTTCACAATGAAAAATGAGGATGTTTTATATCACTATTATTTATTCTTCTATGTGTCATGTCTCTTCAGGACGTTGAAGATGATGGCTCTCCACAATTTCCTGTCCTAAGCTCGCGCGCCAAGTTATGCATTGTTTTCCTTTTCCTCTTGCCTTCAATCTGTCTTGTGAGTATTAAATTTTCCAAGCCATCTTCCCTCATTATGGGTCCTAGAAATTTTAAATGTCTCTTCCGGATATTAAGTATAAGTGTCCATTTTGTTTCTATTTTCACGTCATTGCTGACATTTTCAGGTCATCGTATTCTCAGCATCCTTCTGTAGAACCACATTCTCTTGTTTCGATACTTCTTCAGTGAGGGGTGATTATTTCTTGATGTCACTAAATAATATTTTAGAAAAATATGCATTTAAAAAAAAATTCTTACGCCGTGTGGCAAAACCATTATGATACTTGAATTAGGCGTTATTTTGGGGTTAAATTATCAGGATGATATAGCCTATAAGACAAACGAAAACGAGTCGGCGAAAATGAAAAAGAACCGGAAGTCAGAAGTTACGAAAAGCAGAAAGAGGTCACCTGGTAGGAAGCAGTGTCTCTCACTTAGTTAATAGAGATTATCCATTTCAATGGAAGAAACGGATGAGCAACCTGTCTGCAAGATGGGCCCCAAGAATCTTGACACTAGTGCAGAAGCTGAAAAGAGTTGAAATTTCCAGGACACTTCTGGCTCGCTACCGGATTAATCCTGAGAATGTCCACCGCAGATTAATAATTGAAGATGAGACCTGGCTTCACCACTTCGAACTTG